TAATAACAAAGCTATTATATCCATGCATTTTAAATATACATTAAATTAATTATAATATAAATATAATTTAAGCAAGTTAATAATAAGGTTTATTTTTATATACGTATATTAGCGGAAATTAAGGAATTTATAAAAAGTTCTTTATATTATAATAATAATTTATAATGTAATAATATAAGGGATAATAGCATAAACTATATTAAGTATATTAATAATAAATTATATTAAACTGCTTAAATATAGGTATTATTTTATTTATATAATGAAAAAGTTATATAATGCTAATGCACTTAAAGTTTATAATTTTGTTAATATAATATAATAATGGCATTTATGCTTAGCTTATTATTTTATAAATATTGCATTAACGCTCCTTACATTACTTAGCCTTTTCCTTCTTAGCATACTTTTTAATGCTTATTTATCCTATTAAGTTAAGTAGCAATATAATATTATTTTCCTTATTATTATTACTAAACTATTTTTCCTCTTTATCATTATTAATAATATTACTGCTATTAATTAATGGATATTATTGCTTTAATAAGGTATAAGTAAGATTATAATTATCATTAAGAAAGCCTTTATAATAAAGGAAGTACTTAGCTATATTAAACTTATTATTAACCATTTAAACTTATATGCTATTAATAATAAACCACGCTCTTATAATAATTAAGTTATATTTAATAATAATTAATATTTAATTAATAAATATAATCTTCTTTTTATATACCTTTTTTTTATATTAAAAAAATAATAACCTTTATAAAGTTTAATAATTAAAAGTAATTAAAAAAGCTTTTTTTATAAATTTTAAGAAATGCTTTTAAGCTTATTAAAATATTATATAATTTTTAATTATTATTACTTTATTTATATTTAATGTAATATTAATTATATTAATTATATAATTAATAAAAAAAATTTAATTTTCCTTTTAAAAATAATATTTATAAAAATTATTACCTTAATTATAATCTTTTTTAAAAAATTCTTTTTTATTATATTTTTATTAAAAAAAGTTATTATTATAAAAAATAAACCTTATAACGTAGTTTATTAATAAATAACGTATATTAATAAGTAGCGTACTTTTATAACTTTCATTAACTTTAATTAACCTTAGCACTTACTTAATGCAAATAATTTAATTAAATTTAGCATTAATTAATATTAATTGCAATTAAATCTTTATTTTTAATTAATTTCATTAATTTAAAAGCATTAATATAATTATAATATTAATTTAAATTAGTTAACTTTTGGTAAGAAATATATATTTAGCATTAATTAATATTAATTATATTATTAAAAATATAGTTTATTATAAATTAATAAAATAATTATATTTATATTAATTAATATTAATTAAGCTAAATTTATTATAATATAATTAAAATTTAATTAATTAAACCCTTTTTTATTTTTCTTATAAGTTTTTATATTATGCTTAATTTTATTATAATTATTATAACATCTTTTAATTAATTTGCTATAAATTAACTCTTTTATCTCATTATTTATTTTATTAGCTAGCTATTTTACCTTTTATTTCTCTTAAATAAAAGCTTAAAATTCCTTAATTATAAATGCTTTTTTAAGCTGCATTTAAGTTTTTTTAACCCTTTAGCATTTAATAAGTATTATATTAGCATTTTAAAGCATATAAATTTATTTACTTATTATAATAAATAAATATATTATTATTTATATACTTTTTGCTAATTAATTAATAACCTTTACAATTAATATAAGGAAGCTTTCTTAATAAATAAAAATCTTACTTTTAATAAAACTTAATTATTAAATAATTTATTAAGTATTTAATAATATTTAAGACTTTTATTTTTAAAGAAAAATAAAAAGGAATTATATTAAAGTTTATAAGTAAATATTAAGCTTAAAAATTATAAAATTAAGATTTTAAAGAAAAATTTTAGCTTTTTTAAATATAAACTTAATATTTTTTATTATAAAAGTTTTATTATAAGCTACCTTAAATATAAAAAAAAAACTTAAATTTAATAATATAATTAATAAAAGCTTAAATAAAGAAATTAATCTTATTATTATATATATGCTTTAAAAATAAATATAACGCAATATTTAATAATTAAAGTAAGTAAAATAAATATAGCAATATATTAATAATAATAATTTTATTATCCTTATAATATTAATTAAACTAAATTAATATATAGCTTTTATAATTATTTATAATTAATATTTAATAATTAATATTTTTCTTTAACTTAATATATTTATTAAATATTAAATTTATTTTAAATTAATTTTATTATTTATTTATTTATTAAAAATAAGCTTAATAACTTAATTATTTAAAAAACTTAACTTTATTACTTAGTTAATAAAATAATAAGTACCTTAAATAATTATAAATAATAAAATTTATAACTTATTTATATTAATATATTTAATAATAATTATTTATTTTTAATTATTAAGCTAAATTAATTTAGCTTTTTTATACTTATTAATATATATAATAATTATTAATAAGGTAATTATATTTATTATAAAGTTAATTTTATTAAAGTTATAAAGGTTATTATTAATAATTTAATACTTAATTATTATATTATAAAGTAATTTAAATTAATTCTTAATAATTTTTAAATCTTTATAAAAAGCTCTTTAATAATTATAAAGATAATTAAATTTAATTTTAAAGTTAAGTTATTAATTTATAAAGCGTTAAGCTTAATACTTATTAATAAGTTTAATATTTTACAATATTAATAAAAGATTAGCTATATTTTTTATATTAAAAAGTTATAAAAAGAATCCTTAAATATCTTAATTAATAATGTATTAAATAAGCATTTATTCTTTAATTTAATTAAATTTATATATATTAATATATAATTCTTTATAAAAGCGTTATTAATTTATCTTATAATAAAGTATAATTTTAAGAATATTAAAGATTTATATAGCTTTATATAACTTAAGAAGTTTAATATATTTTTCTTAATAGTTTTTAATTACTTAAATAATTAAAAGTATTTTATCTTCTTTAAAAGATTTTAGCATTATAATTATTAATTTTTAATGTATTAAATATTTAAATAGGTGGATAAATAGAAAATTAATATAAAAAGCATTAATGCAATTCTTATTAAAAAATAATCCTTTTATTAAAACTTAATTACTTTTATTTAAGCTATAATTACTTATATTACTTTAAATTAAGCAAATTAATTAAAAACAAGGATTTAATTATAATTAATATTAATTAATGCTAAATTTAATTAAATTATATGCATTAAATGGGTATTAAAGTTAATTAAAGTTAATAAAAGTTATAAAAATGCGCTACTTATTAATATGCGCTACTTATTAATAAACTATATTAATATTTTTATATTTAATAATAATAAAAATAATATTTTTAAAAATTATTAAATAGTTATAATAAATAAAAAATAATATTAATTATTATATATTTAAATAATAAAGTAAGTAATAAAATAAAAGTAATTATAATTTTTATATAATATATTAATTTAATATTTAAGTAAAATAACTTAACCCTTAAATTATTAAATAAAAAGAATATTTTTAATAATAATATTTAACAAAATACTATTTATTAAGATTAATAATTAATAAAAAGGCTTATAAAGAAATTAATTTAATAGCTTTTAAAATAATAAATGCCTTTAAATATTATAAAATCTTTTAACTTAACTTTATTAATATTTATAGTTTTAATTATAAAGGTAATAATTAAAAAATAATATATAAAGATTATAAAAAGCATTAATTAATTATTATAAATATGTTTAATTATTAAAAATATTAATAATAATAATAATAATAATATAAAGGATATTTAAAATAAAATTATAATTTATATAAATTAAATAAATATAAAAACATTATATAGTTAAATAATTAGCGTCTTAAAAAATTTTAAAAAAAGCTATATTTATAATAAGAAATGGCAATAAAGATGCTTTTTAATATATTATAGCATTGCTAAGGGCAACTTAACATTGCCTTATATTAATTTAATAGTAGGGCATTAACCGTGCATTAACTGCAGCATGTATAGATGTACCATCTGTTTTTATGGATGTGAATATCCATCTTCATTTTTATTCCTTCCTTATAGTAGAGTGGGACAATTATAAGGATCATGCATCTACAATGGCGGTCTCAAGACCTGGAGCCTTGTGCTAGTCACTAGCCTGAGATGCGGAAGTGAAAATTTGGTTGACGTAAAGGTCTGATGTTCAGACGAAAGAGCCTTCGGTAGCCAATTTTGAAGTGGAATCTTCGAGCCGCCAGGCGAACAGGCGCAGAAATGGAGAGGTAATGTTGTCTGTTTCCCCTAGCGAATTGTCCGCCCGGTCAAGCAGCCTCGTGACTTGGATAGTCGCTCCAGTCCGTGCCTCGTATTTGCCAGCCCTCGGAGAACAGGGTTAGGAGTGTGCAGCTAGCCTCACCAGCAGATTCTGCTTCAAGGAATGCCTATTTTGCTGTGCTGAATTGTTTTCTGCTTTGTTGGGTATGCTCTGATTGAATTCTAGGCCCATCGCTAGACTTAGCTAGAAGTTTTGAAAGGTGTATGCTTGGTGAGCCCTTATTATTTCAATTGCAGCCTTCCAGCCTTCCGAGCCACCAAGGCTGTGCAAAGAATTCAAATGCTGCTCCTCTAGTCCATGCAACTGTAAACCCATCTGTTTGATACTCCATGTTGGCCAAATGACAATGTTTTCTCCTTCAAGTCGGGCTGTCATGTCCCGTCGTCATAGTCGTCATGACAGCCTTCAAGTTCATATCGGCCAAAGCCATCCTGACTGAACTTCCACTCAGCTCAAACAGGCACATGCACAACTAGGTGTAATGTCCACCACACGAAGTCACTTCCCGGCGGCCATCCCAGTGCCAGGTTAATGTACAAAAAGTTCCTTCCAACGGGATAAATCTCCTTTCCCAATGTACCTGTAGCAATGCCCATTAAGCTATTCTCATATGGAAGGTTCCGTTTGTTTCTTCAGCAACCTTGGGTTGCTGTTTAAGCCCGCCGCTGGCTGCAATCCCGGCACAGCGTTGGAGGTTTGCGAGTTCACGCGGGCTGCCGTGCCAGACGATTCTGGAACAACTGGGGGTACCACGCCCTGATTTCGTCTCCTGTACGCTCGCTTCTTTCTGACGGGCGGCTGTTGTTCACTGGGCTGAGGCGTATGATAAGGCCCGACACCGTGGGTTCGGCTGTGATGATCTCGCATCGCAGCGAGCCACGCCTCGTCGCTGCGGACGCGTTCTGGCAAGCTCTCTTCCCATTCGCCAGGATCCTCCTTCAGCCTCTGCTCTCTCATCCGTTGCGCTGCTTTTCCAAAGTTGGCTTTACGTCCTCCGCGAGCCTTGATCTCCTCTTCCTTCCTCTCGTACCATTCATCCGAGCGGGGCCGCGTCCAATGTGTTCGCGGGTCTATATGTCCGTAGAAGACGTTTTCACGCTTCGCCGGCTCGTGCTCTGCCGTTGTCCTAACCCCTGGAGGTGGCTGAGACGAACCCTCCTGCCCGTAAACGAACCTGTCTAAAGCCGAGATATCCTGGGTTTCTGTGAGCCGCTGCCGTTGCTTCTCGAGCGGCGGAGTCCGGATTACCGGCTTCAGCCCTCCGTAGGCGGATTTAGCAACCTTATGGCTCTTTCGCGCCTTTATCGGGGCCGGTCCGCGACTTTGTCTCTCGGGGGCTATGCTGTTGCGCGCGCTCGGTGAGCGCCAGTCGGTGTGGCTCAGAATGGTCGGCTCCGGAAACGAACCACCCAGTCCAACCTTCCGCGCGTCGTTGCTGCTTGCATTTCTCAGGGGCGTTGTAGCAGGTCCGAAGTCAAAACTTATTTCATTAAGCGGTTGTTGGGCGTGGTTGGTATCAAGTCGAGGAGCATGCCCTGCTATCCTCCCTTTGTCCTTGTCTGAATACAAGAGGCCGTTGCTTCCATTTAGCAAGGGTGAGCCGAAATTCCTGGCAGGTAGGTTGCCGTATGGCGGACTCCGTTCTCTTGATGGTAATTCAAAGTTCCGCTGCGAGACTCTTGGGCTGAACTCGTCGTTCCCTGGCGATGTCATGCGCTGCCTCTTCCTTGAGGGCGTCTCAGGAGACTCTGGGTGTATCTGTCGCAGGAGAGATGGCTTCGGTGAGAGATGAGTGCCGTTGGTCACTACTCGATTCACTGCGGCCTGGCTGCTACCATTGAGCCTGATGCCGTTCGGTTTGGAAGCCGTAAGCAAGAATGCTGGCTTAGCCGCAATGGACTTCCTCGCGGTCACCTTTGCATCCAATTGCTTCCGACTGTGCGCTACTCCCTCCGGAAGGCGCCCATTCGTTTGCGATACAACCGGCGCATGCTGCCAGGCTAGGCTTTTGGATAGTTTCGGGGAGACTGGCTGCATATGAAAGAGGCATGCTGGATAGCCACTGGCGGCAAACTCCTGACAGCCAGGAGCAGTACACCTTGATCTTGTCACCGGAGAGCTGTCTTCTGCGGTAGGCAGGAACGGGTTGCTCGAGGTGCTCGAGAGTCTGAACATATCGTCGGTCGATCTGACAGGGGGCAGAGGTGCTGTACTACTTTGGGTGTTTGAGGAACGCCTTGCCTGAATCTCAATCCCATCGTTCCTGTTGAGACACCACGCACAGGTGAAGCTGTGAGAGGCGGATTAGCTTCTGCTGCCAGTTGATGTAATGATTTAGGTTTTGCTGTATGGTGCGGTTGGGACAGATATGGTGCTGCGGAGCCAAGTAGGCAAGTGCAACCAAAGACATAGTGCGGAGCAGAACAAGGTGGCGACAGATGGGTGGCTAGCTGCCCATCCCGCCGAGACCAGACAATATGCCCGCCAGGCCTGGCTGTTCCGACGCCTGGCGCGTGCTGCTGGTGGATTCCCGAGGTTGAGACTTGAGAAGAGGCATTTGGCCCTTGCATCCGATTCTCTCTGCTCCTCCTCTTGACCGGTGTTACATAGCAGGAGCTGTGCAATGATGGCTGGTTTGCAAAGCACCTGGTTTGAGCTTGGTGGTGACAGTGATGGGGTGAGGGGTATGTCTTTGGCGCCGAACCAGACACGGCACAGGGGCAACCGAGGCGTGCGCACTTGGTCGTGAGGATGACTCGGGGATGGAAACCTACTTTGAAGGATCCTGCGGAAGAGGACCAAGGCACGCAAGATGCTGGTGCCGCATGCATTCAATGCATGCGACAGTCGTCTTGTCGACCCGCTCAGGAGCGCCGCAGACGGTGCATCGAGGTCCTGGGGTCAGCCTGGGATGGACGCGACGACTAGCCATGGTTTCGATTAGCGCAAGAATCCATGGGCTGATGTTTGAACAGAATAGTGATGCCAATTGAGGCAGGAAGGCAGGCAGGCGTCTCAGATCTTTTCAGTCTTGAAGTAGTCGTCACCCTGCGTGCGACGACGGCTTCGTTGAGTTGCCCCAGCCGGAGCCGGAGGGCCGGAGGGGGTGAGGTGGATGAGAGAGTGTGTGGTGGGCGGGCAGATTGTTTACGCGCAGCCTTTGGCCCGGCCTCATGGAAGCAGTGGAAGGCTGGGCTCCGATAAGCGGTATAGTGTGTTGATGTCAATCCAGCTCGACACCAGCAAAGCGGGTATCTGGGGCTCTGCAAGATGACGATGACCTCTGGCAGCCAGGCAGAGCCTGCACAGGCAACACGAGGACAACGTGAGGGACAGGATTTTCCAAGCGGGTAGGGCTGAAGCAACCGACGAAACCAGAAGAGCATAGCAGTCCGACCTTTTACCATTGCGCATCATTGACAAGGCCTGCGGGGTCCCAAACACAGATCGGAGATAACAAAGTGCAAAAGACTTTAGGAAATGCTCATCACATACCGTGTATATGTGTTTGTGTGCGACTGGGATGGGGAGAGATTGATGGGATGCGACGAGATGCGACGGATGAATAGACTAGTAAGTGCGGTTGTGTGTATGTATGCAAGTTTGCAGGTGGGAAGGACAGTTGAGGGTGAGCAGCCGCGACTCGAGTCAAGCAGGAAGTGGTCGAGTCTGCCGAGTCAATCTGGAGAGATAGAACTAGTATAGCAACTCCAAGAGCCCAGAGCCGAGAGGCAGGGTAGAATGAGATCTGTACGGATCAAATGTGAATTTAAGCAGGCGCTTCGACGGCGGCTATCATCAAGCCCAGCCCGCGCAAATGTTGGCACGCACGGCTGAGAAGCCTCCTGTGCTGCTGAGAGCTTTGGAGGCTCAACTTGATTTGATCCTGGTCTTGCGACCGACGCCGTATACGAGGAAAAGGGCACGGCGGATCTGGGTGAAGAGAAAGGACGTGAATGTTTGAGGAAGCCAATGCTTGCCTATTAAATTGTCAGCCCTGCGCGCCAGAGCCAGGTGGACCCAACCCACGGGCATTGACCACTTTGACTAGCCTTCTGCCCCTCACCACCGCCCAAACCCTGCCCCCTTTGGGACTAGCGCGGGGAGCCCGTCGCGCCAATTGCTGCCCGTCCGGAGCGCGACCTTGTCCTCAACCCTGAGGAGCTTTGGGGGTGCGTCAGGTCTCAAAGAGGCAACCTGATTCCTGAAGTTGCTGTGGTGTCCTTTGCGGCCAGAACATCTTTGCACCACAACTCCTCAGGACTTGCTCTTTCTACAAATCGCCCAGGCATAGCTCGATCACAATCCCTTCTTCTATGGGTAGCCAGCCGTCGCACCTGTTCAAGCAGGGTGGTCTGCCGCCATGGATTTCCTAAAGTCCGCCGTCGCATCTGCGATCGCCAAGGGCCCTGCCTTCCCGTACTCGTTCGGGGACATCCTCGATGTCGACCAGTCCATATGGACCCTGCACAATGGCACGAGACGTGTATGCACAAGGTAGACAACCTTTGCGCGAGACGAACAAAGCACCTGACATGCGCTGCAGGAGGACGGATCGAACTGCAGCATCTTCTCCTTCGACATCACCGCAAACAGGTCCAGATTACCGCTCGCGAAGAACGCCCTGAAGAAGCTGCGCACGTTGCGCCACCCCGGTGTAATCAAGGTCTTGGACACGGTCGAGGTACATCTTCATAGCGCCTATCCTTGGAGGATTGCGACTGATCGCACGCCTGTTAGACCGACACGTACATCTACATTGCGACAGAGCGCTTGGTGCCCTTGCGATGGCATGTGAAACGGAAGAGCCTAAGCCCCGAGACGACGAAATGGGGCATATATAGCGTAGCGGTATGGAAACTCGGGCGCCAGCGATGTGATAGGCGCACAGGCTGACAACTCGCCAGCGAACCCTCAAATTCATCAACGATGAAGCCTCCTCGATCCACGGCAACATGAGAGTTGGGTCAATATACACCTCGGAGAGTGGAGAGTGGAAGATCGGGGGCTTCGAGGTCTTGAGCAACATCAAGGACGATGATGCTATCATATATGTATGCGTTTTCAAGAAACTATCTCGTATACCATCGAAACTGACTGTTACTACGATAGAACTATGGAAGTATGGTACCCGATTCGGCGAGGTACGCACCTCCAGAGCTACAATCAGGCTGGGACGCTATAAAAAAGGCCCCTCACTTTGCCGTCGACTCGTTCAATCTGGGCACACTGATCTTTGAGGCCTTCAATGGTGACTATGCTGGTGGGAGCCAAGCTGGTCAAACCAAGGGTATACCTCCCAGCATGCATGCGAGCTATAAGCGACTCGTCAACAATAATCCCAAGTCTAGACTCAGCGTCGGCCACTTCATCGAACAGGGTCATCGTCGCGGGTCATTCTTCGACACGCCACTTATCAAGTTGACTGATGGAGTGGATAACCTGGGTGTGAAATCTGCGGAAGAGCGGGAAGTGTTTCTCAAGTACGTTTTCTGGTCCTGTACAGTCAAGTGTGCTTTGTATTGACAATTTGCAGCGACCTGGAACAGCTTACCGACGACTTCCCCGAAGACTTCTTCAAGATGAAGGTCCTCCCCGAATTGCTCAAGTCCGTTGAATTTGGCGGCGGAGGGCCCAAAGCCTTCAGTGTTGTGATGAAAATCGCGACAAAAATGTCAAATGACGACTTTGACTCGAAGGTAACGCCTGTAGTAATACGGCTTTTCCAAAACCCCGACAGAGCCATTCGAGTATCTTTGCTTGACAACCTGCCTTTGATGATCGATCGGCTATCGCAAAAGATAGTGAACGACAAGATGTTCCCAAATCTCGTGTCAGGGTTCACCGATTTGGCACCAGTGGTCAGAGAGCAAACGCTGAAGTCTGTTCTTACCATCATCGGCAAGCTCTCCGATCGCACTATAAACGGAGAACTGCTTAAGTGTCTTGCCAAGACTGCGAATGACGAGCAGCCCGGTATCCGCACAAACACGACTATCTGTTTGGGCAAAATTGCGAAGAATCTGGGCACTTCCTCGAGGAGCAAGGTTTTGATTGCAGCTTTTACTCGCTCTCTTAGAGACCCATTTGTCCACGGGAGGAATGCTGCACTCATGGCACTTGCTGTCACAGGAGACTGTTTCTCTGACGAGGACGTCGCGCTGAAAATCCTCCCGGCTATTTGTCCTTCATTGATTGACAAGGAGAAGATTGTGCGGGACCAGGCAACGAAGACCATGGATATTTACATGCAGAAGATAAAGAAGGCCGCCGAGGATATGCCCGACACTGTCCTTGCTCCCCAGCAGACTGGCGAGCATGCGGGAGCGCCACGCATGGGTACTCCGCAGCCGACAGAGTCTGCTACAGCTTCATGGGCTGGTTGGGCCATCTCGTCATTCACCAACAAGATATCCTCGGCAGCGGGTGAAATCCAGCCAAACGCGTCAAACGGCTCAGCCCCAGCCGCAGAGGTGAAGCGACCTGTGCCAGTAACCACCTCGTCAGCATCAACATTACACCGCCAAGCTATGAAATCCCCGCAGCCTCCATCCTCAGCACTTGCAAGGGCTCCTTCGAGTAACTCCGGCGCCGAGGCCTTCTTTGCGGAGGAGGACCCAGCAGAGGACGATGGAGATGCCTGGGGCGACATGGGTGATATGGACGACAACGACAACTTCTTTGACGATGGTTCAACAGCTGCGAATGATTCTATGGCCTCATCGGCTACCCTGCCCGCGGCAAAGAAAGAACCAACACGAAATATCAGCAGCAGCGGTAGCGCACAACCCTTTGGCGATGACGAGGAGCCCGACTTTGCTGGATGGCTAGCCGCACAGCAGAAATCTAAGGCCGGTGGCAAGCCATTGCCAAAGGGGCTCACCAAAGCAAACCCCGCGAATGGAAAGGCGGCGACAAGCAAGAAGCCTGTTTCCAAACCTGCTGCGAAGTCGGCGCCAGCCAAGAAGATTGACTTGAAGCCGAAACAGGCAGACGACGAGGAGGACGGGTGGGGAGATGGCTGGTAAAGCACCAGAGGGCAAGCCTATGTGCCGATGGCGGTAATGTATATTCGTTGTTGCCCCCGGTTTGTGTGCGGGTGGACTAGCGTTTTCTTCGGCATGTATATACAGTAAGGAGTTTAGGGACGCCGGTTTGGGAAGCGCATTAGTATTGGACTAGTTGTCTGGCGCTGGGAATAGGATGGATACAAATAGCACCGTTCACGCGCGTAGTCGAAGTAAAAATGTGAATTGGCGCACACTACCACCAATGAGGCCCGAGAACAACGAAAATCCCTTGGCCCAATATGCCCATTACCAACGCCGTCCTGCCCGTCCCATGCGATGGTTCAACTCCAGCCTTGCACACAGCACCGAAACCCCAGGCTCGGAGAAAGAACTGCGGCTCGTTAAGTCCTCTAGGTGATGCCCCTACTTCAACGGGCCCATTGAGCAAACTGCATTCATTTCCTTTCAAGATGCACCACACACGTGCAATCGACTCTCGTCATCCTTATCTCGCCTCAGAGTAATCATTCAGGGCCACACACACAGCGCCCCGGTGATGTCCGTTATACTGCCGGATGATCTGCTGGCTATGGAGCTCCCACAGGCGGGCGTAGTGGTCGGAGCAGGCGGTGACGAGGTACGCCGAGTCGGCGCTGAAGGCGCAGTCCCAGACCCAGCGCTGGTGTCCCGTCAGGGTGGCCTCGAGGGGGAAGGGCCTGGGGAAGCCGCTCTCGTCCAGGCGGGCGGCCTCCTCGACGTCGACCTCCCAGATCTTGGCGGTGTGGTCGGCGGAGCACGTCGCCAGCTTCTTGACGTCGGGCGACAGCAGGATGCGCGTGATGTACTCCTTGTGCGCCGAGAACTGCGTGATGGGCTGCAGCTCGGTGCGGTCGAAGGTCTGGATCAGGGACCAGACGAAGACGTTGCCCTGTGCGATTCCGATGTTAGCATAGGTGGAGAGGACGGAAACTCGTAGGAGAGGGGTGTTAGGGCGGGGGCGCCGTACGTTGTTGTTGGCTGCGCACAGCAGGGTGCCGTCTGTGGCGACGGTGACGCTCGACACGGACACGTCCTCCTCTGGGATCAGCTGGTGGGAGCAGCTGTTCTCGGCAAGGTCCCAGACCCTGACGCTGCCGGACCTGTCGCAGCTGATGATCTCGCCCTGGTTCGGGTGTATGACGACGTCGTTGGCGGGGCTGCCGTGGTTGTAGCTGCGCTGGATGGTGCCGCTTCGGGTCTCCCAGATCTTGACGGTGCCGTCCTCGGAGCTCGTGACCATCCACTTGCCCTCGCAGTGGAAGGCGACGCCCGTGATGTTGCCCGTGTGGCCCTCGAAGGTGAGCAGCGGGTTCGGGTTGGTCGACTTGATGTCGAAGAGCTTGACGGTGTGGTGGCCCGCGGCGGCGAGGAAGCGCTTGTCGGGCGAGATGCACAGGCGGTTGACCTGCGAGTCCGGGTGTTGGATCGTGCGGGAGCAGATGCCCGAGAGGGCCTCCCAGAACCTGAAGAGATCAGCCAGAGGTTCAGACAGTAGTCGGGCGCCAAGGGGGAGACGGAGGCGGAGGCGAAGGTGGGCGCGAGGTGGCCGGCGGCTTACCGTATCGTGTGGTCGTAGCCAGCTAGGAGGCGAAGGTTAGCCCAAGGGTCGCGCCATTGAGATGGAGAGGCAGGACCGAATGGCCCAGACCTAGTCGGGGGATTGCTTACCGGTGCAGAGAATGACCGACATGTTGTCTCAAGGACACTGCCTGTCCATCATGGGCTCGAGGGAACCTGGGCGATGCGACTGTTAAATGTGCCTGCAGCTTGTCGGAGCTTCAGGTTGGATGAAGCTTTAGTGGGGCACACGTCGTTGTGGTGAGGCTCAACCCCAGGTCGGGGCCCTAGGCACAGTAGTGACGTTTCAGCGGGCCACTGCAGCTGCAACTGGGGCCAGCTTTACTGACACACACACAATACTGAGAGCAAGGACTTGGTAGCCTCAACTCCAATTCGCTAATGATCACACTCCAGATGTTCCTGACACACAACCGACTCCTGTGTAAGTTGCCCTTCCAAACCCCAATCTCATTCCAGGGGCAGTCCTGGTCGAACTGGTTCTTAGAACTAATAGACTTAACGAAACGGCATGTAGCCCTTCAATCACAGAAATCTCAAAATGCCGTTCGAGTATCACCGGCAATACAGAAACTATTACAACTGGCAACTGATCATATACACGGTTGGCACGCAGTGTACGCGTAGATACTTAGCTTGGCTTGCATGGTTCTAATTCAGCAACGGACATTGTCAAGGCCGAAAACTTGTCTCCAACGTGTCTTCTCTCGTTCCGAGAGGTTGGCCAAGTCACTGCACTGCCTTAAGGGCCATTTGTAGTCCGCATCCGTATCAAAGGCATCCGTCTACTTGACACTCACTTGACGTGATCCATTGGAATGGCACAGTATCGGCACTCGATGCAGCCCCCAGGTCAACCACTGCTCGATTACTGTCTCTCCGTGTCTCTATCGGCTGGGGATTGAATGGTTGCTTGTAGTTACTTGTATGGTTCATGTCAAGAGATCAAGTTCGAAGTACTTCTTGCCATAACCAGACCATTGAGACGCGCTTTCTGACCGTATTCGTTGAGGCTCCTGGCTTTTTGGACCCGACATTGATTGAACTGCCTAGGCAGCGTTTTGCGAGTTTGCGCAAGGAAGCTGGCCGGCTAAACTGTACATCATCCCCAATGCCAATAACCTCCACAGGAGAAATGACTTTCCAGACCCGAACCAGCCTGGGATTCTTCCAAAGAAACATAACGTGCCCAGAAACGCTGCTGCGTTGTTGCGCAAGGCACAATCCCTCGTGACAGTACTGCCATACAGGCATGCAAGTCATACTGGTTTCTGCGAACTTGTTCCAGTGGCGCTTTCGACTTTAGCCGCCTCTAGTGGCCTCCCTCAATTGAACTGACCTTGTGGTCTCTAGCCATGCCAAGTGAACCATGCACACTCTCGAGGTTCTCTCTTGACTTACTGCAAGTTTTCTTCCCACGAAGCTCAGGAGTTAACGCTGACCTGCTGTTGATGAGTCAATGACACTCGTCAATGATATGCTAAAAGTGACAAGACGAGTCCTGCTTTTCGCACAACGCATTGATTCCCATGATTGCATGACACGGGCTCTACTTCGACCATATGCGAGGAAGAGAATGGACCCATTCAAGGCGGTTCAGTCGTGCCTTAAACTGTTGACACTTTGTCCAAGGGAAACTGGGCAACTTGCATGAGATCCATCGTGCTGGTACCAATCATTGACCCCGGGGCACGCCACGATGCACCTCTCTGCGCAGATTGGAGTAAGGCAGTACACCGCTTGTATCTCAGTCGCCGATGCGTGCTCTTGCAGGGCCAGGTGACCTACAGCATGCTGGAGATCTCCGCCGGTGAGCATGCAAGTGACGCCCCATTCGGTGACTACGCTCCATTTTGGTGCAGTATATTAAACGAGCCGACAATCGGCGTCTTGACGGCAAGAAGTTCTAGCGACATGTTCCACATATGCAATGAACTCCCAATGAACTCCGTTGTTTATGTATACTCGTACCTCATGGGCCGTGTAATATATCTAAGGTTCTCTCAAGCCCGTCTTCGTCTGATCGGACTCCTCGAGGAAATGTTAAAATAGTTGATCCAATGCACACAACGCCGACCAAACTCCGCTTCACAAGAGAATAATAAGGGACGAGTGTGAGACTACCCTTCCGGCCGGCCCCCCGAGGCGAGATCTCGAACCGAGCCGTTACGTAGCACTGTGGCGCCAGCTGAAAAACCACCGCGGGTGCGAAAGAGGAAACCCGGATGCCACATCGCATCCGTACCACCGCACTGTAAACGATAGTGAGCACAGCCATGCCCATGCCGTCCCGGGAGTCGCACTTCTGGACCTTTTCTTTTCATCTCGCCAGGAGGGTCTCCCCCGGCCTCCACTCCTCTATCCTCGACGCGATGCTGTGTGGTGCTCCCTCGACGGCCTCGTAGATGGGCTGCTGCCCGACGTCGGCTTGCCTGGATAGGTTTGACTTGAAGAGGTGGTCACGGTGCCGAGTTGGGCGCATCCGTTGGGACATCTGACCCACTGAAATGCTTCAGGTTAACTGCCGCCCTTGCTTCTGGGGTGGTTCAACAGGCAAGGGGTTGTCCGGCGCTGTCTTGGGAGCCCGGCGACGAAACACCACACCCTCGAGACACTCCCGAAGGCTCGATGCGCCAGAGAGTCCTGCTTACTTGTGTGCCACTCCCGTTACAGGCAGGACATGGTCTAGGATACCATTAGAATGTGACGAGCAACTCCTGCGAGCGGGATCCGGAAAGACAGCTTACTTTCCACCTAGCTTTCCGTAGAACCAGACACTCCCTCGACAGTTTGAGCATTCAACGGGATGGTTTCCACCGACGCAGCCGCAGGTATAGTCTCCTGTGGACGGGAGCTTTGGGGGGTTGTCAGCATAATATTCGTTGGACATCCTCGGTAGGCCAAGGAGTGAGGTATTGTCGTCTGAAAAGTCAATTGGGGGCTTAAACTCTAATGTGTCATCCGATATAGTGGCGATCTAATAAAGTGTCTTGGGGGCCTCACCTAATTTGGAACTTCGCAGGAATGTGATGAGTTTAAATAACAGTCTCGAGTCTCACGCCATGGTCACCAAAGTCAGACGGCTACTTGCTGATAACGAGAGCAAGGATTGATCGCAAAAGGAGACGTCTCTTTGGTATATCGTCTCCCTACGTCGACATTGTGCTCCATGTAGCTCGCCATTCATCGCAACTGAACACAGCTTCCCACCACCCCAGGAGCCAAGTGGCACCATAAATTGTGCAAGTGACCGCTGATCGGAATCGATCAACCTGGGGCTGGGACTGTATCGCACAATAGTATATAGGGCGGCAATAGAACGAGGCGAACATTATGGAACGCCCTCCACACGCTTGCCCTCCGTGTCAGACTGTTCACGTAGGGAGTGTGCCGTGACACGCAGCTGTGTAAGACGTGTCATGGGGTTATTAACATATACGTGTGGGGACGAGGAGCTTTCATCGTCACAAGCCGTAGAATTACCTGAATCCTGGCCTACACCGATCGGATGTCGAGCACCACCACACAAACATCACCAACCCCACGATGCGTCAATGAGATCCATGATCACTTCCGATGTGTCTCGGATGCCTTCTTTCGACTCGAGTCTACCCGCCCCGTGGTAACATTCCAGAATTCTGCCCCGGAGGCGGCCGGCTCGGAAGGGTCATGCGCTCCAGGTTTCTGGTAGTGCGGATCACCCAGGTCTATCTGGCAGCGTGGAAAAGTCGATCAGGTGCAGCGAGCCAGCCCAGGGCAGATGTTCCTGCAGGTATCCGCGCCGCGGCACAAGCCCGCATGCGTGATGTGCCAGCCGGAGCCAACGAGAGGGCTCGAAAATCGGACCCCGTCGAACGGACAAGCTGGGCCCGCACATTCAAGGTTCCAGGCTATTTCTGCCAATTTGGACATCGGTAAGAAAACCGTAGGTGGGCGGGTGCATGAGAGCAGCACCACACACATCCCTTACTTGGGTGTGCATGCCGTGCAACGATTCACCCTGAAGCGGTCTTGGGCTCAAAATGGTGCTGCGGAACCCGGATGCCTCTCGCCTCGCGGCAGAGAGTGAGAGGTCAGCCTTTCATGGTCCGACGGGTCGGCCTGGGGGTTACCCTCGCTAGAGTATGGTCTCTGGGAAATGGCATGAGGACGTGGTCGAGTTTGCCCGTGCCGGTCAGTGGGGATGACACAGCCGAGTCGCCGATGTCTTCGGAAACTGCGGCCGCAATCGGTTCTCTTTTGACGTTGGCCCAATCGTGACGGCCTGGCTTCGCTAGGATTGTGTGTCCCTCGGTGTTGGGAGATGCGAGTTTGCAATTGTATGTAGCTCGGTGGCCTCAAGTGCTCGGCTCCTTGGCCGTCCCAGCTGGTCTGTTTGCAGCGGCTTGTTTTGATGCTATTGCTATAGGCGTCGACCCAAGAATCGTCGGTACAAGAGATGGCCTGTTCACACTGACTTGGAATATCTTCAGGACAAGGTGAAGCCTCTCGAACACCTTTTCCGTCCAAACCCACAGTGTTTTGCTTTTGTACCGGCTCGCGATTTGCGGAGACGCAGTGTGACCATTCCATATTTTTCTCGTCAACGCTAGGGTGACAACTCTTTTTCGTTTCGCTATACAACCTCCGCTTTAGTTGCTGTTCTTCGGCTGCTTGGTCATGTGTAACACCGAGCATCGAGAAGTTTGACCGTGGACAGCATTAGCCTAGTCGTCATGTGCTCTGCCCCGTGATGAAGGTCTCACGGCTGGAAGCTACCTACGCTAGAATTGAGGGAGGCTAAGGAAGTCACAAGGAGACGGCTTGAGAAACGGCATCTCGCCGGGTTTTTTAACCTCGTGCTCGGACCGGCGATGAAAGCGGTTTCTTCATCGAATGTGGTAGTTAAGCGAGCTGAGCGGTGGGCCAAGAGGTGGAAGGGATATGCTTGGCGTCAGCCGTCACATGCGGTGATCGCGCAGGCTGAGGATGAATGGGACAGGTTGCTGAGGCAGGCCCAGAACTTCTGCATGTCTCGGCTGCCAGCCGGCAAAGGCATGCGCACATGGCCGAGAAAAAAGCAAGTTGATGTCGAGATGATCCTTGAATGCCCATCCTATCTTGCTAGCGTTCATCAGACCAGGGAAGAACAATTTGCAGGCGTTTGGTGGGTGTGCAAACGGTGAGACATGAACGTGTCTGAGTTGGTTGAGGTGGAAAGAATTAACTGATACCATGTTCCAAACTGAGAAGTCGAGGCATTCTGGAATCGTGACCGAATTCCTTCTCTAGGAGTCAAGCACTGTCGTCTTGTTTGCGTAATTGTGCTCTTACTGACATGGTAATACCCGCCCGACAACTTCACATGGCGCTCGATAGGCAAGGGATCTATCTACATACAACTAGGAGGGTACATAAGGGATCCATGCATGTGTACTTGAGGAGGACACAATATACTACAGTCTGAAGGGAGCATTCTTAACATGAAATGGTAGGGTAATTACCTGAGATCAACTCGCCTACCACTTCGTTCGCCCCCATGCCAATACTTCTCTCATAGGTATATATTTCCTCACCGCCTATCTTGGAAACATTAGACCTGCATGAAAGCCTCGAATCAGTATGTCAAGTGCAGAGTATAACTCGACTTCCACGTGTAGACGGTTACCAAAAATTGCCCACAAGCGAGTAACAACTACGAAGCGAAGGTACCCTGGCAGAAACCGCAGTTCCGACTGTGAACTCGTCCGATTCTGTCACCTGACTATGAAGGTGGCCTAATCAAGATGCCAGCTAGCCTGGCTTTTACTTTGGACAGATGCTGACAGGTTTTGCTGGGTGGTACCGCGGCTTCCTCAGCTTTCCAAACGCTCCACGAGCTTGCTGTCCCAAATCAGAGCCAGACTTGATCATGGACAAGGCTGCCCATCAGACATGTCACCCGTGAGCATGTTTTAGGGAAGATGGATAACAGTGTCATGTGCAATCGCCTTCATGTTTAACCGAGGTCAGAGATACTTGTATCCATTACTGATTACCACGTCCTGCCCCTACCCATCCTCGTCCCTCGACTTAAATATTTTTGGATTATATATCTTGGTTCCATCGTCTGCTGTACACGACTTGCAATCGCGTCTTGGGTATGGTATTCCGAATTTGAGTTATGACCCTCACAGAACTCGAGGTAGTATAAACATTTCCAAACAAGTGACATACTTCCCATGTTGCATAGCTGGTATTCGTGTGATGATGGCGCCCTGAACAACAACAGGCGAATAGCTCATGTCACGTATCTTGTGGCGTACCCCAGAGCCACCAAACTCCATCAAGCCAGCTGTCATCAGGAACTCGACAAGAAGAATGGCAACCGACTCTAAGTCCGGGAATGGTTTGCTGCACCCGTCACGCAAGCGGGCTGGCAAAGGAAAGATCGGTCCAACGGACCAGTGATGAACAGCATCGAGCCATCAAACCCACAGGACAGGCGAGAGCAACATTTCGTACTCGGACTATAGGAGCCAATCACACACAAGTGAGTGTATGCTGTCAAAATTGAAGGATTCTATACTCATAGTCAGGGCCACTCTCAGCTGCTAGCAAGCAGACACTGCGACCGGCAATTACGGCTCTCAGCAACCATTGCTTCCGCCGTTTCCTTGGGCACTCATCCCGTGCCGGAACCCACTGACAAAACTCCAAAGCGCCCAGATGCGGAAGGTTTCCCTGGTGACTCCCTGCAACAAAGTCTTGCTCAAACGTGCATAACCCCACTCAGTCATCGACGACACCGCCAGTAAATATACATTGTGCCTCCAGAGTTGTCGCCGCCACGGCCTTTCAGCCAATCTTCTGCCTCTTGGGATCACCACCGATGCCGCCTCCCGCTCTCGCAGGAGCGGCGGCAGTCGTGCCATTCGTGGAAACCTCGGTCAACGCCGGCCTCGCACCGCCTCCCCCGGCGACGCCGTTCTGGCCCTCGCCAGGGGGAGGCCTCTTGAACGTCGGCGGGCGGTACTGGCCCCTGTTGCCCAGGGGGCTACCCGGGCCCATCGGTGCTCCGATCCGTCTCGCCTGATTGAGCTGCGGGTTGACGACGTTGCCCCTCTGTGCGTTGCCAGGGCCCTGTTGAGCTGCCCCGGCGCGGCTGAAGCCGTTGTTCGCGGACGGGGTGGACGGCGCTGTGCCTAGGTCTCCAATGCCACTGTCGTCGTCAATGTCAACTGGTGCGTGGTGCTTGAGGTCTCTCCCAAGTGGCCGTGACTTAGTGTAGTCGATTCCGGGTGTTTTGAAGACCGAGGGGGTTTCGGCGTGGGGGTTAAAGACCTGAGCGCCTGAGGGTGTGCTAGGAAGCATGACTTCGTCATCCTTCTGGCCAGCAAGCTGTTTTACCGCGCGGGCGGAAAAAAATCCTACCGTTTCGTTGGTACCTGAGCTGTCACTTTGCGCCTGTGGTGGTGGCTGAACAGGGCCACTGTTGCTTGAATTATTGGTCTGCGCGGGGCCATTGGCCTGGGGTCGATGCTGGTTTTGTTGTGGTGGTCGCGGAGCGTTCTGGACAGGTTGATTTGGACCTCCTGGTCGCGGATTCTGCTGGCCTTGGGCAGGATTTTGAGGTGGCCGAGGTGGGTTTCCTGCTGAGTGTGACCTTGCTGGAGGTCTCGAAGGTGGCTGCATGGCTTGTGGGTTTGGTTTGAAATTCGGCTGAGGAGTTGGTTTCGCGCTTTCTGATAGTGAAACCTCGTCTGGGTGGTCATCATCCACCATATTAAAATCCGCCTCATCAAACTCTCCAAGGAGGTCCTCAAAAGATTCGATAGCGGAAGGCGCTGCGTTGCCAATATGTTGGGCAGAAGGCTCCTTTTTGACTTCAACCCTCTTGACAAAGTCTGCGTGCCGGTGCAGCCCACTCTCATCCCAGCCCTTGTTGGGCTGGGGCTTCAGCTTGGTGACCTTCTTCAGATAATCCTTGTCGTAGATGCAGTTGCCCAGCACATTTCCAAAGTTCCTCAGCGCCCTCTTCAGTGCATCGGTGGTCCCCTCCTTCTTCGCCTTTTCAAAAGCTTGCGCCTTGCTCTTGCAGTTCTCGATCTGGCCGTAGCCAATGTCCTCGTGGAATGTCCCATCTCGCAGCGTCACGCGGACAATTACGGACAATCCCAGGGAGATCCTGAGCGTCTGGGGGTTCTCGTCGACAAAGTCCACCTGTACTTCTTTGATCATTGACGACCAGCCATTGAAGCCGAAAACCTCGTTGGCGAGGGCGATGCATTTCTCAGCGGCGATGTAGTGGACCTTTTGTCCCGAAGGCCCCGTGCGTGCGGACAGGTATTCGGGCCCGAGCTGTTTCTCGAGGCGGGACTGCAGCGTGGCGATCTCCTGCGCTGTGTATTCTGAGACGCGCGGCTTGGCCTCCTCGAAAGGGTTGGCGACTATGGTGTGTTGGTCCCCTGGGCTGTACAGGCGGGAACGTCAAGACGTCAGTAAGTTGGAACTCGCGATAACCGAAGACGCGGCGCGCTGTGTCAGGCGCGTTGCGCAGGATTGCAGCTGTTGTGGCAGAAGAGTACTACTTACGCAGGCATTTTGGCGTGCTTTCAAGCAGCATGCACGCCCATCAAATCACTGATCTCGGCTTGATTGTGGTGGAGAATGGGATGCTTCAAGGACGGGTGACTCTCACGCCACATGAGCCGTCTCTTTTGGTTGTTGACGCGCCCTCTGCCTGGAGACGTGCCTGGACGCCTTCTCTGGTAACAGCCCGGTACCGCGTCTGCACGTGACCCAGTTTTCCCGTCACATCATCAAGCCGAGGTCCCCTGTTCTTCACTGCCAACGCTAGATATACTAGCTACGACTGGCGGCAACCAGCAAAAGGTTTTGAACAAATTGTTATTCTTTCCTCAAGTATTTCTCATTCAAATTACTTATATCAAAGACAGCTCTCTTTTTGTTTTTGTGTAGCACGTGGCTCGGATCCTCATATGCAGATCAAACAGTAATCATTTCACTACGACAGTTGGACCAGGTTTGTGTCAGCTGCCGTTGGCCGCTTGGTCATTGATGACTTATGATCCTACGGCAGTGTCCACGTCGAGGGAGGGGGAGGGACAAGTCATTGTCACCTTCAACAAGGTGGTAGGTACGCGCGTTACTGTTTGTGGCCAATGTGCTCCTGTTTGCCGTCAGCCATCCTATCTACGTAGACCGTTGCCATTGTACTCTAATTGGGCATAGCTGGTAGGCACTTGAATTCATCAGGCCGACAGATAAAACTGTTCACTAACATGCCCTCGTTGATTACAAAGGAAAACCCAGAGTCAAGTATCTTCCTCGACGATGCTTTCCATCGGATGTACAGAGTCAGTCCCCGTGCCGGGGAGCTGAGGAAAGAAATGGATATCAAATGACGCGCAGACCATGAGAATAACGCCGCCGTGATGTGTGATCCCCCGTGTCTATGCCATCCCTCTAAACGCCAAAATGAAAACGGTGCCCCCTCCTCCTGCACAATGTCTGAGAACGCGGAGAGCGTTCTCTCCTCTTCTGACAACCTCGGCCCACGCACAGTGCTGCTTCAGTAATACGACTGATGGCCTGGGTACGACAGGCTCCGTCTCTAGAAGGGCCCAACACGGACAGGAGCTCCGTATGAACCGTTCAGGAGCTGGTCCAGGATCGAGTTCTGGTCTGAGGCACCGGGCTGGCCATTCTGATTCTGAGTGGTGCCGGACCATCCCACGTTGCTGGACAGGGCGTTCACTGCCGGTTGCAGTCGCCCTCCAGCCTGCTCGTTGTGCTTGGCCAGAACCTGGTCCCATCCGTCCCTGTGGAGGGCAAATCCACCACCTCGCTTCGCCGCCTCTGTGATCACCATCGTCCAGGCCTTGGCTATCTCGTCGTACACATGATCCTTGTGGTGCCTATAGGTTTGGCTATCCCAGTTGGGCATCGAGTGCGCGACCTTGGTAACGCCGTCCAAGTACATGAGTGACACATCAGCCTGGTTTTCGATCGGGGGAAGGTATTGTGGCGTGAAGTCCATGATGGCGCTGACAAGAGCGGCCAGTGGCTGCTTCACCCGGTAGTATGCGTAGTCGGAGCTAGAGTGGCCGTACGGCATCGACTCGGCGAGCTTCTGTTGGTAGCCCTCCAGAACCTGTAGTGTGGATGCGGCAGACGGGCGTGGAGCACCGCTCAGGACCTCCTCCTGTATGTCTGAACGTCGCTCACATATCCTCTGGAGAACAGTCCGCAGCTGGTTGTTGTCCAGGGTCTCAAGCAGTCGGGGTAGCGGCAGCGCTCGGGAGGGAGGCTCAGGGAGCCTGCTCTTCTTGGATGGTCTCGCAAGCTGTCTCTGGTGAGGGGCAGGAGAACTGAGGGGCGAAACGCTCATCTCGTCAACGTCGTCGTCAGAAGCCTTCCGTTTCCGTGATGTGGAGGCCATGTTTGTGAAAGGGGACACTAGTGAGTACCGAATGTCAGCGCCAAGAGCGCAGCAACGCACGGGTTTGTCTGAAGAGGATTCAAGATCTTCAATCTCGACATGCCTACTGAGTCAGGGAGACTCAGACGACCGGAACCCAAGACGGGGCTGCATGGGCCGACCTGAGGAAGACGGATGGGGGGATACATACTAGACCGAGAAGGAGAGAGGCGGTTGTTTTCGTGCTGATGGGGGAAGACAGGTGGCTGCGACAACAGCACGTTCATCTTGGCGTTGACGCAGGCGAGTCGCCTTGTGATGTGGATGTATCGTAGGTGAGTTACTGTGCGAGCGGCCTTGGTGGTGCAGACGGGACAAATGGCTGGTCAGATGCCGAAGAGGGTTTGCTGATCGGGAAGGAGTCGACGTCGAGGACGGGGACGAGGACGGGGACGAGGACGGGGACGAGCGAATTCTGATGCTGAGCGGGTCCGCCTTGGAGGTTGGGACGAAGGAAAGTGGTGAAGGGTGGAAGCGGAGAAGTTTCGCTCGCAGGCCAGAGGTGGGCTCGAGGGTAGTCGTCCAATGATGGATGTGTGGAGTGGCCTGGCGGGCTGGCTACCTGGTTACTGTGCGTAGGTAGGCAGGGAGCAGCGATACGCAGTCGTGTGCGTGCTTGGTCGCTCGGCCACTTGGTGGTGGTGGTGGTGCCTGTCGCTTTGTTGTGGGAGGATATGGTGGATGCAAGTTCAGGTGCAGGTTCAGGTTTGAATTAAGGCTCAGGCTGGCGTGGCCGATGGATGAAGGAGAAAGCGGACGGGTGGATGGGGACGGATGGACCGAGTGCATTGAATCGCATCAAATAGCAGACGGACGAGACACAACAAGAGTTAGGTGCAAGTAGTCAGGCAGTTCAGGTCTGCAGGGGCCCAGCTGGCTCGCAGGCTGATGGAGGGTAAGGGAGGGATACCCAGCTGCTGCTATGCCCGTTGGTGATGTTCCAGCTGGTCCGAGCTGGTCCAAGCACTTCCAAGCACTTTCCTGGGTTGGCGGGCCCCTCTGTCTCTCTCAAGGCCAAATCCCGCCGTCCCAAGGTGTGGCGGCTCCTTGTAATTACGCCTGCCTGCCGGTCCAGGGAGCCACCTGGGCCTGGGTGACCCAAGTAACCAGGTACCCGCGCAGGGAGGCCCGGTACCTCGGCGCCGGCAGCTGGGCAGCTGAGTCTCAAAGTCTCAACGACAAAGGCGGTCAAGGAAAAGAAAAGGCCGTCTTCGAACCCCAGTGCCTGCATTGCATCGGCGGCGTCGTTCGAGTGGACCGGACCGCAGGGACAAGCTGCAATGCCAACAAACAAACATACCCAACAGGCAAGTAACCCTCCAGCAACCGTGAACCACTGCCAACCACTTAGATGAGCCAACGAGACCCCAGACGCTGGATTATCCGGGCACCTATTGCAGTGGGTTCCATGGTGCAGCCGCTCTGTATGTCGGTTCTTCTACAGGGCCGTGGAGCTCGGAGCGATATGTCTGGTCAGGTATAGATTAGGGAGGGAGCCAGACTACCTAGGTATGTTACTTAGACATAGCTCCCACGGGAGCTGTGCACAACCAATGAGATTGCGCTTGGAATGGTCACGACCTTCGGCCTACTACCTAGGTACTGTGCGGCACACACCAGGTTGAGCACACGCACTACTACGTAGTATGTTTTATGGATTCCGAGTCTACTGCATCGTAGGAATGGCACCAGCCCTGCAGTCCCTCCAATTCGATCAACGACTACCTGGATAGCTGTCACATCACGTCACGTGTATTGACTGGCTCTGGGCAACGTTATTCATCAGGCTGCTGGCGGCGGCGGCGGCTGCTCGAATTCCGTAGTGCTGAGCCAGTGCGGCTCCAGCTTTCAAGGCAGGCAGACAGAGGCTTCGAGGCCGACATGATGATAGATGTGCCCCGCTTGCCCACTCTCTAGTGCCTGATCCTCCGAACCTACCACTTCCGTTCCGAGTTCTTCTCAAAGCTACTTCCGGACGACATGGCTGCCCTCGGCCGGCTCCAACAGCTTCCAGCTGCACTGGATGTTCTGGGGCCTGAACCGAGATATTATGCTCTCGGCAATCTCCTCGAAGTTGTTGGTGGCCAGGGCCAGGATGGTAGGCCCCGCGCCCGAGAGACACACCCCGAGCAGCCCGGGCATCGTGCTTGGCGTCATGGACTCGACAATCTCCGTCAGCCCGGGGATCAGGGTCTGGCGGTACGGCTGGTGCAGCTTGTCCTGCATCGCCAGGTAGATCAGATCCGGATCCGGAGGGGACTGGCCGAGTGCCACCGGCAGGAGGGCTATTCTCTGCAGGTTGAACGTCTGGTTTCGGGGGGTCAGTATTCATGACCCGGCAAGTCTCGTGACACATATTTCCCAAACTCACCACATCGGGGCGAGGATACTCTGCAGGCAGCACAGCCCTTGCCTTTGCCGTAGCGACCTCGAAATCGGGGATGATAGCCACAGCCTTGATCTCCTTTGCCCAGGGGAACTTGATGTGATGCCCAATGCCCCGTGGCGGATCCGGGGGCCTGGCGCCGGTGTCGACTCCGCCCGCCGGCGAAGGGAGGACCTCAGCTAGGGGAATCTCGATACGGGCCACGTCCTCTGGTGCGAGTGGCTTCAAGTAGGTCCCCACAAAGCCTCCGTACAGTGCTGCGCCCACATTGTCCGGGTGCCGTTCTACAATGGTGAATGTCAGCAAGATATTCCGGGGCACGTTGCGGTCCAGCCGTACCTATCATGAGGCAGTAGTCAAATAGGCGGTCATTGTCCAGGTGGTCGAGTCCACCGCACTGCTTGCCCAGCAGCACGCCGGCCACCACGGCAGCGCCTGACGACCCCAGACCACGGCCCAGAGGGATTGGGTTCTTGATGTGCACATGGGTCTCCACCGGGAAGGAACGCTGCTCGTGGCACCGCAGGACGTAGAGGGCCACTCGAGTCAGTAGGTTCGCATCCGGATCGAGGCTGATCTCGTCCTCCCCCTGGCCCTCATACGTGACGCGGCAGTTGAGAGGATACTCCGACTTGGACTTGGTCCGGTCAATGGTGACATGCAGCTCCAGGTACATGGAAAGAGCGAGGCCTATGACGTCGAAGCCCGGGCCAATGTTGGCGGACGAACATGGCACCTTGATGACGAAAGCTTCGGAGGCCATGATTGATGTGGGATGTTGGTAGTTCCACGGGCCGCTCAAATCGGTGCTGGTGATTGCGGCGGTCGGTCAAGAGTCTGAGAGCAAGAGGTGTTGAACCCCTGGACGCGGACAATGACCGATTGACTCGCTTATTCTCTGAGCAGGAGGTCCGGCTCAAAAGCAGTAAGATTTTGACAACTCGGTGGGTTTCCACATAAATATATGTCTGGATACTCTGGTGTGACTCGAGAATGAGTTTCTCCTAGCAGTCCCGATGACGGACCACACACAGAGGTCGGGCCCTCTGCCGCAGTGGACCCTATCGTGCCATCCCACTTTGGCAGATAACATGATTCAAGATGATTTTTTCAGCCCTACGACTATACAATTTGGCTCAAGATGTGGTCACATATATTTTCAGGAAACTCTCTCACAAGAAGGGATGCACAGTGCAGCACAGTTGTGGTTATTTGCTGCATCCTGTAAGTGTGCACTCAGACGCAAGTACCAGCTGACCTCCCTAGACGGTTGTATCTGGAATTGGACCCTTGCGGTGGGGGATCTGCAAGAAGGCGGTCTCCACCGCCTTCCTTATCAGACTCGCTTCTTCCTTATCGCATGGGAAAATTTCAGCTCAATTGAATCCCGACCTGGGCTTCCTATAGTCTAATTTTACTAGTGTTCTTGCTTCCCGCATACATTTTCGAGCACGTCTCAGTTCCGGCCAGGCTTCCTACGTTCGAAGCATCGTCCGCAACCATGTCGACAGAAACAGAAACACCGCCAAGGGCAAGCCCCGAGGTCGCCAGCGAACCCTCCAAAAAGTCCAAGAAGCGCAAGAACGACCCCGAGGAGATCGAGGTCGACCTCTCCCTCCCCGAACCCCCGTCGAAAAAGGCGAAGCGTCTCTTGAAGAAGGGCAAGCCCCTGCCCGTCAAGAAGGACTCGGATGACGAGGCCAGCGACAAGGAGGAGGGCGGCGGCAAGAAGGACAAGGACGGCAAGAAGAAGGAGCGGTCGCCCTACGGCGTCTGGATAGGCAACCTGCGCTTCAGCGTCACTAAGCACGACCTGAGCGACTGGCTGGTGGAGAACTCGGGCGGCAGCATCACCGCCGACCAAATCACCCGCATCAAGCTGCCCTCGTCGCGGCCCAAGGGCGCCAGGAGGGCAGAGGCCGCCGCCGCCGCCGCTGAGCCCTTCGAGAACAAGGGCTACGCATACGTCGACTTCTCCAGCTACGAGACCACCATCGCCGCCATCGCCCTGTCCGAGACCGAGTGGCACCGCCGGAAGCTGCTGATCAAGGACGCCAAGAGCTTCGAGGGCCGGCCCGCCAAGCCCAAGCCCGACGCCGACGGTAAAGATGCCGGGACTGGGGCGGCCGCCGCTGAGGCCAATGCGGAGCAGCCCAAGTCCACGACCAAGAAGATCTTCGTCGGCAACCTGAGCTTCCAGACCACCGAGGACGACCTCCACGAGCTCTTCGGGACCTGCGGCGAGATCGAGTGGCTCAAGGTCGCGCAGTTCGAGGACTCGGGCAAGTGCAAGGGCTACGCGTGGGTCAAGTTCAAGGAGGCCGAGGCCGCCGACTGGGCCGTGAAGGGGTTCGTCAAGATCAAGGAGGTCGAGGAGACGGAGGAGGACTTCATGGACGTCGACGAAAAGGAAGAAGAGGAAGAGAAGGCGAGAGAAGACGACGAGGAGGACAGCGGGGAGGAGGACAAGCAGAAGAAGAAGAAGGCCGGAAAGAAGGCAAAACCACAAAAGGAGGAGCGCAGGGTCAAGACCCGCAAGTGGTGGGTAAACACCCTGCACGGCCGGCGCCTGAAGATTGAGGCGGCAGAGGACGACCAGACGAGATACAAGAAAAGGTACGGCGGCAAGGGCGCCGCCGCCGCCGGTGGGCAGAAGGAGAATCCCGCCAGGCGCGAGGCAGGTGGCGGCATACAGCGTCCACAGGCGTCTAATCACAAGCACAACAACAACAAGAGGAGGCGGGATTACGACGAGGGCGGAGGTAGGGATACCGGTGCCAACGCTGCTGCGCCCAAGGAGGCAGAGGTTAGCAACTTCTACCAGGACATCAGCGTGGCCAGGTTGACGGGCGCCCCGGTGAAGCCCCAGGGCAAGAAGACCACCTTCGACTAATCATGGGGCCGACGGAAGAAAGCAGGTCGAGATGTCCGGCGCGCACATTCGCAGGTAAATCGCGGCTTAGACAGTGGTTACAGTACGATAAAGCGGCTGGGAAGCTTTAATCCGTACGGGTGTTAGCCTTAATTTCACAAATCAAGATATTGCGAACAGATTTGTTTGAAGTCGATTTTGCAACGTAAGGCATGATGAGGACGTAGTGACATTCTGTTCTTGCTAATGATTCCGTTGAGGTGGCGGTTCAGAGAGCCGAAAAGAGTTAAGAGTAGAGGCACTCTGCTCTGGGCCTGAAAATCATCGAAATCGTAAGGGAAGGGAGAGTAAAAAGACCTGCGAGAAAGACCAGGAGACAAAACAAGAGACGCATTATCAGCCCAAAAATTGCACCCAAACTCGTAAACCGTCATCATCCTACACGCACGACTTCCCAACGGGACCACTTCTGTTGTCGCAACCCCCTAAAGACTAAAAAGTTAACCACGCTTACTTCCTCTGCACCCGTCTCTGTTGTTCGCCGAGATACTCCTCATCGGATGCATCAAGGATATCATACTCCTCATCGGTCAGGAATGCGTCATCCTCTTCCTCCGCCCAGTCATCATCCTCGCCGCAGTCCTCGAAGTCATCAACATCTTCGTCGATAACCTCGGCCGTCTCAGACTTGATGTCTTCGTGGGTGCTTGCCTCGGGAGACTCCTTCTCCAACTTCGGGAAGATCATTTGGCTGCTAGCCTCTGATGCAGGCTCAACCTCCTTCTTCACAACGGTGGTGGGCTCCTCCTTCTTTGGCTCCTCCACAGCCTTTGGCGCCTGCACAGTTACGTCACACCACAGGCGGTGGCCGAACTTGTGACCGTCACTGGTAGTCAGACGCCAGTATGAGATGACCTTGCCTTCGCGAGCCGGTGTTCGGAGCAGAACGGTGAAGGAAAACTCCTGTCCAGGTGCCAGTGAGTTGTAGCAGACAGTCGACTCGGAGGCGGAAACAAGATCATGGAGGCGAGCGGGGTGGTTAGGGTCGACGTGGCCCATGTAGTCGCCACCTACAAACTTGACCGAGCATCCTGCAGGCCAAGAGATTTCGCCAGCGTTACGGAGGACCCAAGTCTGCTCGAACACGTGGTTCGGAGGCAAGACAGTGCCGTCGACAACGGTGTCCCGCTCAAACACGGCGACAAGCTTCTCGACATCGTCACCGCTGCTTCCTTGGCTCTCCAGAGCGGATTTGGCAGCCGATGCGGCAGCCTCTTGAGCCTCCAGGACCTTGGCCCTCTGAGCTTCCACGGCAGCCTTTCGAGCCAGCAGCATGGCGTTCTCGCGCTGCTCGGCATGCGCGCGCTCCCACTTCTTCAGTGTCTCGAGATGGGACTCGGCGTCTCCAACGGTAGGCTTCACGTCGACGACAGTCTGCACAGAGCTGGCCGCGATGTTGCTGGATGGAGTGGTCTCGGTCGTCTGAGAGGTTGTGGACTTGCGGTGGCGCACCAGGCGGTCGCCCATCACAGGCATCCTCTGACCGTTCTCATCCTCACCCTTTGTGGTGACCTCAACACGTCTGACAGGGGTCTTGAACTTGATGAGAGGGTGAGTCTTGTTGTGCGTGTTGGCCGGAGTTGCTTCGCAGCTGGCACAGAAGTCCGTGTCATGGCACACAGTGCACTTGTACCTCTCACCAACAATGTAAGCTTTGCGGGTGCCATTGCAGAGAGGTCCGTCGCAGCAGATGCCATAGTGGACAGGACGGGTAGCAGTCCGCACGCGGGCGTCTACCAACTGCTCGTAGATGGGAACGAAGCGGTGGTTTGGGTGAATGAAGCTGGCATTCACAACGCAGTCTGCGCAATAGTCCCAATCAGGGCAGTCGAGGCACTTGTGCCGAATACCAAAGATGAACTTCTCGCAGCCGTCGCAGATGGCATGGTGCCGCTGGTTGCGGCCAGGGGATAGCCGCTTGGAAATGTCGGAAGGCAGAGGGGTGCCCTCCACGGCGGGAGTGAAGCCATGCTTGGGGTGGTGGCCGTGCTGATCACTCTTGAAGCAGGACTTGCATAGGTCAAAGTCATCGCAAGAAGTGCAGTGCAAGAACTCCCTGTCGGGTAGCTCCTGTACACACGAGTTGCATGTTCTTGTAGGGAAGTGGTTGAACCTGGTCGAAGGCCCCTCAAACACAGTGACACAGGGAGCGGGGGCCCAGGTGGGCTCAGCTTCCTTAGCCTTTGGCTTGGGCGCGATCCTCTCGGTGGTGCTGACCAGAATCGAATCACCTCGGACAAATCTCTTGATCAGCCAGTGCTCAGCGCTGTAGCAGGTGATACCTTGCTCGACGCATTCAGGGCACAGGTCGAAGTCACCGTTGTCGCACGTCGAGCAGTGGTAGTGGGAATCGGGGATGGTGCGATCACAGTTGTTACAACAGACCGCGAAGTTAGCCGACTTGGGAGCTACGTAGACGGACGTGGCTGGCTCCGCAGGCTGGCTGTCCTGTGCTTGAGCCTGGACAGCGGGAGAAGTCTGCTCGAACTTGTCCATACCCAGCTGCAACTGGCTCATGGCCTTCTCCAGACGCTGGTCCAGGGCCTTGATCTTGTCCAGATTCGACAGGTCCGAAGTTGCCAGGTCTTTCAATGTGGGGAACAATGAAGGCGGGACTGGACACTGCTCTGGTGCCGGCTTCGCGGGTTCGGCAGCTTCGGACGGAGCCGTGGAGATCAGGGGGGCCTCGGGCTTGCTCTGGGCAAAGTCTTGGTTCTCGGTTTCGGGCTCGTCCTCGACTGTGACGGGCTTGGGCCCCTTATCCTCTTCGTCCGAGTCCCTAAGGGTCACACGGAGCTTGAGCTTTTGCTTCGCCTTGGCAGCACGGTAGAGCTGCTTCCAAACCGAGATGTTGCTGTGGTCGAGGACGACGTATGAAGAAGCCGAGTCGGAGTACCGCTCAAATGTGGCTAGGGCTCCAGGAGCGATGCATAGGCTGGCTCGGATCTAAGCAGATCTGTCAGTATGCAGGACCGTCGCTTGTTCAAGGAGTCAATTGCAACAAGGGACGAGATTCCGTATTGCTCTGTCCCGTAGTGATGGCCAGCGTTCGATGTCGTCCTGGGAGATGGAGTCGGGATGTGGGTACGATAAGGCGAATCGGCAGTGCAGATGGCGAGGGCGGTGGTAGATAGCATGACGTACCTTATCTTCCAGTGAGCTAGCACCGAGGTCACGAAGGGGCAGCTTGAATCGACGGGTGCTGCCCTGGAAGTTGACCTTCAAGGTGACAAGAGTGTCAGGGGTCGCCGGTGCAGACGAAGCCATGATGGATTAGGACCGATGTTGTCTGATTGAAGATGTTAGAATGGTAGTGATGGTCTGAAGGAGGGCGAGGTGTCTTGGTGGTGCGAGTCTGGGGTCTCGGCACGCCGCTGCACAGTTGACACCGGCAGAGCACGCGAGTAAGTCTGGAAACGGGCGGTGAAATGCACCACAATTCCTACTGTCCCATGGAAGTGCAATGATGAGGATGCAGCGCGACAATGTCGTAAAGTGCAGGTTGCTCGAGAGAGGTAGGGGGGCGGTGATGGGCAGCACGTACGTATACAAGCCAGGTGGATCGGTCAATACGGACTTGGGGAATGGGTCAGGTCAATGGCTGGGTAGGAAAGATGCAAGGTTTCCTAGGGCAGGAAGGCGATGATGAATGGAGGTAGGTGTGGTGAATCACAGACACAACGACGGGGAGGATGCCGTGCTGGTTGAGGAAGAGAAGAGAGGAGGGGAAAGAAGGCGACGAGCAGGAGGCCGATCAGAGAGGTAAAAGGGAGGGATCCGTGGTAGAGGCAGAGGGGGAGTGAGTGAATGGCACAAGCTTACCTGTGCAGTGCACACCTGACACAAGCTGGGACCTGCGGTTGATTGGTAGTCCAAGACGTGACGGCGTCCAGCGATGAATGGCTTGCGTTCGTGTTAGTGTTCGTGCGGAGGCGAGTACTGCGAGTGCTAATAGTGTATCGCAAGCGGGTGGGTGGTCTCCTGGTGGTCCGTCCGGTCCTGTAGGTGAGGTACCCCGTACCAGTGAAGTGGCTGTAGTCTACAGGAGGCAGGTACCACCTAAAGTGGCAGGCGGGCAGGCGGGCAAGCGGGCAAGCGGGTTGGTGTGCTGTAGTGTGCTGTGCGCGTACGGGCTGGGCTGGGGGCTTTTTACCTCGGCCGGCTTGCTCGGGCAAAATGCAGCACGAGAGCAGGGCTTATGTCCGGGGTACTTACAGCACGGCATGCAGGTGAGAGACGCGAAGCTGGAGCTGCGAGCTGGGGTGACGAAGAAGTATGCATGAGGCAGCAGGCAGAGAGTGGGACTCGCAACACCTCACTCGTCTAGAATGCCAGCGAAAGGGTGGCGATCTTCTGATAAAGCAGACTGTCTGGTCTGTCAAGCCAGGAAACTGGGCAAACTCAAAGGTGCTGGTCGTGTCCGTCGCAAACGGTGGCGGCGCTTCAAAGACAAGGGCGCTCGTTACGCTCGGGTTCTGGCCCGCCCTGCGCTACCGTTGATAGGAGGCACCCGCAAGGCAGGCAGGCACGGCGGGCAGGCAGCCTTTGCACCCACGATGTGATTACGGATACATTGCAGGCAAGAGAGGGGGAGGCCTACGTAGGCCCCGCTCCTGCCTGGCCGATCCAGCCTGGCTGTCCTCACTGTAGTCTGTATGAAAGCCGAGACAGACCGGCGAGGCTGCAGCAGGCTTGGTAATGGGATGATTGCCCAGGCACAGCAGGCTAATGTCATGTCGCCTTTTCGCCGTCCACAAGCATTGAGCATGTCCCCCCGTTTGAAACATGATCGCCACCGTCATCGCCGTCCAAGAAAGTCGTCCCCTGTGCCGCAGCAAGAGGGTCGAGAGGGCGGTCGTGCAGGAGCAGAGAAGGAGCCAGGAGCAGGAGCAACTCCCTCTCGTCTGACCTGACTACGCATGATTCGCCTCCTTTATTCGAGACCACAGATGCTGCGGTGGCATTCATGATACATCAGAAACATGCCTCTCCTTTGCCTCCGTCTCATATATTTTCAGTCCTGTCAGTCAGTCAGTCAGTCAGTCAGTCACGTCGGTCAGTCCCGTCCAGCCCAGTCAGTCCACGGGCAGGGAGCCAAGCGGTGTCGAGCCCGTTTGCCTTCGTGCCAAGGAAGGGTGCCCGCTGGGTGGACAGACTGCCCGCTGGGTGGACAGACTGCCAGACCGACGCACCCTGGACCGAGCCGGTGCCTCTACATACAACCACGCCTGGCCATTTCCATACCGCTCTTTTTAATTAGCTACGGCAAAGCAAGAAGAAGCAGGGTCTCCTTTCCGACATGTGAGTCCTCACTAAATAGTAACCCTCTCCTCCCCTGCGTGTGGACCATCCCCCATGATCTGTCAAGCTTCCGGACCAAACTGCCAGTGCGAGCGAGGGTGACCGTGGATGGGCAAAAAAGGCCTCGACCCGTCCGCCAAAGCGGCCACCAACGCGTACGCTCGTACGAATGCAGATGGTGACGACAACGAATCAAGACCTGAGCACACGGCTGCACACGGCCGGTTGGTGGGCTGCCTAGCATGATTAGAGCTCAGCACCTTCGCCTTGGCCTGAACTGTCTGCCCCTCGTGCGACCCCCTCGTGCCCGGACCCCATCTCCGTCCCAAGCTCAGCGATCTTCCCCGTTACATGCAAGTCATCTTTAATGATGTGTGCGTTGCGTGGCTAACTCGTCAACTACCGGCCGTGTGAGGGCGTGTGTCTCATGCACTGGTGGTGTCATTGTTTCCCCTGGCAAGAGACGGTGAATGCGGTATCACAAAGAAAGACCTACTAAATTAGCATCCCCGAGAGATCTATCCCGACTTGTAACCGACCCGTTGATTTATGCTTAACCTGGCAATTGCCGTAGGGATGCCTATTCCAGTTTGGTGATGGCTTCCTTCGATAAAAAAGGTGACGATAAATTTGACACATTTTAATGGACTCTTTGCTCACACTACGGCTCACAAGAGCCCTCACATTATCGATGCTGAGATGTGAACATCCCAAACCACCAGGCCCAAGTTGCGAGCTTAACCAATGATGCCCTCCAGTGCCTCGACCAGACCTGTCTCCTCGTACCTCACAATCCTCCGCTTGCCTTCACCCTCCACCCGCCCCTTGACCTTGACACACTTGATGCCCAGCCCCGCCAGCTCCTCAATGTTGACCCTCGGCATGCCAGGGGCGCCCGCATCCGCGCCCTCGAGGTAGACGACATGCGTGACGTATCTGCTGACCTCAGCCTCGCCCAGGGGCCCAAAGTCCGTCTGGCTCTCCTTAGCCGCCTTCGCGATGGCCCGGGCAAAGTCGACCGCCGTCATCGGGCTCGCCGCGGGGCCAGTCTCCCGGTCCGTCTTGCTGTTGAGGATTAACACCTTATTCCTGACCGTGGCCCCCGCGACTGCGGCCCCGACGCCCCGGAGGATCACGGACGGGATGATGCTCGTGTACAGGCTGCCTATGCTGTACACCACCGTCTCGCTGTCCTCGAGCGCCGCGATCACCTTGGCGTTGGCCACCGGCCAGATCTCGTGCCCGTACGGGTTGATGTACCACACCCGCTCGATCCGGCACGCCAGGTCCTCCTCCTCGTCCTTGGAGAAGGCATGGTGGCCGCGCAGCACGGGCAGCGACCCGGGGAGGTTGGCGTCCTCGACGCGGTCCAGGTCCAGGTGCTTGTTCCCCGTGGGCTGGAAGGTGTCGTCCGGCACCGCGGTGGGGCCGGAGGGGTGGGAGATGGCGACCTGGCCGGCGAGTACGGACCCGTCGGCGAGGCCGGCCGAGATGTGGTGCGTGAAGTTGGAGTTGATAGCTGGAAGGACGGTGGTGGACTCGGGGATGGCGCAGATCAGCGAGAGGAGGTAAATTGCAGACTCGAAGGAGCCAGAGAAGAGTCGGGCCCTGTCGTTGGGATTAGCACATTGTACGCGTGGAAGCCTTGCATGATCTTGTGTGCCCATCTGGACAAACTCGCCCTGTCAGAAAGAGGTTTCCAACGCTTGCCTCGGCAAAGTTGAACACACTCGTAGGCCTGTTTCTCTTGACAATCTCGAGGTTCAAGGTGTTGAAGACTGAGCGGATCAGCTCCCTCTGCTGGCTCGGGATGAACGTCCACAGGATATGCCTTGCCTCCACTATGTCGAGCCACTCTGCTCGTGCCATCATCGGATCCGCAGACAGACGATACTCAAACAGGGTCTTGAGCGCCGTTCTTTCCTCATCGCCCCTGTGGTTGGGAATCAGGCGGACGAGACGGCCTTTGAGTTAGAGGGGCGAGCCTCCCATCAGCAATCTGTAGAACCAGGATAGCCCTCAACGAGGCCGCTCAGAGAACTCACTTCGCACATCGCCGACACCTGCAGCAGGTCAGTAATCGCCAACATGATGCATTGTGCAAAGGGGACTGTATCTTACTGGGCCCTCCAAACACCCTGATGAGCTCAGACGAGCTGCCTCCATTGTCGCTGATGGGGATGATGTAACGCAGGGGACGCTTCTTCTTCGAGGTAATCTTGTCGAAAACATCAACCAGGAAATTAGCCGCCGTACCGCCGGAGAAGACGGCTATGCCGCCCCGTTCAGGGTGGCGAGGCGTCGGCGGATACGGACTCGCGGGAGGAGGAGTCAGGGGCCGCGGAGTCGAGGTCGGAGGGTTTAGTGACTGTGGAGTGTTTGACATCGTCGTGGCTGTTGTGCAGTGCTGCGTTCTGAGCCAATTGGAGAATCAAGGACAGTTTGGGCGCATCTCTCTGGGTGTTCTTGCCGTTCTTTGCTTTCTCGCCCTCACATCAGTTGTGTGGTGGAATCATCGTCCTTTAAATACTGAATTGGGCCACGCTCGGTTGACGACACCCTTGGAGCCATCGCGGCTGAGCCATGGCCAATTCCAGTCTGACCTGGGTGCGACAACCAAAACGTGGCATCATCGTGTCCTCGAATATTCCTGTACTCAGAAAATATTACCTCTTATTTGACAGGACTCGTGTTGGATTTGTAATGACCAGACTCTTCTGCACGGTTTGACCTGCGCTTCCTAGATTATATGTCTTTTTTGGATCAGAGAGCGGCATTCACCCTGGACAAGCAGCAGCATCATCACAACCATCACCACAACCACTTAATCTCTGAGCACGCCCTTCAGAGCTCGAAGTGAGACTGGCAATTTGGTCCCGTTATTTGTTTTGACATTACGCAACGGTGTAATCAACTGCACTCGTCAAGCTTGCCCCAGTACGGCTGCATGCTTATTCACGGTCTGAATTTCCTGACAACGTTTTACTGTCAGGAAGGGGAGACATGACGTTCAGAGGCATCCTGAGGCATCCTTGCCGGTGGCAGGACACATGTGACATCATAGACAAACACAAAGCATCACGTTCATCCGCAAAGCCGTGCCTTTTCAACAGCGAGTATTCCATACAGCTACCTATAAGCCCACCGCAACGTCCTCTCACCACCCTTCCAAAAGCACCCTGCCGTGAGCAGAGCTCATCACCACGAGCAGTAAACGACCATATTGTGCGAGCCGTCTAGCCAAGTCTATCTCTCAAGACCGATGACCAAATCACTGCCCACCGCTTCGTCCTCGGGCCATCGCCTGCCCTACAGCTCGCCGTCCGGCCTCAGCTTTCTTCATTCAGCCCTCCTCCTCCCGGAAACGCGGAGCTTTCCCTGTCTGCAAACACAGGGGCACAGACAGGTGAGAGACAGGAGCACCGGAATTCCTCTTCCTCCCAGGCTGAAAGGAGTGTCATGGTCGCCATTGATCCATTATCAAAACAACCCCCCCCCTGCAAGCCACCACACCAGCAGTCACCTTACAATGAGAGAGCAAAGCGATCCAACTCAGCCACGCTTGATAGACAAACCGAATGCTATATCGGACAGAGACGACATAGACACCAAAACGCCGTTTCCGAAACCTCCACCTTCTTTTTTTGCACGTCGAAAACATAAGATCGCGAATGTTCCAAGGCCGACGCCAAGCAAGAATAGTAAAGCACGTAGGGAAACAGTGGCAAGAAAATGACTAGGTAAAGTAAGATTGCCAGTAATGAGAATCCCTGTGATCGATAGAGTGTCGTGTAGTAGTAGAGCATATCTCATATCAGGGCCTCAAAGGCGCCTGTTATGTCCTGCCACTGTGCTTTGTCGGACGGCGGCCATCGCGAAGGCACCGCGTGTTCTTGCAACTCCTGGGCTGAATGGCGCGACACGCGGGATTCCCGTGGGCGACTGTGAATCGTGCGGAGGGCTTCCTAAGTGCCTCTTCTTCCACTCTCAGCGCATCGAATTATAATCTAGGCTATTTGCCTGGAGAGTAACAGCACTCTCGCCGCCGCTTCCGCTCAGTCCCTCCATCGACGGCGAATGCAAGTAATAATCGCATTGACGAGTAGGCAGAGACGGGGACTTAGTGAGCACAGCTGGGGATGCTCTACTGCTGACTGCTTATCCGGGTTGATTCCCTAAGGCGTCTCCATACATGATACCCAGGCTCTATCCTGGATAAGGGGCCATTCCTGGAGCCGCCTGGTTGTAGTAGAAGCCGTCAGGCCCTGGCGACATACCCATGCCGTACCCGGGTGCTGCGTAGGCCGGGTAATTGGGATATGTAGGTATTTGAGATGCGTCGTAGTAATACACGCAGCCCCCACTCTCTTGGGCAACCAATGCTGCCGATGCACCACCCTGTCCATTCCCCTGGCCACCTGAAGGGTCACCCTGGCCGCTCTGGTTGTAGTTCATCTGTTGAGGCTGCTGTGTTCCAGGGTAGAAAGGCGGAGCTGCGGCCGACGGAGCCATGTTATTACCGTATTGCGGGGGGTAGTAATAACCCTGCGGAGGAGCCATCATCTGATACGGCTGATTGTAATAGGCCGGCTGAGGCTGAGGCTGGGGTTGAGGCTGCGTGAAGGCGGAGGGTTGGAACGGCGCGGCATGGATGGCCCTTTCGGGGATCTGTGACAGAGGCGTCCCCGTGGAGAATTGAGACGGGTAGGACGGATTGCGAGCGTGTGTGTCCTGGGACAAGCTGTTAACCACCTGAGGGGGTACCTGCTGGTGGAAAGCTTGCTGGTATTGTTGCGGTGGATTGATTTGCCGCGTAGGCGACTCGATGTTCTCCACCGACACAGCCTTCTGCGGCCGGGGTTGGTGCATAGGGATGGAGCCCGGCCGATTTTCTTGGAAGATAGGCTTCTGAGGGAGAGGGTGCGTTTGAGGGTGCGGCAGATCGCTGATAGAAGGCTCGTAGGCCACGGACTGCTCTGGCGCAGGTGCCAGTGCCGGTGCCGGTGCCGGTGCCGGTGTGGAAGAATCGGGAGTGTCGCCAACTGGGGGAGGAGGCTGGGGGAAGACCGCGGTCATAGGGCCTGGTACAGGCATTGGCATTGGCATGTCTGGACGAGCCATAGGGGGGAGCCGGACAATGGGACGCGACATGGCAGATCCGGTCGGAGATATGAAGTCTGCTGGAGCAATAGACGAACGCCGACTCATATCGACACTCGGGGTGTAGACACTTCCACCATAATAACTTCCTCCATAGGCACTTGTGCGGCGCGAGTAACCGCCCACGGAGCCCAGGCCCGGGCGTGGCTTGCCGCGCACCCGCTGCTGATTTGGTCGTAGAGCCCGAGGAATAAAGATGAAAGACCTGTCAACAGCAGGGAATACGTATCGAGGCGGGTTGTCCGGCAGTGAAATACGGACAGGCTTGTCACGTCGCAGCGGGGGCCTGTGGTCAGGTAATTTCGTGTAACGCTTGATCGGGATACCAGAGAACGACTTAGGCTCCTTAAGGCCTGGGAAAAAGACTCGGATTTCCACATTGCCCAGCGTCTTCTCAGTCGACAGTGTTCTGTTGATGGGAGTGTTGCTGGGAGGACAAGTGGGGATGTGTCCGTCGCCATTGGGAAGGCCCTCGGCAGGTTGAGCGGATTGCCTTGGTTGTCGGGGAGGCATGGGCTCAGCAACGGTCTCATGCATATCGTGAGACCAAGGAGCACTCGTCGTGGGGTCAAAAGGTGACTGGAACGACCTGCAAGCCATTAGTTGGCAACCGTACTGGCGACGATATATTACAAGTGGGAAGGACGGGGCTGTAGATTCATACTGTACCGGTGCGAAGGGGCCACCAAAACCGCGGCCCCTCCCTCGGCCTCTAGCCAATGCTCCTCTGCCAAAGGGGCGGAAGCCATTCGCAGCAGGACCGGCATGACGGTGGTCATGCATGAAGAATGCTCCACGATTCGGCACGAATGCCGGGTCCTCGTCCCTTTTCTTGCGGTACTCCTCATGTTCACGTCGACGGCGTTCGAAGGGAGGTTCCTGGGACGGGACCGATGTTGAGCTTACAACTACTGGCCCGCCCGGCTTGGATGGTGGCGCGGTGGCTTCGTCGGCATGGGCGGTCTTTGGCGAGTCCGAGATGCTCAGCTCGTGGAGGCCTGATTCGGTCTCGGCGACAGCATCAGCGGCATGGCCGTCAGCGTCGGTTGCTCCAGAGACGACGGCGGCAGCGCGACGATCACTGGCTTTCGCCGACCCACGGCCCGAGTTCTTTTTGAGGACGGGGGATATAGGTGATGCCTCGTCAACATTGCTAGTGTCGCTATCATCCGCATGGTTGTTCTCGTCGCTAATGACGGACCCCTCGGTCATCGAGTCATCGTCGAGAGCATCGAGTGTCTCGGGCCCACCCTCGTCATCGCCATCGTCGTCAACGCGGCGACGGTGACCGAGGGCCCTCCTGCTGCTGCGCTTGGGATTGGCAGCCATCTTGTGTGTGAGGATCGGCGGTCGTGGGGACAGGATGGCGGGGGATTGACTGCAGCGCGAGCTGTACTTGCAGCGCTTTCAGATTGTGTCGAGGGTCGACATGCGGTATCGGGCGTCGAGATGAGGGTTGCCGGGAAATGTTTGATTGCCAGGCCAGCGAGGGCAGGCTAGGACGAATAGGTGGATGGAGTTTGTCAGGAACCGCGCTGCGGCAATGCAGGGAAGCGTGGCGTGGGAGGGACTGTTGAAACTGGAGCGAGCTCTAGCAGGACAAGATGACCCGGAACAGAAAAGCAATCAACAAAAGACGAAGATGCCAGACAACGACTGTGGCAGCAGGGCTAGCGCGGCTGCAGTTGCAATTGCAGTGGCAGTTGCAGTTGAGGCGCGCCGACTGCGGATTTGGATCCTAAATCCGGCAGACTGACTTCGAGGACGGACGTGATGCGAGGCGCGGAGGCGTACAGACGAGGGGGGGTTGGAAGAGTCAAAGGCGAGTGAACGCTTCGAGGGTTGTTGCATGAGACTGGCGGAAGCAGAAAGGGGGGAAAGAGCTAGCTGCTGGCCAGAGTCTCGTCGGGAATCATCAACCCAGGGAGGGACAACCGGCTCGGCAGGTGGTGATGCGGACGGGGTGTGGGTTGGTGTTGTGTTGTGGGATGTTGTTGAGATGGACAGCAGTGAGCAATGACAGCCCGGGATGACGGACAGCAGGAGCTGGGGCTGGGCTGGAGCTGGGCTGGAGCTCGCGGTCGAAATGGGTCCACCGTGGTGTTGTGTCGTATCGTATTTTTCAAGCCCTCGCCCAGGCAGGCACATCGTCTCCGGGTGAAGAGCAGCCTCCAGCAGCGGGCGTGGGCCTGGACCGCTGGCCGTGGGGACTTCAACTGCCTGTGAAACTCTCAATTGCCTGGCTGTGAATGGTCCAGTCCGTCTCAGGACTGAGGGTGTACTCAGGTACCTGGTTGCTGTACCTGTACCGGGATAAACCTAGGTAGGTGGAGAGCCTTTAACAGGGCCCTTAGGAGCTTTTCATTCTCTTACTTATCCTCTTCACTTATTCTCTCTACAGTGGGACGCAAAAAGTCTTGCACACACACCCCCTTTTACACCAAAACTCACTATATTTAAAGCATTATATTAACTCTACCAAAATTATTATTACTTTAAAAAAATTATATATATTATTTTAAAAGGCTTATATTATAATATTTTAATTAAAATATTTATAATTAATTTTAATACTCTTTAATAAGCTTTTAAAGTTATAATAAAAAAATTAAAAACTAAAATTATTAAGGAAAAAATAAGCATTAAAACCTTATATAAGGCTATTAATTATAACGGTATGGCACTTATATACTGCTGGGTATTTCCAATTGCAATTGGAAATTACTGGTCTTTTAACCGAGCGGTTTATTTCACCAGCAGCAAATAGCATTAATAAATTATATAAATAAAACTTAAAAACTTAAAAAATTACTTTTTTAAATATATATTATTCTTTAAAAATATTTTATAATTAAATACTTTTTTAAAAAAAATATAAAATATATTTAAAAAATATATTATAATATATTAATAATTTATATATAATTTTTAAATATTTAAATATTATATCTTAAAATAATAAGGTTTATTTATATATTTAATTTTTAAAATAAATTTTATATTTTAAAAATTTAATATAAATTATAATAATAATTAATATTAAATATTTATAACTTAATTTATAATAATATTTTTTTTATTAATTTATTTTTAAAATTATAAAGTTTATTATATAAGTATTTTATAAAATTTAATTGTTAAATTTTAAGTATAAGCAAGACTTTTTACATTTTATTATGCTTATTTTCTTTATTTATTAATTTTAAAACATTTTTTAAAAAAAACTTAATGTAATTTATATAATTATATAATTAACTTTGTTTCTTAATAATAATAGTAATTTTATTTAAAGTATATAAATTAAATGTATAAGTTAAAAGTAAATGTATTAGGTATAAGTAAATTAGGTGTAGGAGTGTAGGTGTGCTAGGCGTGGGTGAATTGGGTGTGGGAGTGCGGGAGTGTTGGGTGTAAGTGCACTATTCGTGTAATGTATCTGTATACTGTCCATTTCTTTCTGTGCAAATATCCGTTCTCTCTACCTGGTTCTGCATCAGCTTAATAGCATCCTGCGCAATCTGGGCCTTGGACTCAAACCAGCTGGGGGTTGATCTTGTTGGTGGTGTGGGAGACAGCTAGGGGTCGAAAGATGTGGTGTGCATTGTAAGAAGAGCAGTCTAAGGAGCAGATTTCTTAGCAGAATGGGTGGCAGCTGTCTCTTCAAATAAGAGCCTCCGTAACGCCAGTCACTGTGCTCAATGAATTGACCCATTCACACCCCACTGTGACTGCCACAGGTTGTGTCAGCCGACTTCATGAGCACATCACGGACCATGATGTCTCCGCCACGCTGAGCATCCGCCTTGACATCGCTGACCGAGGCTGTAAACTAATGACAGACGCGCACGTTAGTATGCAGTCAGTATATAAAATGTTGTCACTCATACCTGGACAGAGTTCTGGTTTCGAACGAGGTAGTCGCCGAGCTGTTGGAGCTTTTCGTACGCATTCGTGACCTGGGTAACAGGCTCCGCAGTCTCCTTCAAGATGCGGCAGAGGACATTATCATGTCTACCAGGATTGATGGCGTCCACTGCAGGGAATTGGACCCGGTTGGTCATCACCACCTCGGTGGGGATAGCAATCGTAATGGTACCGTCGTTCGTCATCGAGATCGTCACACCTCCCTGACGACGAGGTCCCACGACCTTGAAGCCACGGCGATGTCCACGGCTCATCGTGGCATCGAGCTCGGCGCTCTCGAAGCCGCCATCGTTGATCTGGAAGGGAGCCATCTTTCTGTGAATCGCTTCGGTCACTGGAGAAGGCCTGTTGTTGATGGCTGGAAGTCCGCAGGTTGGACGACTGTTGCTGGTGGAGGATGTGGTCGACTGCCCCGACCTTGCTGATTGTCAATCTTGCTGCCCGTAGACTTTGCTGGCAAACTCAAGCAAGCTTAGCTGGTTCGACTTGACTACCAACTGCTGACGCTGCGAAACTTGATATCAAGGGTATGGGGTTCACCAAGGAGACCCGGGACGCAGAACGATTGCTTTGTCGAGAACCCATAGTTGTCGAAAAGTCAAGTCTGTGACTGGGGTTCTGGAGGTGGTGAGGTTTTCGAGACGGTAAGGTTGATTGGATCCGCGGTTCTTGTGGGTTGACTGAGCTGTAGACTCCTGATCAATCCGTAGACTTTCTCCCCAGCGGTTGACTCCCTGACAGTTGACTTTCTGGCCAGGCGGTTGACAGGCCCAAAAGAGCTTCTGGTATTGACGTGCTCCCTGGGGCTCTGCGAGGAGGTGTTCTCAGTGCCTGTGATTTCCAGCTTTATCAGTAACTTTTGCAAATAAGGCGTTTTCAAACATGAAGAGAGAGCAGACTTTTGAGGAGAGCCAGCCTTTTAAAGGAGAAGCAGCTTTGTAAAGGAGGAGCTTTTCAAGGGAGAGGCGTGTCAAGGGAGAAGGCTTTTTGAAAGAGAAGCCTTTTTAAGGGAGAAACCTTTCAAGGGAAAACTAATATAAAGTAAATAATATTTTGAACATGAAGCTATTATAAGAAAGATAAGCTTATGAGAAAGAAAAAAATAAGCCTTTTATTTATTCTTATTTATTCTTGTAATTCTTTTTTAACCTTCTTAATTAAACTAAATTTAGTTTGACTAAAACTAAAGACTAATTTTGCAACCCTGCCTTGGAGCCTTAGGAAGCTCTGGGGGCCCGTACCAGCTCCAGGGCCAAGTGATAGGACATGGCCAAGCCAAGCGAGCTTGGATGCGGACGCTACTCGTGCTTCTGCTTCTGCTTCTTCTTCAGCACAACAGCAAGCGGAGCCTCGTCAGTGGCTGCCAGTCAATGCAGCTAGCAACCAGTAGCACTCACTGTACCTCCTCCCCATCCGAAGAAAGCACCACCGGCTGTATTATACGGATATCATACAGGTGTCACTCCAGCCCGCCGTGCTCCTACCCAGACACCCGGTGAGTACCGTAGGCCCGCCGTCTGGTCTGGCCTATCCGAGTCAGCAAGTATGCTTGTCGCACGCCCATCACGAAACGCCAGAGCAATCTAAGATCTCCAAGCTTGACGGCAGGTCCATCCACAACAATTCCAAGGGCGCCCTCACTCTGCGTCGCGTCCTGTTGCCTGCCTTATCGGCGTGGCACCCGCCGAAGCTTTGGCTGCGACCGGCGGCTTGCTTTCCTCCTCATCGAAAAGTCGCGATCCTCGTCATGCTTAAACCATAAAATGGACTTCGGATATCGAGCGTCTTATTACTGTCTCCCGCACCTAAAGGCTCGACGCCTCATTTCACGCCGACGGACTATTTCTCACGGCCAGACTGCACATTCCCAATTGGCAGGGATCAACTGGTGGGCAGAGCTACCCCAACCTTACCAGGATGTCAGGATGTCTCCCACCCCCGGCTGGCTGACCCAAAGGCCTCGCGATCGGCGCCGATGTGTCGGACCTTTTTCTCATGATTACTGCGTACTATGCACACTACCTAACTACGAATCCAGGCAGCCAGGTAGCTCTCGATTTACCGCATTGAGAATTGCAAATGACGCGCCTAATGACGCGCCTCGCCCTTACAGATTCCCCATGCGTTCTTCATGAGCAATCGACTGCCTCCGTCGCCAATACAATCATGATCTGATGCCCGGCCCTGAGTGAAAGGCGTCATGACTGGCTCCGGTTTTGGGTTTTTGGAGACGACCGATCTTCACATGATAGCACTACCGGGCACCACTCCGTCCATCTTTCTCGCCAAGCGATAAGGGAAAGGTATAATTGGCCGACCCTATCGTTCGGTAGGAGACAGGTATACCACACTACACAATCACCTTGCAGTACATATAGGCATAACTGGACATGTATTCCCCGTACGGACTGACCCATCTACCAAACCCGCCACCCAGGCTGCAGCCAGGTCGCCTACCTGTCAAGCCGGCGCTGTGCGACCATGAACCAGCCATCCAAAGCGGCACAGCAGCACGGTACTGGCCAGAACGGGCCATAGCAGGCGGGCACGACAGCATTCGGCTCGAGTCAAGCGAGCAAGCGAGCAAGCCTCGGGGCTAGCTACTGCAAGCCCATTGTCGGCACGTTCGGGCTCGCCCTCTGATGGGACACACCATCCGCGAACGGGGGAGACGCACGCCCGGGGTAACTTGGACTCCAGCGGGTTTGGTTCACCAAGCAAACGGGGATGCAGGTCGTAAGCCTCGCCGAAGCGAGCGGGCCAATCATTTTACACGGTCCTTCATGCCAGATGTAACACGCGGGCATGACACCGCGAGCTGTGGCCTCGGCGGCCGGCGTATATAGAAGTTTGAATATTCTACGTCCGCATTTAGAACTTAGGTGGCAGCTTCATTTGTCTTGCATGATTGAGCTCAACGCAGGTGAATATCTAGTCTTATCAACGAGGTCATCGAAGTTTATGGCTACGCGATGACGCCTGAGGGAGACACCCGGTCTCCGTAGAAGTTGGTACAGTGCCCATTACTGACTGGCTGGCACCCGTACCGGCGTGTGTCCTTGTGAGTGTGGCCGGGATTGTGTGCACCGAATAGTCTAAGGAATAAGCGGCAAAATCATTCAAAAAACAGAGCACTGATATTGAGTTTCGCTAGCTAGTGTCTCAATATATGTGCTTGAAGTCAGGATAAATCCAGCTCGGGAGCATATGAATGTCATCCCTTCCGCGATAAAATCATAATTGTCATCAAGACCCCGTGAAACGTGCTTGTCGCCCCATTGGCTTTCCCCGAAGCCGCCTTCATAGCTCCATCACGAGCTGGTAGAAGGAGGCTCAAGATTCTGAGTGCTCTCGATCTTGGGGACGAGACCGAAGCGGGTCTGCCCTTGGTCCCAGATGGCGTAGACGCTCTTCAGGAACGTGTCGCCCAGGATGTCAAAGGGGTTGTCACCACGCGACTGGACTCCACCGTACCAGTACCCCTCCGACGCGACCGCAAAGGCCAGGTCCTCTTTCTGGATGGTGAACTCTTTGTCGCCCACGGCAACGCTGAAGTCCGGCAGATCATCGGCCTTGGTGGAGGTGGGAAACAGCCAGCCCTGCTGTTGGTCGTCGTACTTGGCGCCAGGAATGGCCTTGTACAGTGCCTCGCAGACCTGGTCGGAGACGAGGGCGAGGGTGGTGCCGGTGTCAGCAATGGCGGTGTTGTTGGCGAGGTCGATCTTCTTGCCGGCGACGGTGGCACTCGCCGATGGGAACATCCAGAAGCCCTGGGAGTTGTCGATGTCGACGTACGAGATCTCGTTCTTGCCGACGAGGTCTTGGTCGATGTAGCCAAAGGTGTAGAAGGACTTGGCCTGGTCGTCACGGGAACTATAGAAGGCCGATGTGAAGAGCTGGGCCTCCGCGGGGATGTCACCCTGCGAGATCATGTTCGCAACGGGAGTGTTCTGTGGGGAAGGCTGGTTGTCCTTGGTGACTGTGTTGATAGAAGGCCAGGCGAGACCAAGTAGTCCGTCGCCAGTTCCCGACGTGAACTGATCGGCGGCAACCTTGGCCAACTCGACGGCCTGGTTCTCGACGGCGAGACCGCCAATTGTGACGGTGTCGTTGCCAACGTCACCAGATGCCGAGCTGCCGTCGCCATAGGAGATCTTCCAGGCCTCGCCGTCTGCAGCCTTCCAGGTAGACGACTTGGACGGGTCAAAGACGTTGTGCCCCTTCTGGGCGCTCGCAGGGAGCTCAGTAGAGAAGACCTGGAGCCGTCAGCTGGGGTCAGATGCACACTAGCAGTCTGGGTACTCACCCAGAGGTCAGATGATCCGGTATCAAAGTCCAGCTTCAGCTTCTGGGGAGGAGTTCCGATTTCGACCTCGCAGAGGTACATGGAGTCGTTCTGCTGGTCCTCGGCGGTGACCTCACCAGTCTGGTCACCGGCGGCCTTCACAAACTTGTCCACGCGGCGAACACGTCCTCCCCTGGCGACGTTGGAGTGAGCAAGCCCGCGTTGCTGAATTGTAGTGGCATGGCGGTAAGGGCCAGGTTGGGTGGGCTGGAACCCGAACTTGTTGATCAGGTAGACATAGGATTTGGTACCGTGGGCCTTGTAGTTCTGGTTGGGCACGGCGAGGACCTTGCGTAGTCCCAGCTTTTGCCTGAGTTCAGACTGCGTCTTGAAAGCGGCCTCCATGATTGATCTGGTAGCCACGGCGGCTGTGAAAGACGATGATGAGTGAAGAGTTTAGAATGTTCGCTAACAAGCTTTCAAAAGGTGCCTTGTGGGGTGGAGTGGAGAGCTCTTGGCGGTAAAATGGAAGGGTGAGGTATGTTGACGTCAAGAAGGTGGAATGAAGAAGGGGGTGGTAGTGCTGGGAGAGGAAGGTGTTCTTATATGCTTGGAGGTGACTGTGTAGTTGGAGCAGAGTCGCGTTGTCACTGGAAACCTTGAAGCTTGATCCCAATTGTGTCACTCTGGCCCCTGATGTTTTAGTCCAAGTACCCAGGCAGGTACCGAGGCAGTATGACCGCAATGAAAAAGGTACACCGTCTAATGGCTATCTATGTCTCTGAGCAGTGGGGATAAACACCCCCTAGACCCTGGGCTATCATAGGAGCCGGTGAGCCGGAGTGTGTCTGTTGACGTTCTGACCTGCTGACCCTCCGCTCTGACGATGTTCCTATGCAGCAGTGATAATGATGGTGATGCGGCCATACGCATCTTGAGAAAAGGGGAAGGGGGCGTGTGCCTGAGAGACGTCTACCCGAAGAACCACGAGGATGCGCTTGGTCTATCTGTTACGCCTTACCGGACGAGCTCATGCACTTCGCTTGTGGTACTTTATTAGACGGCACGCTACAAAGATGTCTCGATGTGGGTACACGATCGCAACAAGCTTCGTTGGGCAATGCAGAGAAATGGATCTCTTCATGCACGGGGGTGAAGGCCAGCAAATCAGTCCGGTTCACGCAAACATATTGGCCATTCTATTGTTTGATCGGCTGGAAAACAAGGACAAGTTGCCTGTCGATGAGCATCGATGATGGTTCATGGGTTGCGCCTGAGGCAAATGGCAGGACGAGCGTCGTCGCCGTGCAGACGAGGTTGACACATGCGAGGCCAGCTTGCGTCACTCGCTACAGCTTCCTGTGGCTCTCAGCGGTTTGAGATTGGCGTCATACCTCGATAGCCTGGATTGTCTGCTGGTTGAACAGGCATGGCACGTAGCGCAGGGTCGCAATGAGCGAACGGGAGAGCCATGCCATGTCATTAATCCAGAACGGGTAGGCACAAGTAACAGAGATAGCTCCCCCCAATCCCAGTCCGGCATCGAGTCCGGGAGGCAGGTGGGGAGGGGACCAGGTTCGAGGGGCAGACTGCCCGTGTCCCAGCTCACCTCATGGAAGAACCAACCACCTGCTGTCTGGCGTGTGTCCGCCGCTGCCCAAGGAGGCGGCCTCCCGATGCTAAAAGAGATCTTGGTCTGCCTTGGCCACGGTTCCTGCATCCATGTTTTTGGCTGTTTCTTGTGTGTTGCTGATCAGTTTTCTGGTTAACCCTCGTGCTATCAACCCCCTGGCAGAATTGTACTATTCTTGGGTTGCAGTAATCGGGTTTTCGAAAGCTTGTTTTTAACGACATATCAACACCATCTTGTTCCTCTTCAATGGCTCGCTTCTGCACTACTCCCAATCATCCTGGGCATGGCCGGCATGTGCTTGCCATGCTCGTTCATTCGTCACTCGTTGCACAACTGGTCCTCTTGTTTCGCCCACAGCTTCAACATGTGACACTCGCTCCTGCTCAGCTGGCCTTGACTGCTGGGCACCCTCTTACGCGTCCTGTAGATAACATCCCTGAAGCCAGTCCCATACAGAAAGGTCACAACTGGGCTCGTGCAGGAAGTGGTTAGATGTTTCAATGACGCAGGCCCCATACCACACATGTCAAGCTTTCTTATCGCCTCGACCCGCCCCTGCTCTCGTGTTCATGCCGGCGGGCCAACCCGAGCGCCAAGCTGAGAGGTCCTTGCAATGTTCCAGACCAATTCTTTCCTCCCTTGTGATTCTCGTTCGCGAGATGACATGAAGGAATCCGTTTGTGGTAGATTTAAACAACAGTCCAGATATGAGTGCGGAATGACATCGACATATTGTGGGCTTGACTAGGTTATGCTGTTGTGTTGTACCCTTACCTAGGTATATCAAGCAGGGATGTGCAGCCGTTGGCAGCAGGTCTAGATGCATGGGTTGCTTGACCGTTGTGCCCCTCGATGCTGGTTTTTTATTGAAATTATTTCACGCCATTAAAGCTTCCAAGGCAAAACTTACAACGGCTGCATTGCACGCTATGTCTTGCGCATAGCATGAGGTCTGGCTTGCATGAGGGCGTGCTCAAGATACACAAACATCCTAGGATGGTCTTCACTTGATCGAGGCGCGGAACTTTAGAGAATCATGTACCACACGATTAGCAAGCGAGCGATCCTATATCATGAGACTTTATGTGCTCCCAAGGCTTTTTTGGGTGCTTATAAGTCTGGCAGGTCCACTACTCGTAACGTTCCCTCGCCCCTGAACCACAGTAAGCACCTTAAGACAACCTCCGTCACTTCTTGGGACTCCTGCGCTTCAGTGGGTTCAAGGTTGACGATTGATCATTCGGTAACACAGAAAGCTTTGGAGCTCATCTGGTCCCGCTTTCACCTACTCGCTGCCACGCTCAAAACAGTGTCTGCATCTGCTGCTCAACCCTCTGTTTTCTTTATCTTGCCAAAGACAAATCCCCTGACCCCATTGCTCAGCCAGACAGCTTCACCATCAGCAACATCCTGTGCGTTGACCTCTTCCTCAACGGCCAAGCCCCGCTCCAAGGCCCATCGCCTCGACGTACCATCCTGTCCACCGCTGCCGTTGTCCGCACTGAACTTCTCGGCAACAGGCGGCGTGACCCACCTCCCACCTCGCAGAAAGTAGGGAGTCGTTAAGCTGCCCTCCATGATAGAGCCGGTAGTCTCGTCCACAATGAGCACCTCCTGGGTCGCATCGGTGGGCTTCAGGCCGGCACGCGCCCGAGCTTGGTCATACATTTCGCGCTTCGTGGTTTTGTAATGGGTGTACTCAGAACGGCGAGTAGGACGGTCGTCAAGGTGAACAACATATGGAGGTGATATTCGAAGCTGGCCCAACGGTGTTTCTTGGCCATCAGCAGCATTGTCGTCATTTGGCCCAAGCAGCTGTTTAGGGAAGAGATTCGCCAGGGACGTTGCAGGGACAACTGAGGACTCGAGTCCGAACTGTCCTTCCTGAGCTAGCAGAACCTTGATTCTCCTGGGCTCGTCGCTTGAGTCCTGGCCGAGCTGTTCCGTTATGAAGGACTCCAACCTCGCCAGTCCCTCCGGCCCCTCAATAGCCGCAACAGCTTTGCCCCAACCCCAGTGAGACGCTGCCTTCAACATACGATCTCGGTGATAGTCCAACATGTAATAAGGAGAAGGCTTGGTGGAATTCCAGCCAAGGTCAATCGTCTGGTTGTGCCCAAGCTGAAGCAGCGTGGGATCGAAACGTAGAGACGTAAACAGCTGGAAGTTCTCACCCATTTTGTCTTTGAGGAATCAACACCTTGATGTAGGTTGGTCCGGTTCGATATGGACAGGAAGACGTGGAGAGAGACCAAAGGCAGACCGACGTAGAATAGGATGGCAACCTTGTGCCGTGAAGGAGTCATGCAAGTGAGTCAATTCACTCGAGCATGAGGTTCTGGCGGGCTGACAGGCGGCTCCGACGCCGGAAGTCACAGCTGCAGCACTCGAGCAATTCCGCTTGGAAAGCACGACTATTGTATGCCCAGGTGTGGATTGCACTCATCCATCTTACTGTCAAGAGTCTATACCCGACTGACCCAGACAAGTCTCATGGGTATATTGTGAGGGAACCTCCATGCCCAGCCGTGTGTTTGGTGTTGTCAATAGCAGCCGATGTACGCGCACACGGTCTGATGCGTAGGTACACAACGCCCAGACTACTACAGTAGGTAGTCTGGTAGGCAGGCAAAACTACCTACCTAGGTGGCTGTTGGAGTTGGCAAAATTGGGGTTGCGGGTGCCCACCTGCTGCGGGCAGCTTTTGGCTCCATTTCCATGGTTGATGACGCTGTTCCAGTGGCCCGTGCTCCGTTATCGAGCTCGCTCCCACCTGCCAAATTCCATCCTTGCTTGTGCTCTGCTTGCCAATCCTAATAGCAAGACCTCCAATTGCGCGCGACCGATTTTTTTCGCGTTCAGCAACGAACAGCCGCCCAGCCGACTTGAACAAGAGAGACGAAGCTTTGGCCGCTTGGGTTTTGGGTGCACGACTCCTCCTCGCCTCGAGTACTCAGTTCTGTTGCCGTCGCTCTGACCTCGATATCCCGCCAATTGCTTCCGCCATCGGCTCTTCGATTCGATTCGATTCATCTGTGCATCGTGTTCTAGGGCATCCGGCACAGCTCCACATCCTCGAACGACATCATGTCTCAACAGCATCAGCCGTCATTCCCGCCCCCCTCCACAGGCATCCCCGTTCCATTGCCTGCAGAATCCTCTGTCTGGGACCGCATATCGACCTGGGTTTCCGAGAACAAAGCCGTTGTCTATACAATTGCTGGCGTCACAGTGGTCGTCGCCGGCGCTACGGTCTACTATTACACATCCGACAACTCGGTGCGTCATCCAACCTTGATTGCACTCGTTGCATCTAGAGCTCTGGCGACCAAGCTGTGTCCTCACAGCGCTGCGAGCTCCAGCTTGATACGGATCCTTCGCGCGGACTTCGTTACTGACTGCTCGTGTACATCTAGAAGCCAAAAGCAGATGCGCAGCCAAAACTTAGCAAGAAGGAGAGGAGGAAGCGCAAGGAAGCCGAGAAGAAAGCAGAGGCCCAGAAGAATGCTGCTGCGTCGAGAGAGGCACCCGCTGCTTCGAAAGCACCCGCCGTCGACAGCGCCGACGAGATCCCTGAGATAACTGAGGCTACCGTCCAGGCCATGTCGCTCGACGATCGTAAACACTGGGCTGTCAAGCTGAAGGAGGTTGGCAACCATGCGTATGGATCCAAGGACTTCAACAACGCCATCGACCTCTACTCGAAAGCCATTCTTTGCAAGCCTGAAGCTGTCTACTACTCCAACCGTGCAGCTTGCTATAATGCTCTTGCCGACTGGGACAAAGTCGTCGAGGATACCACGGCTGCCATCACCCTGGACCCCGAGTACGTCAAGGCCATGAACCGACGGGCCAATGCCTACGACAAGCTCGGCAAGTACTCCGAATCTTTGCTCGACTACACGGCCAGCTGTATCATCGATGGTTTCAAGAACGCTTCGAGCGCAGAGGCCGTCGAGAGGCTTCTGAAGAAGTTCGCTGAATCCAAAGCCAAGGAGATCATGGCAAACAAGCCTAGCAAGCTGCCCAGCCCTACTTTCGTCAGCAACTATCTCCAGAGCTTCCGCTCCAAGGACCGACCCGAGGGTCTGGAAGATTCCGTCGAGATTCCAGCCGACACGGGCAAGGGACAGCTGCAACTAGGCCTGCGAGCCATGGAGTCCAAGACAGGCGAGGGTTATGAGGAGGCTGCGGCGGCTTTTGACAAGGCCATCGAGCTGAATGATCTCGGCTCGCTCGAGGCCTTCGCGTACAACATGCGGGGAACGTTCACATGCCTCCGCGGGAAGCACGAGCAGGCTCTGGTTGACCTGACCAAGAGCGTCGAGTTGGATCCATCCATGACACAAAGCTACATTAAGCGAGCTAGTATGAGTCTTGAACTTGGTAAGATCCCTGTGACCTGCCCCAATCATCTACAGACCCATCTGACATTCGACTGTAGGAGATCCTGAAAAGGCCGAGGAAGACTTTGAGCTCGCCATGAAGCAGAACGCCGACGATCCTGATATCTACTACCACCGAGCGCAGCTGCATTTTATCAAAGGCGAGTTCGCAGAGGCGGCAAAGGACTATCAGAAGTCCATTGACCTCGACCCGGAATTCATTTTCTCTCACATCCAGCTTGGAGTGACACAGTACAAGATGGGATCGATCGCTTCTAGCATGGCGACCTTCCGACGTTGTATGAAGAACTTTGACAAGGTGCCGGATGTGTACAACTACTACGGAGAGCTCCTCCTGGACCAGGGCAAGTACCAAGAGGCCATCGAGAAGTTTGAGTCGGCGATCGAGATGGAGAAGCAGGAGAAGCCTACGAGCATGAATGTGCTCCCTCTCATCAACAAGGCCCTTGCTATCTTCCAAGAGAAGTCAGACTTCGCCGAGGCCGAGAGGCTGTGCCAAAAGGCACTGATCAGTAAGTTGATATGATTTCCGCTTGCTCACAGATCAGATCCATGCTAACGCCATCTAGTCGACCCTGAGTGCGATATTGCTGTCGCCACGATGGCCCAGCTCCTCCTGCAGCAGGGCAAGGTCACAGAAGCGCTCAAATACTTTGAGCGGGCGGCGGACCTTGCGCGCACGGAAGGCGAGCTGGTGAACGCGCTTTCCTATGCAGAGGCCACGAGGACGCAGATCCAGGTCCAGGAGAAATACCCAGCCCTGGCCGCAAAGCTGCAGGCCGCTGGGCCCGGCCTCCGATAGAGAGATGTAGGCTGGAACAAGCTGTGGCAGCTGCTGCTGGTGGTGGTGGTGGTGCTGCGTCTGTGGTGTTCACAGGGTTGGGCGCTGATGGTGCCGAGGGTGTCAGTGAAGGTGTGGCATTGGGACACCGCGTTGATGTACGGTGACTGCTGGCTCTGCCGTGCGGTCCGGTTCCGTTGGTGTTTAGGAGTGAGCGTGACGGGACAAAGTGAGGTACGGGGCTTCTGCTGTTGCCCACGCAGGCACCGCGAGCGAGTGGTTGCCATTACAGCCAAACCGGCCCGCGGCTTTGAACTTGGCGTCTCAGGCGAGACCGGCCAAACGGACTGTTTCGTTCCCATGGAGTCTAGCATCAGGCGATGGGCTCTGGCTTGTACTGAATACAGGAGGAGTAGTAGCAGTAGTAATTCTTCCCTCAACCCTTCCGAGCCTTAGGTATCGACCGTATGAGCATACTTACTATACCTACACATACATTGCCGCACGACTGCCGTGACCAAGCGATCGATCGACGGGTGCTGAATGCCTCTTTCGGCCTACCATGAGGGAAATTGCCGGACTTACCTTGTCTTGCTGGGGAAGGCGGTGGCATAGGTAAACAATCGTATATTATTGAACGCCCCGGCAAGGCTGTCAAGTGCGTTTCTCACCCTGCCTCCTGCCGCCGGATCCAGTTTTATCATCGGTCTTTTGCGTAATTCCTGGTGGACGAACGGATACATATATACATGAAGTCGTGAAGAAGGTCCCCCAGAAGCCCGGGTGAGTATACAAAAAAAAAAAAAATTAGATAGTAGGGTAGTCCGTCCTGTCCGTCATGTCCGTCATTCTTTAGGTCATGTTTTGCTGGATCCGGCCGGTCCGTCCATGCACCCGCTGTGTGCATGCTGTCATTGTTGTTCGTATCATGAATTCCGTTTTGAGAGGCTCCAAGTCGTTTGTAAACAGCGACGAATTAGATGAAAATGCCACATGCGGTTGAGATTCAATGGGTCATCCAGCGAGCCAGCCTTTTAGCCGGGGCAGCGTGCGCAGGCAAGGCCCCCGTCTGTCTCGCTGCACAGCCTCGTCACTGGCCATCGCCCCTCCGCCGCGTCGATTGCGACTCATTCACCGACCAAAATCACGGGTGCTGCGGTCCTCGAGCTTCCCCTTCTTAGTTCTTCGCCCCTGTCCTGCATGAGCCGGTGCTAAAGCAGATGCCCAGGCCGACGCCGAGCCCGATGGCCAGGCAGATGAGGAAGACGACGAGGGCGCACCACCACTTGAGCTTGCGGGTGCGGCGGGCGTGGGAAATACCGATGTCGACCTGCTTGTTGCCCTCCTGCAGGTGCTGGTTGGTCTGCTCGGTCTGCTCCTCGGCGCGCTCGACAACGGCTTCCTGCTGCACGATGAGGGTGTCGAGGTCCTGAAAGATCCCCGCGAGCTCCGTGATGGACTGCTCGATCCGCAGGAGCTCGTTGTGCCGCGCGCGCACGTTGCCGAGCACCGCGGAGGCCTGGCCTGAGCGGTTTGTCCTGAGCTGTGTGGGAGAAAAGGTCGTCAGCGCCGGGGCAAAATGTAGTGTGGCATGGGTTGGGGCCCGGGGCCGCGAGAAAACTTACTGCTGTCTGGAACACACCCTCATTGCCCCAGTCGGCGTCCGCAGCTTGGCGCACCTCGTCCTCGGATGCGTCGGGGTTGACGATCCTGTACTGGCGGGCAATCTGGTCGCGGTACCTTTCGCGGTACTGTTGCTCCTCCTGCATGTAGTTCTGAAGCTCCTTCTTGAAGTCACCGTTGAGAGCCTCGAACTGCCTCTTCTTCATGCTGGCGCTGCCGTCGGTGGTGCGCTCAACGTCGGCCTTGAGGGACCTGATCTGGTCGCGGATACCAGTGTTCTTCAGCTGGGTGGAGGCGACTAGGTCGTCTAGACGGCGCTGGGCGGTGTCGTCGGCGCCAACCAGAGCGTCATGGTGCAGGGTGGCGATGCGCTGAACGTCGGCTGTGAGGGAGCGGATCTCATTACGAACGTGTGAGACGCGCTGGAGGAAGTCTTGTTGCGACAGGACGTTGGATGACTGCGCAGGGCCGTAGGGGTTCTGGCCCGGGCTGATCTGCTGCAGCTCATGTTGTTCCTGGGCGGGAGTGTTAGTCAATGGCATGGCATCGTGTCGGCGACGGGGGGTGAACAAACCGGGCTGCCGTAGGGATTTGGGGAGCCGTACGCCGTCTCCTGCGCGGGGCCCGACTGGTACGGGTTTCCGGAATACTGGGAGTACGACATTCTGGAGCAGGACGGGTCACCCGATCGGATGCTGCGGGATACCAATGCAATCGATCAATAGACGAAGTGGTTGATTGAGCGGAAGAGTACCCAAGTAGTCGGGGTTCCACGTGTGTTATAGACTTGTCTCCAGGTGCTACAGGAGAAAAAAGGTGGTGATGGAGCGGAAGACGGCGGACTGGAGGGAAGTTCGCACAGCGGCCGCCCTGGGGGAGTCAGACAAGAGAACCCTGCCCCTTGTGTGGGAAAAGACCGGTTGGAGCTGGAGCTGGCAGGAGCTGGCTTGGGCTGCTGATTGCTGATGGCAGGTGAGAGTCGCGCGCTGAGCCCACCAACATGCACACACAGCCCGGGCAGGATGACGTTTAAGCTCGTGCGAGCGGCAGGGGTCCCTGGGCGCTGGATCGGGGGCGGGGGATGCTAAATTTGAGAAGAACCCGTTGATGCGGATGAATAGGGCAGTGATGTCTCACTCATCCCACGCAGAAGGACCGTTGTGTGGAGCGGTGAGGAGGGTGAATGACTTGAAGATAGAGAAATGTGTGGGTTTTGAGCAACAGGCTCTGAGCAAGAACACCCACAACGACGAGAGAGTCTCACCGGGCAACTTTTGTAAATATTCGAGCAATGGTCTCAACCACGTGGGTGTCAGCTCAAGGCATCAACCCACTTTGCTTGGAAGCTCCCCGGCAGGGAGACTGTCGAAATACATGTGCCCACCATACACCTGCCACATGGAGACAGGCGTGTGAAGACCTGTACCGTGTCTTCCATGAGGTATATCTAGGTACCTAAGACACCCTGCAGCGGCAAACCTTGGGGCACTCCTGAGCATTTCCCGCATCCCACGACGGCGTCAGCAGTGAGGCTTTGCGTCTCCTGCAGAAAGGGTTCAACTGCGGTCCAAGCACTAACAGGATCAGCATGCATCGCCCGCCCAGGCATCCAGATCCCGAACTAGACCAGATCTACTTCAAGTAAACCTAGCCACCAACCGCCTGGACAGACACTGCCAGACTCTGCGTACCGTCCCGTCGGATTCGGACTCCGGTACGGAGACTACCCGTGGGGCTCAGACAGCGTTGTCAACGCCGCCCGATCCCGTGTCCCCGGTTGTCTGTCTGCTGTCTGCTGTCTGCTGTCTGCTGCCTGCTGTCTGCAGGCGGGACTCTGCGTCTTGGTATGACAGGGCATGTAGACTATGCAGTGCACGTTGTAAACACCCACCCTGCAGCCTATACGCAAGACGCTTCCAACCCATGTGGAAGCTGGGTCATCACGTTGCAGGCTGTTGGCTGCAGCCTCCCTGTGACCTCACTCAACCCGAGTGCTGGACCGCCCTTGCCCAAGACAGCCGTTCTAAGAGAGTCTCACAAGCTCTGGCTCTGGCCTCAACTTCCTACGTATGTCCTGTCTCCGCTCCTAGCCACCCAAGCCAAGAGGATCCCCCGGTAGCTCCCCAAAATGGCCTCATCGGACATCATCTACCACACCCTGTTCAAGACGCCCCTCCCGCTGTTCAGGACGCGCGCATCACAAGTGGGCTAGCGTCTGAGGGACTTTGAGAAGTTCGCCAAGCGAAACGGGGTAGACTCCCTCGTCTTCAAGATGGGAGCCGCCCCGGGCCTGATACATGCCGAGTCGGGGACCCTGCGCCGCCTCCAGGTCTTCGCCACCGAGGTCCAACGGCAGTCCCGCGGCGCGCGCACCTTCACGCCTGTCGTGCCCCCCATGGAGGCGCCCGTCTTCGACCAGGCGCGCCAGGCCGACGGCGCCTTCTCGAGGGTTGCCGATGTGGAGGGCATGGATGCCTTTGGGGCCGAGATGGTCAGGAGAGGGCTGGAACACTGGTGGATGGACGTCAACCGCCAGCAGCTGTTCAGTGCTCGAAGCTGAAGGCCGTTTGATACCAGCCTTAGCTGCTTTACTGAGGATGGCGAGGCCGGTTGATGTAGAGACAGGCATATATCATGGTGGCACACTACGGCTTGTGCTCGATGTGGGCCATTCCCGCTGCGGACTGCGGGTCTGGAGCGAGCAAACGAACGAACGACTGACCACCGTGCCTATTTTCGCATTGAGAAGCCCGACCTTGCCCATACCGGACCACCTGGACCACATGGAATGGTTGTGCGGCCCCATTCGGGTTGGCAATACGCGCATCCACTGGACGTATCTCGGTCCCGCTTATGCCCCATGGCCAGCACGTGTACATCAGCCAGCGGGCCCAGGCACCCAGAACACGCTCAAGGTCGGAATCCCCAGACTACATACCCATTATCACGAGCCTTCTTGGATCCCTGGTTGGGTGAAATATACGGCAGCCTGGCTCAGCTAGATCATCTGCTCCCGTCTCTGGCTCAACCAACACCCACAACTCCCACCGCTGCCACAGAATTTTTGACACCTTGAGTCTCTAAATCAAACCTTCTCATTGTGTGCTACATGGTGAAAGGATACGATGCTCATCTCTTGAGGCAAGACTTCAACCGCTCCTCAGAACGAGGCGGTCTGGCTGCCATCCTGTTACCGTTTGAGCATCAATCGACGACTAGGGATCTGTCATATCCTTCCAAATGCAGGCAGATCGATTGCAGGTACTGGAAGGCCATCGCTTCTCAGCATTTATTTTGCAGGCAGCGACATAACCAGGCATGTAAGTCTGGACCCTATGAGAGGGTCCCCTCTGTGATTCTCTGAACTGCGGGCATGGTTTCCACAGGTGGTTTTCGTTACCAGGCCTTGTGTCACATTATCCTCCTCGGCGATCCCTCTAATCTTGACCCCAGCGCGTGCGGGACTCATCTTTGTATCTTTCCTTACAGCACCACCATTGTGTGCTGATGCCAACCAACGCCACGTGCAGTGCCAACATCCGCACTTCATCAGTAACTCTGCGCCGGACTGACCCTAGACAGGCAGCCTTTCAGTCTTCTCCGGAGTCCCCCTCCCGATCTTCCATCCTGCCAGACCTAAGCCATGTGGCTCCAGGCAGCACTGATCTCCCGTACAAGAGCTGTAGATGTGGGGTGCTATCATCATGGCATCTCATATGCCATAACTTGTAGCTCTTCGTCTCGGCCGAGATGAAGTAAGCACGACCTTGTACTCGCCCGGATCCACATCTTATGCTCTCACTTCATGAGGACTTCAGCCGAAGCCCGGCTGACTCGTTTGCCGCTGCTTGTTGCTGGTCCATCAAACCTTCTGATGCTATGAGCTGCGCGGCTTTTCGTATGTTGATCTCGTGAACGACTTTGGTAGAGTGTCCAAGTGAGGTAAGCAGGTACATCAATGCCTGGATTCCTCCGGCAATCCTTTGAGGTCGATTTGACCTCACTCCCCAAAAAAACGGTATCGTTGCCACGCAGTCTGCTTGTTTCGCTCTGACGGTCTTAATCGTTCGCTCAGAGGAAGTTCTTCTTCCGACTAGTGCGGGTGTACGAGTTGAGGTGCCACTCAACATCACCGTCCTTGTTCTCAAGAGAACCACCGCGTATCTCGAAGGGTCGGAGGCTCATACGAGGCCCTACCTCGCTGAGCTCACAGGAATCATACGATGTCCTGACAAACACATGATGCCTGACCTCTATGATATCATCCACATTCTTAAAGGTAACAACTCTGCCACTCTTCGGTTTGCTTTCAGCCGCTGGCAGAGGGGGGAAGAGGTGCTTGAGAACCTTTACAACTCGCTGGCCAATTGGCGTGGTGAATCCCTAGGAGGGTTTATGTCAGCCACTGTCTTTGTACAGGAAAACGAGTCTGTATTTCATGATGTCACGCCCAGGGTCTGGTGCCCGCGCCTGGAATCAAACCAGCGCTCAGCAAAAAGAATGATGTGAGCAGCTTTACCTCGAAGATCAGGTGCGGGTAGCTTTCGGAGACAGTGCCACGGAGACTGTTTGGGATATCTTGTCTCAGGACCACGTTGTGCAGAGAGAATGAGACAGTCGGCCCATGCGGCAGATGCGACACCGTCATGGCAGTTGGTGTGCCTCGGTGTTCATGCAACAGGACAACGTCTGATAGGCCTCGGCTATTGCAAGAACGAACCAGCTCGGGGAGAATGGTGTTGCCTCGATTTAGACGGATCGCCGTAGGCATCAGCAGGCGGATTTCCTTGGAAAAGGCAGCCAGTCGACTGGAAGGTGATCGAGAAGTGGTCACCAGGACTCGAGGGTCGACAATTCCGGACAGCGCCGCATCTATCCGGATTGTCAGCATGGGGTGAGGATGTAATTCGGAGGGTGGGCAACATCGACGTACACTCGTCATCGAGGTCCAACTGGTCCTTGTGATCAGGCCGTGCTTCGTCATATTGGAAGTCCTTCCTCAGTTGCTCGTCGTTGGCAATGGACCGGTCCAAGGGCTTGCCAGTGGCAAGGCTCTCTCTAAGCTTGGCCCGTTTCTCGCTGATCTCGGCGTCTCGCAGCAGGAGCGCCCTGCGGTAGAGGTAGTCCCTCCGTTGTCGGTTTTGTCTTCGCTACCAAGGAAGAAATGTCAGTTCTCCTTCATCAACTCCTTGAAGCCTGGAGCAGGAACTTACAATCATTGCTGCAGGTGCTTGTTCCTGGTTGTTCAGTGACGCCGACAGTGAAGCCAACAGATTTAATTGCCCAGGAAGACCGCAGAGAGCTTGGACTATTCAAAAAAATCCTGATAAGCGCTTATCAAGTCCCCTGTCTCGCCGACGCACGGATCACCCAGTGGCTAGGTACCCATGTATCCCCACCTGTGCCGGCAGGCAATTTGTATTTCTCGAGATCTTGGGTCCCGACTCAACTACCCACCATAACATTCTTGAGGACAAAGACAACACCACTTGCGATCGCCAACTCGGGGGAGTCTAGTATTCTGGGGGAAGTTAGGATGTGATACTCATTCCAAGCTGTTTCTACCCATACCATTCTCATCCAAGCCGCGGCTGTGAATACCTTCATTCTCCAGCTGCTGGAAGTAAGTGTGCTGCCGTCTTTAGTCTCGTCCCCCGTTCCCCTCCCTGGGCGCTTTCTGGTGCACCGTACACTCCCACTGTCCCCCACCATTACGCCGACCATTCGCACCTCGTTTTCTAGTCTAACTCGAGCTTCAGTCCCTCCTCTAGCGACAAACAACTATTGCGACACAGAAGCGTGTGTCGACCCAGCATGGACGCTGCTTTCAACCATGTTGGCAACCACCTGATCTCTGACTCCGCCGAAGCCATCAAGGCTGGTGGCTCCGATGAGCTGTCCAACCTCGATCATGATGAGAGCCTACTCTACAACAAGACCGGCGGCCGCAGGGGGGTCGGGAACGGTCGCCGACGGACCGACGATGACGACGGCGAAAACGAGACAATCGGCGACGACGACGATGACGAGAGCCTTGCCAGCGTCGCTATAGGCGCCATGAAGGGCGTGAGCCTCAACGAGCCCGAGGAAGAAAAGGAGCTGCCCGCGCACGCTTGCGCCTACTGCGGAATTCACTCGCCTTCCTCAGTGGTCAAGTGTCTGTCGTGCAACAAGTGGTTCTGCAGCGGTCGCGGAACTGCCAACACCTCCCACATTGTGAACCATCTGGTCCGCGCCCGGCACAAGGAAGTCCAGCTGCACCCTCAGTCGCCTATGCAGGATACGATCTTGGAGTGCTACAACTGTGGAACTCGCAATGTCTTCCTGCTTGGCTTCATCCCAGCCAAGTCTGATACCGTGGTCGTCCTGCTCTGCCGCCAGCCATGCGCCGCCAGTACATCGTCCAAGGATATGAGTTGGGATGTTTCTCGATGGCAGCCACTCATTGAGAACCGTTCATTCCTGGACTGGCTCGTCCATCCGCCCTCCGACGCCGAACAGCTTCGTGCGCGACAGCTTACACCGCCCACAATTGCGAAGCTCGAGGAGATGTGGAAGGAAGATACCAATGCTACTGTTGCTGATCTGGAGAAGGCCGCCAATGCCGACGACGACCCGCACCCCGTGCTTCTTAGGTACGACGATCCTTATCATTATCAGAACATCTTCGGACCTCTCGTCAAGATGGAATCCGACTTCGACAAGAAGCTCAAGGAGGCACAATCCGAGGATGGACTGGTTGTGAGCTGGACAATGGGATTGAACAACAAACACATGGCCAGCTTTGTCCTGCCGAAGATGGAGTCGGGCGACGTCAAGCTCGCTGTCGGGGACGAGATGCGCCTCAAGTACAAGGGAGAACTTCGGCCTCCTTGGGAGGGCGTGGGCTATGTCATCAAAATCCCCAACAACCAGAACGACGAGGTCATCTTGGAACTCCGCAAGACCGGAAGTGACAAGTCTGTTCCGACTGACTGCACCCACAACTTCTCTGCCGAGTATGTCTGGAAGGCCACTTCTTACGACCGCATGCAACTCGCCATGAAGACATTCGCGCTCGATGAGAAGAGTGTCTCTGGCTTTCTGTTCCACAAGCTGCTGGGTCACGAGGTCCAAGTTGCGCCAACGAGACCGCAGATACCCAGGAAGTTCACTGCGCCTCAGCTGCCCGACTTGAACAACAGCCAGATCAACGCTATCAAGGCCGTTCTTTCGCAGCCTCTGAGTCTCATTCAAGGCCCTCCTGGAACTGGAAAAACCGTCACATCGGCCACCATCATCTACCACCTGGCAAAGATGAACAGCGGTCAGGTTCTTGTCTGCGCCCCGTCCAACGTTGCCGTCGACCAGCTTTGTGAGCGTATCCACCGCACCGGCCTCAAAGTCGTGCGCTTGACCGCCAAGTCTCGTGAAGATGTCGAGTCCTCGGTCAAATTCCTCGCACTACATGAGCAAGTGCGATCCCTCGCATCTGACATGGGCTCGGAACTGGGCAAGCTCACGACACTGAAGAACGAATACGGTGAACTGGCCAGTCACGACGAGAAGAAGTTCAAGCAGCTGACCAAAGCCGCTGAAAAGGAGATCCTGAGTCACGCTGATGTTGTGTGCTGCACATGTGTCGGTGCTGGAGATCCCCGACTTGCAAAGATGCAGTTCCGAAGTGTCCTCATTGACGAATCCACCCAATCAGCAGAGCCAGAATGCATGATTCCCCTTGTATTGGGCTGCAAGCAGATCGTGCTGGTTGGTGACCACAAGCAGCTTGGTCCTGTGATCATGAACAAGAAAGCTGCCAAGGCCGGCCTGAACCAGTCTCTTTTTGAGCGTCTGGTGAAGCTCAACCACGTTCCGATCCGTCTCAACGTTCAGTACCGCATGCACCCCTGTCTGTCTGAGTTCCCTTCGAACATGTTCTACGAGGGTTCCCTTCAGAATGGCGTGACCATTCAGGAGCGGCTCCGCAAGGACGTGGACTTCCCCTGGCCTGTTGCCGAGACCCCCATGATGTTCTGGTCTAACCTGGGCAATGAGGAGATCTCTGCGTCGGGTACTTCATACCTCAATCGGACCGAAGCCTCAAATGTTGAGAAGGTGGTGACTCGTTTCCTCAAGGCCGGCGTCAAGCCAGTCGACATCGGTGTCATCACTCCGTACGAAGGCCAGAGGAGTTATGTTGTTAGCACCCTGCAGAACACGGGAACCTTCAAGAAGGAGAGTTACAAAGAGGTAGAGGTCGCGTCGGTCGATGCCTTCCAGGGCCGTGAGAAAGACTTCATTGTTCTCTCTTGCGTTCGCTCCAACGACACCCAAGGCATTGGTTTCCTTTCTGACCCGCGACGACTCAACGTGGCTCTGACTCGTGCTAAATACGGCCTGGTCATTATCGGAAACCCCAAAGTCTTGTCCAAGCATGAACTCTGGCATCACCTACTGGTGCACTTCAAGGATCGCAAGTGCCTTGTTGAGGGACCTCTCACCAACTTGCAGACATCGCTGCTGCAGTTTGGTCGACCCAAGACGGCTTACCGCCCTCAGCGTTTCGGCCCCGTCGGCCAGCCAGCAGCAGGCTACCCGAATGGTCGTTACGGTGGCATGAACGGTTCGACTCGGGACTTCGACTCTGCATCCATGATGTCGTTTATCCCCGATGACGTCTCCTCCATCCACGGCTCTGCGCTCGGTGGTGCCGGCCTGAACTCGGCCTATCCTCACATGTTCTCTAGTTTCAGTCCCGACCAGTGGCCAGGCCTTCCCGGAGTGGCTCCACCCGGTCGATTGAACGGCAAGAGCCGAGGCCGGGCCACCGAGAGCGTCGCCGGCGAGAGCGTGGCCAACTCGGAATACACCGATGCCAGCGCCAGCGTCATCGGCGGCAAGGGGATCGGCCAGGGCGGTGCTAGTCTAGGAGCCGGTCTGCATGATGCCATTGGTGCCTCTCGCCCTACTTCGTACAGCCAGAGCGACCGTCTGAGGCAGTATGTCGAGGGCATGGGCGGCAGCCGTCTGGGACCGATCAACGGCTTCGGACGCCGTGACGATGATGAGAAGAGCATCAGCACAGCCTTTCACAGCCAGCTTGGCGGCCCAGGATTCGACGGGATTTGATCAGACCCAGGGGAATGCAGGTTTACATTGACTGCAGTGAATTTACCATCAAGGAGCATCAGCAACGGTATCCGCCTGCCTCGAAGCAAGCATCCGCTCTGCCTCTGCCACCCGCAACCTTGGACGGGGCACCCTTGCGAGATGAGACCAGACTTCGTGTCGAATCACCTGCAAACAAGCCGTTTGCCAGGCAAGACAGGTCCGCTTGGGCAATCGCATCGCCTGGTCTTGCCACCAGTTTACCATACCTTCGGCCTTGATCGTCGGCAGAGCATCAGCCCGAGACAGCCCACCTCGACACGAACAAGCCTAGCAAGCCCATTCATGGTGTGAGCGAGAGGGGAGGTATCAGGATGGACTGGAGTGCTAGGGATCAGATACGTGCTCGCCAGAAGGGACTGTGCTGTGGGCATCCCAGTGCTGGCCCGGGGGAGATCAAATGAGTCGAATCATTGCAATCACAACTGTGGTGGCTGGGTTGATATCAACAAGCCGTCAGGCCAGCCGGTCGATGCAAGGCGCGTCGCAGGGCCGTGGTATGCTGGCACGCTCAGCTGTCATTCTTCTGTGGCCGCTCTAGGGTCAAGTCTTTTGTTATGGAATCGTGCTCACTTGGAAGAAACGAAGCAGCGGGAAGAGGGCAGAGGGATTAGGACAGTTGTTGGTCCAGGACCATTCTTTTATTTAGTCACTCATTCAATCAGTCAATCGAAAGTCACTCATTTGGTATGCGCATTGTCACGATGCTAGTCGGAAATGCCCACTCGGGAGTAGTACCCGGACGTAAGAGCCCCTTGCGAGATCTCCATTATGAGAATCATTGGGTCAAAGAGCTTTTGGAATGAGAACAGATATTCGCACAGAAAGAAATGGGTGTCATACAGATACATTACACACCTAGTATACTCGCACCCAAGATACCCACACCCAATGCACCCAACACACCCACACCCAACATACCTAAGCTTGTAGGTGTGTGAATTAGGCGTGGGTTTGGGAATTGGGTGTAGGTGTTCTGCTCTGATTAGCTATAGGAATATTATTTAAGAGGTATCTCTGTGCTATCCCTTTTCTTCTGTGCGAATATCCGTTCTCTTTGGAATGGCTCAGATAGGCTTCATGGATCAAAACTGTGTCCTTGCCAAGCTGGACTTGTTCGGAAAAGGTGAAGCCTAACCCTCGTGCTCCTCTCGGGCTCGTAACAATACTCGCCTACAGCTAAGCCTCTTGGTGCTGAGCTGTTTGATCACTTGAGCCCACATCTCACCACAGAATAGAGCGGCTGCCTTGGTAGTGACATGTTCGACTCCATACAGCCGTCCCGCCTCGGAGGTTGAGGCGTGAAGGGTCTAGCAAATAATCACAGCATGCAAGGAAAGCCACGATATCCGGCGGTATGTCGATGCTGTCGATTTCGTTGGGCGAAGAATGCAGACGACTTGCTACACAACACCCACTCACTCGATTCCGGTACCAACTCTTTGCAACCTCAGTACAGCGCCCAGGGTCCACAATTTCTTGGTCCAGAGCCCAGCAGTGGATGGGCCACATGGGATGCTGAGCCCCCGGCGAATGCGCTTAGAAATGGACCACCGGGAACGAAACAGAGCCCGGAATCCAGATGCTCTTGAAACATGGCTTTCTCTTCCAAGACTAACGAAGGGTGGCGAGAGTCGCCCAAGCAGGTTGAAGCGTCGCATCCACAAGCGGAATTGGGTTTCGGCGCATCAAAGGCGCAACCCCCTGGGCGACCCAAATCTTGAAATGGACCCTGGACAATCGAACGCCTGTCTTGGAGTCTTGGTGCAGGCAGTTCCCGCCACCAAAGTGCTGGAGGCTACATAAAAGCGTGGGGCAGCCGAGCGACGTTCCCTCCTGCGACTGCTGCCTGTGTGGTCCTTCCGGTCCGGGCTATGCACACTTGCACTCCGTGCTGCTCTTGCTCAAAGCCACCTTCAGGACTCCTCCCTCATCTCCTTTGATGCTAATTTTGACTTTTTGCTGAGCTCTCGTGAATCTTACATGTGTCGACGTCACTGACCAAGCCACACTGCACGTGCCCTTTGAATTACGATTTACGGGCAGCGCATCTCCCGAGCAAAACCCCCCAAAACCACCAAGCCTCGGCCATTGTCTCCCGGAGCTAGCCTGGATATTTATCAGCCTATCTGCTTTATCCAGCCACACCACATATACCCATATACACAATTGGTCCTTCTCCAACAGCCTACCTGAGACAAATCATACCCTAATTACACATTCCAATGGCTGCCTCAAATCCCCCGGCGGTGGAAGCCGGCGCGGAAGCCGGCGCAGAAGCCAAGCCGAACCAGGAGCCTGCCGCACCATCATCACCAGATCACGTAGAGGAGAAGAACAGGGCCGCAGAGACCTCGACGCAAACCCCGATTCCGACAACAACGAACACAACTGCTACTACGAAAACAGCCCCCTCAGACAAGGCCCTCGAGGCAGGTGTGGCGGCCGACGACGAGAAGACCGCGCCGCAGGGCAGCACGTCGACGTCGAAGGCGCGCGAAGCCGAGATCGCCGCATCGGCAGCAGCACTGTCAGGGGCAGAGAAAAAGGAGACCGGGGCCTCGCCACGGCCGAGCGTCCAGACAGACCTCGACGACGATGTGTACCAGGCGGACTTCCAGGGCGAGGTCGTGACCAACGACGAGCTGCCCTCGGCGGAGACGATCCGCAGGATCGAGAACTACATCGTGCTGGACAGGCACGGCAAGACCCACACCTTTAGGAGCTTGTACACGGGGAGGAGCGTTGCGAGGAGGGTGCTGGTTATATTCGTGCGGCACTTTTTCTGCGGTGTAAGTGGCCCCCAAACTCAGGGAGGGGGAGCAACCAATCCATTCGGGGCAGCGTGGAACTTTGTTCTGGGCGGATAAAAAGCTGACTTTTTTTGCCTGCTCGCAGAATTGCCAGGAGTACCTCCGCAGCCTCTCGGCGTCGATCACGGCCGAGTCGCTGCTGCAGCTGCCGATCCCGACCTTTATCGCCGTGGTGGGCTGCGGCGACCCGGCGCTGATCGACATGTACGCCTCCGAGACGGCGTGCCCGTTCCCCATCTACGCGGACCCGACGCGCAAGCTGTACCAGGAGCTGGGCATGGTCAAGACGCTGGCGCTGGGCGCGCGGCCCGCCTACATGAACAAGAGCATCCTCAAGTCGTCGCTGGACAGCATCGTCCAGGGCGTCAAGCAGATCAAGAACGGGCTGGTGCTCAAGGCCGGCGACCAGCGCCAGATCGGTGGCGAGTTCCTGTTCGAGCCGGTCGATATCAAGAGCCCCGAGGTCGAGAGCCCGTCGCACGAGTTCGACCGGAAGCTGAAGGTGGACGACAAGAAGAGCGGCGGGGGCGGCAACAAGGAGGGGGCGGCAAAGACTGACGAGGAGCGCCTCTCAGATGCGGCGAAGAGGAGCCGGGCGACGAGCGTGGTGACAGATAATGATAATGACGAGGAGGAGGAGCCCAGCCTGGTCGAGGAGAAGAAGGTGACGTGGTGCCACCGGATGAGGACGACGAGGGACCACGCCGAGATCCCCGAGCTGATGGAGGTGCTGGGCCTGACCGGGCACGGGAAGCCCATCAAGGACCAGAGGAGGTGGTCCAAGGCCCTAGAGTCGAGAAAGGGCACGGGGCTGAGCCTGGCGAATCGGATGAGCCGGATGAGCCAGCACAAGGTTGACGATGGGATATAACGGCGTTGTGGTTTTAATTCTGGGCGGGATACCGACGGTATGTGTCACAACACACCGCGACTTGGGCTTTGGGTGTCCATAATAGCACAATGCGTTACATAACTTGTGTGAATGATACCTTGTCAATACAAGCGGCCCTGGTGGCCGGAATCATTTGCATGGTGTCACAATACTTAATGTGAATACCCAGTCGTCAGATACAGAGCAACGAACTCCAGGCACGATACATAGAAGGAAGCCAGTTCTCGAAATCTGCCCTCTAGGGCTACTCGTCCCTTACGGTCAATGGTAGTGTGTCTTGAACTTTCCCTGCTTACAGACTTCCCAGCTGACCACCACATATACAGTCAGTCCAGCAGATAATCCAATTACTTTCGCCTGGCACAGTATATGTCGTTGTGTACCTAGATACACAAGCGGAGCCAAAACATGTGCCGTCTGTCAGTCGCCAGCCGCGATACTGCAGCATGCTGCAGCACGACGCCGGCCCTGGGGGCACAACTCGCGGCAGACCTCAGACGTGGCTCGAGGAACTGGTCTCGGCTTCGCATTGCACAAGGTGGAGTCACTGCTGGCAGTTCTATTTGAGGGCCTGTGAGTTACCGACACGGTGCTTTCTCCGGTGTGGTAGTGTGACCGTAGGATAGTCGGAAAACTGCTTTTGGGGAAACTTCGTTGTCCCCTGAGGGCGGCGCATGTCACGACCAGGCTCCCAACATATTCATTCAGCAAAGGGAACAGAGCTACCCACTCTCTATATCATGGGCCACGCAAATGGGTCGTCCTGACCCGCGGCTCCTGGCCGGTCCGCGATGGCACTTTGCCACATTCCTGTGGACTCTGGAACCTACGGCGTTGGGATCCGGATCGCGTTCTACCTGCAGTGGTCCGGCATGATCGTCACCTCGTGGGCGCTCGAGTCCGACGCGCTCAACCTCAAACTCATCAACGCCCTCACTATCGCAGCGACCTCCGTTGGCCTGATTTTGAACTTGAACAGACTCCAGCCAGTCGAGATATATATTGTCCTGCTGCTCACATGTGGCACACTGTACTTTACAGTGCCGATCTACCTTTGGAGGCTGGTGACCTGCTGCCGGCCGTGGTGGGACCCAGAAAGGTGGACGAGGATCAAGATGGGATGGCTGTTCCGAGTCTTGACATACTCCATGTATGGGGTCCTGGTCAGTCTACATATTTGGTTCTGGTGTAAGGGTGTTCATGAGAGACGGGAGACAGATCCAAAGTTGGACACGGACGCGGAGTGCGAGCAATTTGGCTTTTTATTTTCTCAGGTCAGACTCGACGACCCTGGCCTGGTTATTTCAAATATCATCTTCCATTTCACCATCCTCTTAGTCGGCACCGGGATCTCTGCCAGCCGATTAGGTGTCATTGAGGATTGCTTTTGGGGCAAAAGCCAAAGACGGCGTAGATGGAGGTAATACGATACCCCCGTCCCTCCGGAAGCATTAGCTGACTGGCGTTTCCCGCACAGAATAACAAAAAATCGTATCATGTCCCTCCAGCACTTTCAAACTATCTGCGATCTCATCGTGGCCACCACCATCACCGTGGCGATCGAGCTCGTAATATCCTGGAACAAGATCAAGGGGGCGAACGATCTCGACTCTGCCGCGCAGCTCATCCCCCCTGTTATCACCGGTGCGTTCCTCGTGCATGGCTTATATGTTTGGGCCACGGGGCCAGACAGCGATAGCGAGGACAGCAACAGCTACTACTGTCCCAGAGCCAATATCAGCAACAGGAGCGGTACCCCGAGGAGGAGAACGTCAGGCAGACGGAGGCGCCGTCGTTACTGCGGCCGCCATTGTCGGAGAGCTTCACAAATTTCTTCAGATCTCCTCGATGCATACCCGGACATGTTTGACCTTTCGGATCTGTCCGTGCCACCGCCGGCGTCACTTGACGGTTATGTTGCTGATCCCTATGCTTCTGATTATTATGATATGGCGTCAGGTTACTACGGCATGCATGGTGGCGACTATGTTGGCAACGAAGTGCCACCCTTGGGTGATGACCTGGGCCACATCCAGCCTGAGCCTCCGGCGGCGGCAGCGCGAGCGGCAGGTGGGAGCCGAGGAGCTTCTGTTATTAGTGAGGAGGGTTTTATACGGCTGTGAGAATCTTCTGTGTTCTCTTCGTATACAAAGTTCTGGCGCTGTCCAGCACTTGGAGAGAAAAGTGGTGTCTCAGAGATTAGACGTCAGCGTATCATAACTCAAATATGTGTCACACTACATGAGGATTCATCCCAATACAGAGCGTCCCATCGCCCGTTGCGGGTCGAATTACGCATAGACGTTTGGATCCCTTCGAGTCATACTTCAGGTCCAAAAGGAGCAAGAGTATTGGGGCGCTGGATCGCTGGAATAAATGGTGATCCTAACCAGTAGAGGTGTAGAACAAGTATTAAACCAACGGGTAATTTACAGCTTCTCGAGGTCATCCCCTGTCGGTGCCAACCTCGGAGGAACTTCAATACAGTGCTTGGGCTCGATGGTCGTGCGTGGGTCTATCACAGTCCTCGTGTGTCAAATTTGGGCAGAAGCTGCTTGCAGAAGATCCTTTGCCTTCACGGTCTTGCCAATCTGTGGCTGTGTCACTCGGCAAGAAACACTCATTTCCTTCTGGCGGCCTCAACTCAACGAACATCCGATACCCGTCCGGGTATTAGCCCCGTAATCTCAGCATACTACCCAGACTTCTGTTCAAGACTTCCCAGAGACCTTTGCGATGACGCAGAAGTACAGCGGACCCCACTGCTTCCCATCCTTGTGGTCTGGAACCGCGATCCTGCCATATTTCGTCTCTTCCGTGAAGCTCTCGAGAGCCTCCTCCACGGGGTCCGCCCGTCTCTTGAGCTTACTTCCCAACTCGAACGTGACGCCCCAGGACAGACCAAACTTCTTCTTGTCCTTCTCCACGGCGGCCAACATCTTCTCAATCACGCCGTCGTTCTCACCGGTTTCTATAGAGCACGTAGAGTAAACCACCCTGCCCCCGACCTTGACCGCCTTGAGGGCCGTCATGAGCAGCTCCGTCTGCAGCTTGGCCAGCGTCTTGGACCCGCCCCTCCTCCACCGCGCCATCTCGTCCGCCACCCTCCCGCCCGCGGAGGCCCTGACGTACGCGTGGATTACATGCCGTTCCGACGAGCACGGCGCGTCCAGCAGCACGCGGTCGTAGCCCCCGGGGCCGCAGGGGAGCTGCGTCACGGCGCGCGGGTCGGAGCCGTCCAGCCGCAGGACCCTAACCGCATTGGCCTCGGACAGCGACTCCGGGAGGTACGCCCGCAGGTTGGCGGCCAGGCGCTTGTTCCGCGCGTGGTCGACCTCGTTGGAGTGCAGGCAGCCTGGTTTCGGCGGCGGCGCCGGGGCCGCGGAGCCGGCGTGGAGGTGGGGGAAGATCAGCTGGGCCAGGGCGACGGATTTGCCGCCTGGGGCAGCGCAGAGGTCCAGGACGCGGTCGTTGGGCCGGACGTCGAGCATGTGAGCGCAGAGCGCGGATGCTGCGTCTAGGTTCCAATGTGACTGGAGATCCTTGCCGGAGTTTGACGGTGTAGGGACAGCCTTCGGCGGAGGGAAGAGGAAGGTGTCATTTTGCTTGTCAGGCTTTTCCCCCTTGTCTACTTCCATGGCTTCTGATTCTTCTGATGACTTTAGCGGCACTGGTGAGATGTGCTCAAGGGCCACGATGCTGGGCCTTGTTGTGGTGTCGACTCCCTCCTCTGATGGAAGATCCGGAAATTGGATCCGGCGCAGTTCTCCCTCTGGGCCTGCCGAGAGAACTCTATCAACCTCAGTTGACGGGACATACTGGTTCACTAGAGCTGCATAACGGGTGGGCTTCGCGAGCGCAGGATACAGTGAGTTATGCCATCTCTCCTCGCCCCAGACCGAAGCGTACTGCCCATGGAATGCTGAGACTGTTGCGTCCAAGTGCTTGCGGTCAGCCTTGGTCGGCATGATACGGTCAGTGACTGCCTGCGAACCAGACCGCCCAAGCGATGATCCCGATTCCGAGGTGGTCTCTGAGAAATTGAAAAGTCCCTGTGGCCTAGGTCTCTTTGAGATGACTGCTATTGTGAGACCTTGTTGGAGGACTAAGATCGATATCAGCAAGTGAAAGAAGCCTGGTGCGGAATTGGTGGCAGACCTATAGTGAAGAGTCTGCTAAATGGGATCAACATAACCTGAAATCTAGGATGCGAGTCGGTTCAACAATTAGGACGCGCTTGACAGTCTTTATTGGATGTCTTCAGGTCAGATTTCGATTTTCACAATCGCTGGTTCGTTGATGGAAGACATCAATCTGCAGATTTGGAGGGCACCAAAATCAAAACGCCAGCCTCTAGGGTTCAACCCTGTGTCCGTTCGCCGTGGGAGATGTCAAACCGTCCCGAAATCACTCCTGATTCTCGACCACAACCTGCTGATGGTCCTCCCTGTCGACCTGCTCAAGGAACTCATCGGCGTCTCAGACCTTTCGCTCTCCCTTTCTATTCCTCTTTCGCCTTCGCCTTCCTCTTCGACCGCCTTCAGACCGCCATTCCTTCTCTCGCTCAAGGTCATCTCGCTGCCGCCCCCACCCCAGCTGCCCCTCGCCCGGAGTCTCTTGACCTTGACCTCGAACCTGTGCCTGTCCTCGGCACGCATGATGCATCCACCCATGTAAAGCCCGTTCTTCTCGAAGTGGACGGCCCTCTCGCTCATGAAGCTCCTGTTCTTGGCGGCTTCTTTGGAGCAGTGTGCTCGCGCGGCCTCGTTGGCAAGCTCGGCCGAGTCTGTCCAACTCTTGTGGTTAGCCAAACACTCTTGCTGTCTTTTTGTGCTACCATCAATTACTGCTGGAAACTGGCATGGGGAAGAGGCCATACAGTAGAATCCGGCGCCAACCGGGGAGGACTGGGACCCGTGCGAGTCTTGCGATGTGACAAAGTCCCGCCGGAGGACGACGTAGGCCGTGGACAGGTCGACGCGGAAGATGAAATCCATCACGGCAAGCAATTTGTGGTAGAAGCTGCTTCCGAGGCGTGTCTGCGACGGAGGTAAGTAGTTGCACGCAAGGCCGTCAGCCTCAGTCTCAACAGCAGGTATTTCATCGAACTCTGGAAGGCTGGCCAGGGTGAAGAAGAGAGCCGTTGGTTTCATTTATCAAAGGATTCGTGGTGTTAAGCTGTCACCAGAGTGCAGAGTCTCCTGCGAGACATGCATCAAAGAAAGACGCATGGTGGCGGAGGCTAGGAAGCGCCCCATCCACCATTATGAACACCGCGCAAACATCTTGATTCGGCAGGTTCGACGCGTTGTACTGTAAACATATCTACAAATAAGCCTGGAGTTGTCACTGTTTTGGTGTCCGAGCGGTGCTCGTCACACGGTAAAGTTTGCCTGAAGATGCGGCCGAGGTTGCTGGAACATCCTGGTCTCTCTGACAACACCGCAGTGGTTCTCTCCTGCACTCGTGCAGGCCCAGCGAACCCGCTGTCCGTTGCTCCGTGGACGCCTAAGAGCTCTTGTTGACTTTCGCTAGCATCAAACACGAACCACAGTCTGGCCCTGGTAAAGAAGAGCGAATCCTCCAGCTGCGATGGCCAATCTCGAAGTCTCGCAGGGATCGCAAGTAACGATTCCGCCTTGCCATCGATATAGTCGAAACCGCACATACCTCCAACCAGAAGCCCGGCGCTCTCCAAGCGGGGGGCCGCTCCAACCGGCTGTCTCGCCGAACCGCAGGGCTCACCACGGCAACACCAGGCCTGACCTATAAGTTATGGTTTTGTATGGCCCGGGCGCCCGCCCATACAGGGTGAATACGCGCTCTTAGATCAGGATGGCATTTTGGACTTTGTTTCTCGAAAGCGACTTTGAGGATCAAGTGACCCGAGTTATACTCTGAGTTACCCCTCCACCCACCCACCATTCCGGGGACGTGATCTAGGAGTATCTTCATGATAAAACAATGTGAATCTGCTTGCCATTAAATAGGACATACGATGTCATGATCGTCCGGGTCTCAACGTGTCTCTATGGATACCAGTCCTGAGGCTCGATTAGTGTACCAAGTACAGGCCTTGGCAAGACACTGCTGCTTCGGTCTGTCCGCCATGGCGGGGTTGCAGCCCGCAACGAGAGATGGCGACTGGGGATGCTCTAGAGGAGACGAGGAAATCTCCAACGACGCCGAGAGGAGATGTCTAGTGGAGATCATGTGGACTACGGGTCAGGAGCAAGTCAATCTACGTCTTAAGTGCAATCCTCGTCGCGAGCTTGCAGCTAAGTAGCCACGACACATGGAGAGCGAGACGGTGATTCAAACCTGCCTCACCACCTGCCCCCGATCAGGTAGTACCCACCTCCTGCATACACACGAAATGCATTTCTTGTCGCCGACCCAGCCGTCCTTGCAGGCCCTCCCAGCCTGCCAGCCCAGACAACATTCACCTATGTGAATCACCGTCGTCGATTGGGCCCCCTTGCTCCTCCTTCCAGTACGTACTACCGGTCAGCCCAATTTGGAACCCCTGTCACACGGCAGAGTGGAGCCTCGTAAGTTTCCTAATCGGGCGATTCACGATTGTCTCGCAAGCCTCCTTCCTGCCCGGCTTACATCAGAGCCTCAAGGTCGGCACAGGCCACCTTCACGGCTAATAGTGCTATAAATCGTTCAGACACGGCACGCGTCCTTGCCAACGCGATGTCTGGATTAATTTGTGTCTCATAGGTCTGAGCTAGACGGGTTGATAGATCTGGTCTCCCTCGTCCTTTATTGCCATCCTTTGCAAATTGTTCTCTCATCCGCATTCCCTACTACAAACCAAGCCTCAACGGTCACCTCGAGATGGCCGACTCTCCCGCCGCCATCACAGACGAAAAAGACCAGCCCGGAATTCACAGTCATGGAGTCGACCAGGACAAGAACAAATCGGCCGACTCTGTCCCGACTCGGAAGCCGACCATGGCTGATTACTTCAGGGTTTTCTCTTACGCCACAAAATGGGACTTTTGCATCTATGCCGTGGCATGCTTCGCTTCGATAGCAGGTGGTGCCACGAGTCCACTCAGTAAGCAGCCTCCAGATATGATTCCAACACTTTGAAGAAATCTTTCGTTCTTTCATGATTGCATGACAATTCCTCCTCCGTCCATTGAGAGCTGACTCTGAATGCCACAGTGAACATCGTCTTTGGGCAACTTGTCAAGCAATTTACCGAATACTTTAAAGATCCCTCCAAAATGTCGCCAGGCACCTTTAACAGTGTCTTGGATCGACAAGCCCTTTACCTCGCGGGACTCTTCATTGGTCGTTGGGGTCTGACTAGCATCAACAAGTTCTGCTTCCAGATGATCGGTATCCGTCTCTCCTCTCAGATCCGTCTACACTACCTCGAGGCGCTCTTCGCGCAGCCCATACATGCCATCGACTGCATGCCCGCCGGGGGACCTGCGACCACCATCACCGCGACTTCCACCACGCTGCAGATTGGGATATCGGACAGACTGGGGACGTTTCTGCAGTTCTTGAGCACCATTGTGGCGGCCTTCGTTGTTTCCTTCATCTGGAGCTGGGATCTTACCCTGGTCATGATGTCTCTCATCCTATACTCGCTTGTCGTCATCTCGCTGGTTTTGCCGCCCGTTCTCAAGGGCCAGACCACGGCGGCGGAAGCCGATACACAAGCTACAGCCATTGCCAGTGAGGCGCTGGGTGGGATACGACTCATAGTTGCATGTGGAGCACAGTCGCGCATCATATCCGGTTACCAGAAGTGGGTAGACGAGGCAAGGAGGCGGGCTCACAAGGCAGCTCCTGCCTTGGGTGTTCAGTTCGGTTTGCTGGTAAGTTCGCACAAGAACATCTCCTCCCTGATGGGCACCTCCAGATTCCTGACTAGACTTGTAGTTCTTTGGCGTCTTCGGCTCATTCGGTCTGGCATTCTGGTATGGCACCAAACGATTCATTGATGGCGCCCTCAGCGATGCAGGGGTTGTCATTATTGTGCTTTTCAACATGACGATCGTTCTCAACTCCCTCGAGCGCATTGCGACTCCACTCGTAGCTGTCAGCAAAGCCATGGTCGCCGCCTGCGAGTTCTTCACCGTGATCGACACGCCGAAATCCACCTCTGGATCAGAAAAGCTGGATGCCATGTCGCATGATATCATATTCGAAAATGTCACCTTTGCGTACCCTAGTCGTCCCGATGCTACTGTTCTCGATGGTCTGAGCCTCTGCCTTCGCTCGGGCCAGAACACTGCTCTCGTCGGCCCGTCTGGGTCGGGCAAGAGCACTATCGTCGGTCTGCTGGAACGGTGGTACTCCCTTGGAGACCAGTATGGCACGACCCGCGCCGATGAAGCTACATCATTCTCTCAAAAGAAGGATACAGAGCCAACGCACGGAGAAGACCATGACCGCGATGAACCAGAGCAGCTCGAAGAGGCCAAGCCCAAGGCTTCAGGGTCAATTGTTATCGGCGGCCACAACCTGGAAGAGCTGGACACGAAGTGGTGGCGATCACAAATCGGATTGGTGCAACAAGAGCCCTTTCTCTTCAACGATACTATTTACGCAAATGTTGCCTACGGTTTGATAGGAAGCCAGTGGGAGGACGAGCCGATGGAGGAGAAGCGGCGACTGGTGGAGACAGCCTGCCATGAAGCCTTCGCTCATGAGTTCATTAGCCGACTGCCTGAGGTAACTACAACAATCGCCGCGCACCCCAAATTAGCCCTGATTCCTCCAAGTACCTTACTAACATGTGTCTTGTCTCTTCCAGGGTTACGATACCCAAGTAGGTGATGGCGGTGCAAAGCTCTCGGGAGGTCAGAAGCAGCGCTTGGCCATTGCCAGGAGCATTATTAAGAAGCCCTCGATCATTATCCTTGATGAGGCGACCAGTGCAATCGATGCGAGGAGCGAAAGGATTGTGCAGGCCGCATTAGACAAAGTCACGCGAAATCGTACCACCATCACCATTGCCCATCGTCTCTCCACCATCAAAAAGGCCGACAACATCATCGTTCTGCAAAACGGGCGCGCGGTGGAACAGGGCACGCACCAGGATCTGATGACTTCTCCAGTGGGTATTTACAGCGCCCTGGTGCGTGCTCAGTCTTTAGGGCTGTCTCACGCCCTGGCCTCCGACGATGAGGGACACATGACCGATAAGACGCAAGATCCAGGCCATGAGGCCGAAAAGATCATCATGGAAAAGAAGCGAGATTCGACTGAGTTTCTGGTTCAGAATGAGGGCACAGATAAATTGGCAACGACTGGAAAACCGCGGAGTCTGATCCGCAGTTTCGGAGTTCTTCTGTATAATCAGCATTCGCAGTGGCCATACTACGTGAGCATTGTTTTGTCCTCCATGGCAACCGCTGCCGGCACTCCAGTCCAAGCCTACCTATTCTCGAAAGTCATCAGCGTCTTTCTTCTCACAGGAGACGACCTCAAGAGAGAAAGCAGCTTTTGGGGCTTGGCATGGTTCTACCTTGCGGCCGGTGTTGGTCTTGCATACCTGGCTGTAGGCTGGATTGGCCTCATTGTTCAGCATAACATCAGCGCCGTGTACAAAAAGCAGTATCTCTCCGACATGCTCTACCAGAAGCTTTCCTTCTTCGACCAGGACGCCAACTCCCACGGGACACTGAGCGCGCGTGTCGGAAGCGACGCCAAGCAGCTGGAAGAGCTCCTGGGCATGAATATGGCGTTTCTTCTCTCGGGCGTCTTCATAGCTCTGGGCAGCGTGATCATCGCGATCATATTCGCCTGGAAGTTGGGCCTGATCGCCACCTTCGTCACGATGCCCATTATGCTGGCAGCGGGGTACTGGAAGTTCAGACAAGAAGTGACCTACGAGAAGATGAACTCGGCCGTGTTCCAGGAATCCTCGCAATTCGCAACTGAGGCCATCGGAGCCATACGAACGGTCTCTTCTCTCACGATGGAAGGATCCATCGGGAACCGGTACCGACAACTGTTAGACAACCACGTCAAAGAAGCACTCCAAAAGGGTCGATGGACGTCTTTGCTGTATGGTTTTGCCGACAGCGTTGGTCTTGCCTGTCAGGCTTTGGTATTCTGGTATGGTGGCAGGCGCCTTGTTAGTGGCGAATACAGCCTCGAGGCCTTTTTTGTCTGCTTCATGGCAATTATGCAAGGCGCAGAGTCAGCTAGCCAGTCTCTCGCAGTCGCCCCGAACGCCTCACAGGCCGCAGCCGCTGCAAATCGCATACTCGACGTTCACGACTCGGCCGACACTGACCGGCCCGATGATTCCAAGAACTCGGGCGAGGCTTCCCCCATGGGCGATAGCTGCGATGGCATGGAGATCGAGTTGCAGGACGTGTCCTTTAGGTATCCCACGCGGGACGCGCGCATACTCGATCATCTGAGCCTCAAGATTGAGAGAGGCCAGTACGCAGCGCTTGTAGGGCCGTCCGGCTGCGGAAAAACAACCATATTGTCCCTTTTGGAGAGATTCTACGAACTTGGACCGCACCAAGGCTCGATTACGTTCAACGGAGAGAACATCAACGACCCGAACGTCTACGAATACCGCAAGAACATCTCGCTCGTGGCCCAAGAGCCCACCATGTTCCGCGGCACAATCCGCGACAACATCCTCCTCGGCATCGACGACCCAAGCTCCATCCCTGACGAGAGGATAATGGAGGTCTGCCGCGACGCCTTCATCCACGACTTTATCATCTCCCTCCCCGAGGGCTACGACACCGAGGTCGGTGCCCAGGGCATCTCGCTGTCCGGCGGGCAGAAGCAGCGGGTGGCCGTGGCCCGGGCGCTCATCCGCGACCCCAAGGTCCTCCTGCTGGACGAGGCGACGTCGGCGCTCGACTCGGAGTCGGAGAAGATGGTCCAGGCTGCGTTGGAGAAGGCGCGCAACGGCCGGACTATGATCGCCGTGGCGCATCGTCTGTCGACGATCCAGAGCGCGGACGTGATTTTCGTGTTTGAGCAGGGGAGGGTGGTGGAGAAGGGGACGCACGACGAGTTGGTCCACAAGGGGGATGTGTACTGGGGAATGGTAAGTCGTTCTTTTTGCCCCCCGTTTGGCCTTCAACATGCTAACTGGTGTCTACAGTGCCAAGCTCAGGCGTTGGACATGTAGGAGACCACGTCCACAATCGTGAAGGCGATGATGTGGCGTTTCGATGACCAGGGGCTGGATGGTTCGGGATAGACTTTCTGGTGATATCGAGATTCAATAGAGGGGGATTTGCTGTTTTTGTACTTTTGGCTTGAGCAAGCTCCATGACTCCTGGCATTATCGTAGATTCTGTAGAACTCACTTAATGACATAGCGCAACACCGACTACCCATATTCGAGTCATCGGTAAACACGTGTTCCAGGCTGGTTCTGCATTGAAATGGCTCTCTGTATCTGTACAAGCCATTTACATCCCGTTTCAAACAGCCACGCACCGCTCAAAACGAAACCGTGGTGCCCATGAGCAGCCTTCCCTCGTCCGTCAAAGGCTGCCGTTCCCAGCGGACATCGTCAGAATCCGCCCATATCTCAGCTGCTTCCTCGACCAGCTGCCACTCCCCGGTCGGCGCGTCTTTCTCCAGGTAGCGGAATATAATGCGGGCGCCTCCGTCCTCGAAGACGTACTCGCGGCGCCACAGCCGCCTCCACTGCTGCAGGGGCGTGCCCTCGACCGAGTTCGCCAGCTCGACGTCGCGGTTCCTCCTCGCCAGGGCGTAGAGAGAGCGCGCGTCCCACAGACCGTCGTGGCCGGGGTAGTCTCGCAGCTTACACAGGGCCTCATCGCGCACCAGGGGGTCGCGGCAGAATATGGATATGACGAACAGGTACCATGATACTTCGCAGTGGAAGGAGAGCTGGTGCGGGGGCGTCATCTGTCTCCCTCTTGACTGCGCGCAGGGCCAGGTCCACGAGTGAGAGGTACTCGCGGAACAGTGGCGTCTGTGCTTGTAGTGATTCGAGATCCAGGTACTTGGGGGGGTTTGCGAACACGTAGGTGGCCATGTACTGCAGGCGGAGATGTAAAGCTCGCAGGTAGGGCCGGGAACCAACCCCATCGGACATGATGATCTTGTTGAAGAGAGGCTCAAAAGCGGGTGCAAGGGCCTCTATCAAATCACGCGTGTCGGCACAGACCTTGAGAATGTCGGGGCTCTCCATAAGTCGGACCCAAAAGTCTTCGTTCTCAGTGACGCTCGTCGTTTCGAGCACGCCTGAAGATTTTACCATGTCCACGATCATCGCCTCCATGGCATGTTGGCGATGCCGAGCGGCGGCCCAATGCTCTTCGAATTCCTCAAGTGTCCCAAAGGCTGCCGGTACATTCTCGACGGCCGCAGAAGCGCGAGGTAGCCGGCTCACGAGCTCTGTGAAAGAGTGCAGGGTCTGCTTCTGGGCCTTCAGCGCCTCCGCAAAGTTTGGCAGTGGTCGACATTGGCCGATCCGGCCGTGAAGAATGGAGCGGGCAGAGGTTGCTAGATGCGTGAACACACCGGCCACTGATTCGAGAATCGGTCTGGGATCTGGTGCCAGGGCGTCCAACCGCCCATTCTGGTCAGTGGCGATGGCGAGGAGCAGGGACAGGCCGTGGTTGACATGTTGTAAGGCAGCCTGGCGATCTGCTCGCAGCGTTTCGAAGGTGAGCAGGAGAACAGATAGTAATACGGCATCTTGAATTGACTCGCTGCGGCTCTGTAGCTTGAGGGAATGGCAATAGTAGCCCACTCCATCAAGGTAATGCGCGTCTGCTATCGCTACCTCTGTTGTTGTCAACCCAGGGGCGCGCACAGTGGACACAGAGGGCGCACGTGGTCTTCCCCCGTCCAGCCGGGATTGACGATGCCACAGAGACATTGCACCGATGGCTATGGCAGCGTGCTGGATCGTGGCATTGCTGCGCGCGAGCTGCGGCAGGGTGACCTCCCACAGGTCAGCCCCAGAGGCGGCAGATGCGGTGATCCACGGGCCTCGCACCAGGCTGACGAACTCATCAAAGTACAGCCTCGCCTTGTCATCTTTAACACCGAGCGTCGTAGGAATCAGCCGGGCCTCCTGGAGCGACGCAGAATGCATCGGCGACGACGACGGTGTTGTGCCTCTTGTGCCCGTGGTCGACTTGGAATTCCAGCAAACCTGCATTGTGCTGGGAACCCGGGCCCTCTTGGCTGCCGTGGCCACATAGCCCTCGCACACCCTATTGCCATTGCGGCAGTTTGAGCAATGAGGCCTGGCTTCGTCGCACTTGACGTGACGCCGCTTGCAGGTGATGCAGCCTGTCCGCGCCCTGTGGGAGCTCGCGCGTGAGGACTTTGGGGCTTGTTTGAAGTCGGGGGATGTCTTCCTAGCTTCCTCCATTTCCGTCAGAGACTTGGCTTCGCAGAATCATCATGGTTCCACCACAAAGATTGGCCCATGTGTCGAACAGCACGGATTTGGTGCTCGTCGACAGTGGTTGCCTGGTGGATGTGAAGATGAGTGAGACATCGGAGGCCTGGCTGCCGCTCAAGGCTGATGAGCACGCATGTTTTATCTCAGTGGTCTCGGAAGGCTCGCCGGATGTGCTTACCCCATGATCCAACAATGCAGCCTCTAATTCCCAGCCAAGAGAAATTGTACATGTATATTTATAACGAAAGTAGGGTCGAGAAGAGAGCTTAAACCAACCTATTTCTCCTTGCCACGAATTTCCGTCTCGACCGAGAATTTAGGTAGGGATGAAAGCCAAGGCAACGCCTGAGCACAAACGGCCCTCCAACTACGAATGTTTCCTTACGATGAAGGTATCTAGAAAATTGAAGGCTATGGTGGGTTTGAGAACAAAATCCAGCACAGGTGTTACGGTTGAAGAGCTTTGTTCCCAATGTGAACCTCTCTGCTCCTGTCGACGTTGGGGCCATTTCTGAGGGTCTTGTACGAATTGAACCCGCGCAGATGGAATAAATAATTCAAGACCCGGCCGCCGATAAAATCGTGCCCTGGCTTCAAACACAAGTACAGTCCCGCGATAACTTACAACGATATAGCATTGAAAACCCCCTTCTACTTGTGTAATTCGTTAGCTAGACTACAATAAATTTGTGGAACACGGACCCGGCACCTGCTTGTCCTTGATCTTGAGCTATCTAGGTACATGTGCAGCGACTCTTCTCGAAGATGTTACATGTTGACGGCAACGCCAATGGAACAGGCAGGTCAGCAAATTGACCAAGGTCAGTCTTCAAAAGCCGTCCTCAGTCTCAAGCGGGCCGAACATCGACCCCTTCTCAGCTCGATCGGGTCGACAATCCCCTTCAAACTCCTCAATCGGGTCACTGCCGCCGTAGTTGGGCAATTTCCTGATGTTGGCTCTCCCGTCAGTCGTTCGCCTCTGTCGCCGGCGTGTCTGAGGTTTTCCCCGGATTTGAGGCGCTGACAAAGCGATTTGTCTCTGTTCATCGACATGTTCAATCTTCTTTCCAACGAAAAGCTTTGGCCTCGCAAATTTGAAGCAGTCGTCTGGTTCGCCGTACTTCTCAAGTTGTTTTGTATCAAAGTTGGACGTGCTAGTGTCTGCCTCGCAGGTAGACGATGCCATCGGGTCACTGGGAAAGAGCAGTCGGCTTGTGTCGTTACTAGCCGCTGATGAAGAGCTGGGAGAGCCATGGGTTGCCTGATCGGTACGCATGGCGGTCTCCACTAGCCCCGATGTAGTCTCAGAACTGAGATCTGCCGAAGATGCTCCTGCAGTAGCCACGTGGCTTGCGGAGACTGTGGTGACCACATCTCCAGTACGATCGCAGAGTTCTTCGGCGAAGTCACGTCTGTCGATGGACTCGAGGCCGAGCGGAGAAGTGGTGAAGCCTTGTTGAGATTCCTCGTATGAGTAAGTGCTCGTGGACGGAAGGGATGGCCGGAGACTTCTCGCAGTATCTCTTCGCGCCTCTTCCAGAGCCTTTTCAAGGTTCTCAGAGGAGTCTCCGAACACAAAACTCCTCCACATATCATTCTCATCTTCTTGAGTGCGCTCACTGGGCAGCTGCTTCTCTACTGCAGCATATGCTCCATCTCCGGGTGCTAAGTCTTTCCCATGGAGCTGACGCAAAGCCGCGTGAGGAGATAGTACGTCCAGCTCAATAGCGATGTCTTCTTGCTGATTCATTTGGAACGGTGTTGCCTCTTCTACTACGTCGAGAAAGGGCGGGAGCTTTGGGGAGCTTGATACCACGAGCAAGGACACTTCATCAGAGGCTCCGGCTGTCATGTTCTGCTCTTTGATTGCGTGTTCATCGTGTCTATCGTTACTTCCGGGACTTTCAGAAGGCTGTGAAAGATGAGATCCCACTCTCGGAGAGCTATAACCGCCCGCAATTGGAGCGTTTTGGTCATCATCTGGGCAAGGCTCGCTGCTTCGTTGGTGAGATGGGTCTGGTCCCGCTTCTTCTGCAAACAGACCAGCAGGCGCGGTAGGAGCCTTGTCCTCGCCAATATCATCGACTTCTCTTGCTGTTGGAGAAACTGCAGCCTCTACACTGTATGCACCATGAAGCTGACTAGATGCTCCGAGTTGACTGATTCCTGGTGAAATCAGTCTCTGAGCGGCGTCTTCTAGGTTATCAGAAGTTCCAATCTCGTTCCAGGCAGAGTTGTCGTCAGGGGGCGCAACAAAGGTTCTCCATACGTCATTTTCATCGGCCTGAGACCGAGAAACGGCAGGTTGCTCGACTCCAAGCTGGGCCAAAGTGCTGTCCGCATTGTCCGAGTCAACTGACTGCCGATGAAGTAACTGGAGCAAGGCTGGTCGGGTGGGAACAGGATGAAACAACAAGGGCGAGGTCGTCAGCAGTGGAGTTTGGCTGGCGCTACTATGTGATCGATGGCTTGCATCGGAACGAGAGACGCGGGCTTGGACTCGATCTTGATGGTGTTCGTCCCGGTGACGGTACCTGGGCTGGCCTATCGGACATTGTTCAGCTAACTCTCGAAAACACATTTAAGTAGGATCTTCTTTCGCGAGACAGCTTACCACGAGAGCCTGGAATACCAATATGGAGACCATTGCTTCTGGGGCTGGCGTTGGAGCTGTCTCCTAGTGCTCTCTCATAGCTCCCAACCCGAACCTTGATCCGTCGGAGAGAGGTGGGCGTGAAGGTATCTTCCGCACTCAGTCGGGCTCTGTTGTGTCCTTCACCATCCGTCACCCCAAGAAGCTGGCGTAGCTTGTGTTTTGAGGCTTGACGACGCGACTTCTTCACGCCCCATGGGTTGCTTGGAGATCCTCGTGTCTTCGTGAATTCCATTTCAATGGGCTTCTGCACATTAGTACCAACCCAGTCACCCTTGAGCAATAGCTTGCGTCTCTTCTGGCGCATGGCCTCATCTCCCGTCTCTTGCTCCGGGAGACGAATCGGTGCCGGCAATTTGGGACGACTTTCAGATAAATAGCGACTGGACATGAGCCGGTCATCGCTCTGGTATTTCCTCGAGGATGTGGACTTCAGGGCATCACGACGGACAGAAGAAGGTGGCCGCGCAGGAAGAGCAAGGAAAGAAACCGAAGGCGGACTGATCTTGACATTGGCATCAAGAAGACCGGCGCGAACCTTTGCAAAATGTTCCTTCTGGCGAAGGAGGGTCTCCTTGCCTTTCCGCGCACGAGAGTGGCGATTGAGGTTGCCTTCAGTCCAGTTCATGATGGAAGAAGGAGCTGATGCAGACGGCAGCGACAGGGACGCATGCACGAGAAAGGAAATCAGGCGAACACGACCATGAAATTTGCGTGAGGTAGTAGATAGAGGCAAACAAACACAGTAGTACTACCCTCACCATTGCAGGAGATGGGGCCCAAGGGCGAGGAGGTCCGGACGAGTTACCTAGGTGTGTTAGTGGTCATCAGAGTGGTTAGTAATTTGCGGCATCGAGAAAGGAGTTCTCAATGTTGAGGCGCCTGCTTCAGTGGCTTCGCAGTTGGAAGGTGCGTTTTGACAGAGCGAGGAAGGTGCAAGCCACTTCACGGTTTCTGGGGAAGAGACAGCTCAAGGTTCAGGGGTTTAGGAGCTTCTGTAAGTGGGTACCTGGGTACATGCGGGGGTAGCTCTCACCACAGCTCCAGTCGCCGATATCGACGCCGATGTCGACATCCGGCACGGCTCTCCACCTACACATTATCATCACGAGTATTCCCTCCCGCCACTGAGAATGCGAACGACGTGGAGGACAATTGTCTCAATCAGCCGCAGCCCAAGATTGCCGCCGTCCCGTCTCATACCGATCAAGTGGTTTCAGAGAAACATGGCGTCCGCGAGCCCCTCCCTGGTGCTGAAGAAGCCCGTCAAGCTGGCGTGCATCCAGCTCGCCAGCGGCGCCGACAAGAGCGTCAACCTCGCACATGCGCGCGAAAAGGTCCACGAGGCTGCAAAGACGGGCGCGAAGATCATCGTCCTCCCGGAGTGCTTCAACTCGCCCTACGGGTGCGACTACTTCCCCTCGTACGCCGAACAGCTGCTGCCGTCGCCGCCGAGCATGGAGCAGAGCCCCAGCTACCACGCCCTGTCAGAAATGGCCAGGGAGACCGGGACCTACTTGGTCGGAGGCTCGATACCAGAGTCGGTGCAGCATGAGAAGGAGGACAAGAAGCGCTACTACAACACGTCGCTGGTATTCAGCCCCAGCGGTGACCTGTTGGCCACACACAGGAAGGTGCACCTTTTTGACATCGACATCCCCGGCAAGATCACATTCAGAGAGTCCGACGTCCTTTCCCCGGGGAACAAGGTCACCATCGTCGACCTGCCCGAGTACGGCAAGATCGCCGTGGCAATCTGCTACGACATCCGCTTTCCCGAGCTTGGGATCATAGCCGCCCGCAAGGGCTGCTTTGCGCTGATATACCCCGGTGCCTTCAACACCACCACGGGCCCGCTGCACTGGAGCCTGCAGGGGCGGGCCAGGGCCATGGACAATCAGGTGTACGTCGCGCTGTGCTCCCCGGCTCGGGATGTGAACGCGGCGTACCCTGCGTATGGCCACAGCCTTGTGGTCGACCCGATGGCGCAGGTACTTGTCGAGGCAGAGGAGAAGGAGACAATAGTAACTGTAGAGCTGAGCGGTGAGAAGATCGAGGAGACGAGGAAAGGGATACCGCTGAGGGACCAGAGGCGGTTTGACGTGTACCCCGACATAAGTCAGGGCAAAATTCAATTTGGCGACAAGGGGCAGAATTGATTGGACCGAATATCTGGGGCTGCCAAGATTCCGGGCTCAAAAGGGTATTTATCATATCTATTTTGCAAGCCTCGAATGCTTACTTTTCCAATCCATCAGGATCCCTTCCTGGTGTGATCGACCCTTCTCGTAATCCAATCCAATCATCGTGACGGCTCGGCCTGGCTCTGAACCTTGAGGTCCTTCCCCCCGTCGTGAGCAATCGTCGGCCGGCCCGTGTCACGATATCAGGATATGCCTGGTCAATACTACCGATTATTGCAGGGCTTTCGCAGCAAATGTGGGCAGAATGAAGGAGGCCTTGTGGATCTCCGAGTTGTAGTATCTGCACAACTTCTCCTCCTCCTCAGGAGTCCAGGACCGAACGGGCACCTTGACGTTGCGGTTGGGGTCCTTGCAGCAGACCATGAAGCCAATCTGTCCCGAAGGATAGGTCGGGATGGTAGTGTAGGCGTACTCGGCAACAGGGAAGATCTCCTTGCAGTCCTTCTTCAGGTTGGTGATGAGAGGCAGGTGGAGCCATTGGTTCTCAGCTATTTTCACAAGTTAGCCTTCAGGACACCGGACAGGTGCGCGAGCTGACACAAGAAGAAATGGCTGGCACAGAAGCTGGCCGTTTGGAGGGAGAGAGGGAAGACCAGGGGAGAAGGGGGGGAGGGGGTTGGAGCATCGTTTTGTTTATGAGCAATATTAAGCGCATTCGACGCTCCAAGCAGGATGCTTGCGAAGGACCAGGCACGCTGTTCGCCTGCGTGAGCATCTTTCTAGGGTTGAAGATTAAAGGAAACGTACAACCTTGCGTAGTGATGACGCCGCCATCCCGCAGGGCATCGTGGAGCAGCTTGAAGTAAGGCTTCTGGAACAGGCTCTCAGCCGGGCCCTCTGGGTCAGAAGAGTCGGTGATGATGACGTCGAAGGTGTTCTTGTAGTCGTCCAAGAACTTGAAGCCGTCGCCGACGTGGACCTTGACCTTGGGGTGGTTGTAACCCGCAGCCATGCCGGGGAGGTACTGCTTGGAGAGACGAATGACGGCCTAGCACTCTTGTCAGCGACATGCTGTCCAGGGAGACCAGGGGATACGTTGGGGGCTGTTATTGACCTCGTCAATGTCACACAGGACTGCCTCCTCGATGCCCTCGTGCTTGACGACTTCGCGGAGGACACCGCCGTCACCGCCACCAATAACCAGCACCTTCTTGGGGTCAGGGTGCGAGTTCATGGCCAGGTGGGTGATCATCTCCTGGTAGGAGAACTCATCCCGCTCAGTGCACTGGATGACATTGTCCAGGACCAGGACGGTACCGTAATCGGTAGACTCAAAGATCAGGACGTCCTGGTACTTGCTCTTCTCGTGATGCAGAACCTTCTTGACCTTCAGAGTCATGGCCTGGCCTAATTTACTGTTCTGTCAGACGCCACTCTTCCCGCGCCCTGAGCAGCAGGAGCTTGTCTTGACTCACCGGGCCACATGTCTGAGATCTCGCGGAACCATCCATCTAAGACAAATAATTCGTTAGCCACATGCCAGAACGGGTCGCCAGGTCCCGGCCGTCACGTTGGCGGTAGAAGGACAGAGGATGTATGCGGTCATCGCTTGGCATCACTTGATAATGTTGTCCCTCACACGCCATTGTCCCTCAAGTTGCTTGTTCCGGACGCATGCCGATTGCGTATGGGCCCGCGATGAATATGCACCCACGAAAAATTTGGCGGGCAAGGGAGAGCGCATAAGACATATATATGGTGAATGAGATCCAAGGGGGTGGTACTTTATTGCTTCTCTTGAAGCGAGCCAATTTTGTACTAGATGTGCTTCTGACTGAAGAACCTCGACAGGGGAGAGAAATTCATGGTGGGGTTGCGATGGAGGGGTAGGGAGCCTGAGAGAGAGAGAGAGAGAGAGAGAGAGAATCGATGTACCTTGGATGGTCGAATGGGTGATTTCAGTCATCTTGGCGGGGGATGAGTTATGGCAAAGACGTTGAGAGGCAAAGGGAGACAGCGATGCTGTTGAAGATGAGAGTGATGCTAAGGGCGTTGAAGGGCAGTGATAGAACAAGCTCTCGTTCGCGAAGCAAGTTCGTGGGGTGAAGTTGCGGAGAAGTCTCAGGCTGCTATGCCTCGATTGGGCAAAGAAAAATTTTCCCATTGCCCAAAGCAAACGAACCTACCAAGCCTGCAAGGTCAACATGCCACACCTATGTGAATGTTGTCCGAGTAACCGGAATCTTCCCAATCGGACAGATGCAAAAGCTGAGAGATACCGCGTCTCACAGAAGATAGCAAGACAAGCCATTGAAACATCCAGTAGTCAACTTCATCTGCCCTGCCAGACTCCCACCTGCTTCTACATTGGCTGCACAGAGGGGCTGTCAGCTCTAACGGACGTCATAGGCCGGTTCTGCCGCTGCTCGCCGCCCAGCCCACCTAGCAGGTAGGTAGGCACTTACCTGTTTGTACTGCATAGTCTGCGCCAGCCCTATGATTTGAAGCAGCAACACCACATTATACACTACCTAGGTATGCGTATGGAACACCTCCTCTCTGAATCGCTGGTGTCATGCTGGCGGGCGTGATGGTAGTGAGCACCGCTGCGGTAAACCACCGCTTGGGGGCCGCGGGAACGGCTGATGTCCACCAGCGCGACATCAATCTAAGGTGAACAGCAAGGGAGGCCCAGTCTCAGTGTGCCTCCCGCGAAACACTATTTCGATGTAGGCTGTGTCAGCTCGTGAGATTGATTTGGTCGTCCACCGCATATTGCAGAGGCGACTTCCGATTCCCCGGATGATCTTATGATAAGCGAGAATGAGCTTTGGCCCCGAGGCAGCTCGCGCCCTGGAGAGCATCCTTCTGTAAGCATTGTGAGACATGGAGACGCCCTTCTTCATCTGGCGCCGTTCTTGAACCTTTCTTCTGAAGTTCGAAGAACGCTCCCCTAGGTGGCGACAACCTGAACTCGTCTGGCGAGAGGCCGACCTCTCCACAACGAACAGATCCCCGCGAAATCGTGAACCATGGCCCATCGATACCCAACATGACGAAGCACTCCTGGTAAGTGATACACAGCTTGCTGGGCCGTCAGTGCTTAGCGTGGGGGCTTATTGGGCGCAGGATTCGAAATGTCTGAGATGCGTGCCCTGCCGATGGTCTCGGATTGCATCAAACGGTGGGACATTATTGACGATGTGGCGTCCCTGGAACAATAGCTTCCATGAGCAGACACTTGTGCACCCACCCACCTACCCACCATTGCTTTTGGGGCCAACTTCAGTCGCAGGGCCAGGCACGATGCTCCCTTCAGAAATCCGACACAGCTGTCACTTGTGCCTGTTGCCACTGAGACAGTGGTGGGAGATGGTTCGCCCACCGGGGTGAGGCGCGCGGTTGCGATGCCATCAGCTCTTCCCCGGATATTGTGACCTGGAGGTGTTGGCTCGTCGAAGTTCGAGCCCAGCGTCACCGAAGTGCCGAAGCTACTCCACTGTACGGCACGTGTGTTATTATTACCAGGTGGTCTGCTCCGGACTGTTATTAAAGTGCTGACGGCGACATTGTCGCTCAGCCTTGTGCTTCCGTTTCCGGAAAACACGCCCGGGCTATAAATCTCGTTGACTGAGTATGGTGCTCATGAGGCAGCAAGGCAGGATACTATAGATTGCGAGGTCAGGAGGTTCGGGGAACCAAGCGGCCAAGAGAGCGTGCCGATCGGGAGACGATGTGACCTCCCAATTCCGGGAATATACTGTAAGTGGGCGTGCCGAACGAACAGGTGTGGGCGGACGTTAGAGCGTTCGCAGCCCATGTTGCCCGCTAGGGTGTTCGCGTGCCACTCGGGTGGCCAGGGCAGTTGGGCATTGATTCGGCAAGGAGTTGCGGTTGCTGACGACATGAGGATCCCCAATTCCCATGATCGACGGGAGCGAACAAAGAAAGAATGAATACGCACAGTCTCCTGGAGCGTGCCTCGACTCACCAGGCGCCGTGTGAACCTTGAGGAGCCAAGCTGGCGATGGCCCGGCCTAACCCACCCAAGCCGTTCCGAGTGTCAAAGACCTGACCTCGAGCCTTCAAAACGACTACCCTAGTCGCTAGTTCGTGAGCAAAACCAGGCTTCCCAGCGGTGCTAATCATTGAGCGGCGAGGCGGAATGCTACTCCGCCGACTATTTCCCCGAAAGCCATCGGCAGAGATCGACTCGGCACCGTCCTTGTTGAGCTGCCCTTGAGGCTCACTGCAACAGCAAGCCAGTTCTTTGTGCCGTGCAAGAAGGGGCCGTCCCGCGAAAGAGCAGGAGGCTGCCATGTGCGAGGGGGTTTTGTATGTGGCTGTCGGTCCACTCTGGGCACGCGAACGTCGTGGTGGAATGCGTCGTCAAGGAATCCATGCAACGGGCCCCGCGCTGGCTGCTGGCCGGCCCTTTGGGTTGCCACGAGCCAACGTGCCAGCGTGCCGGGGTGATCTCCCAAGGAGGTTTCAGGACCCGGCCATTGACTAATCACGTCTCTTCATTTCTTACGGGCCCTGAAGGGTCGAATCCCCGTCCCCGCCGGGCCACTTCGGCGCTGCTTCGTACCGTGTACATTGCACTGGCGGGTTCTCCACTGTCAGGCTATTTCGGTTGCCTCAAAAGAAGTGCTGCAGTTGAGAGATGGAAAGGGGAGGCCGGCTCCCAATGGCTGCCCCCCAAGGCTGCGAGGCAGTTTTTCTTTCTTCTTTGACCGTTGCAATTTTATGAAGCGAACGGCCGGAAAATATGGGGCCAGTTGAAAAAAAGCAGGTCAGGTAAGGTTCCTTTGCATTGCACACGTTGTTTGGGCGATTCTGTGACGTGAGATGCAGGCCTGGCAGCCCTTGGACGGATGCCTGTTCGCTGGGCAATATGCCGAGAGTGGCTGACCTAGACACTGGGGTTGGCGACAAGATTGTTAGCATGGCAGAGCACCGCCTCTCTTTGTCTTCGAGGTATCCTGATGTGCGGTATGGTGTCTACTGCCCCAGCTCCTGGGCCAAGGCTTTCCGAGCGCCTGTCAAATGTCACTGCTGATCGGTCGGGCGCGTGCCGGCAATCTTCCACGCCACGACAGATCTGGAGATGGAACGCTCAGACGTCTAAGTCTCTTCCAAGGGCATCCCGTCCAGCCCGTACCCGACAGGCGGAGTAAGTGGCCAGGCAAAACAGTTCCAGGCTCCAGCTTGGGAAGCTTCTGCACTAGACCAGAGAGCACGAAACGCCCAAGCTCCAAGCTGGACGAGCCTAGCATCGGGGCCCTCTGGAGGAGGTGCAACACCCGGTTCACGGTTTGGCCAGCGTTATTGCTCGCTCGTGTCAGAGTGGGCGTAATTCGGCAAATATACACACAGTATGTGCGTGGGACTGGTGGCAACCCTGGCCATCCAACCAACCCCCCGATGCAGACTCATCCGGCTGTGATCGTCCCTGCAACCTAGGTCACGACGATGACCGGTGAGGTGATCCTCTGAGCCACAGACAGGCAAGGACACAGATGGGGGTGGTATCTCATGTCAGCCGTGGTGCCGTGGTAATTAGTCAAGGCCGCGTGCGAGCAGCGAGATTCGCCAGTTGCCCCATCAGCAGCGACATGTCGTGCACCCCTCCCAGGCGAAATATCATGTACAGTGGCCTTCTAGGTATGTGAGTAAGCACGGTAGCAGGTGGTCTGGGTACCTCCGTGTAATGATGGTGCAGCAACGCCCGCACCCTTGCGGGGGGAGTGAAGGGCGCGCAGACCCCAGACTGCAACCTTCATGCGCTGCGCGTGGTACCGGGCTACCGGCTTCTTCCTCTGCTCGCTGTCGCCCGCGCCATGTACCCTGTACTGGCCCCGGCGTCCCTGGTCCCATCACTTCCCACCTGTACCCGCCAGCTCTTGTACCCGCTACCTCGCGGCGCCACGGGGGCATGGGGCCAGGAGTGGGACGAGGGCAGGGCACCTGGCTTTTCCCAGCAGAAAAAAGGAGCACGCAGCGTCTCTCTTTGCCCAGCGCCTGACAGTCTGACAGTACGCCGAAGGAGCGTGAGCAGCAGCGAGAGCAGCACCGGGGCAGCAGGGGCAGCAGCAAGCAAGCAGAAAGAGGGCAAGTCGCTGAGAAATGAGGCCCGATCAAGAGTGGGTAACAAATCCCTAATGAAGATCCTTGGGCCTTTTCTGCTGGTACAGTTGTAGCCGAATAGCTCCGTCCAGCGCTCTAACATCCCCTTTGTTGCAACCTTCTCATTTCATCTCATCCGCCTTCCATTCCACCCCACACACAGACCTTGACTGCACTGGCTTTGCCTGCGCAGCATCCGGACCCTCTCTGCACCAGAGGGCCAGCGCCGGGGTCACTAGGTAGTAGTCATCAAGGTGTGTTTGCCCTGCCCTGTCCTGTCCTGTCCTGTCCTGTTCTGTTGGACCGGGTCTTCTCCCGACCCTGTCTGCTGTAGACTACTTCCTCTCCTCACGATCCACGATCCAAGATCCACGGCACACACACACCCTTCAACACCCCATACCCTCCTCCCCGACACACAGACAGGTTACAGCAGACACTCTCACCGACCGGCCGGCCGTCGATGCTGATAAACGCTGTCCCGTCGCAGCTCCTGATTCGTGTCCCGGCCTAATTCAGAAAGAGGTCGCTTCCGCTACTATCTAAGCTTGGACCCGCCGCTGCAGCTGGCACTTTCGAACCTCCACCCTCATCTTCCCAAAATCCTCCCCGGCAAGGGAGCATCCCCTTAATCTGATCGTCTCTACTTCTCTCGTCCTCATCGACAACATCGCCCTTTGGCTGAGCACACGAGGACAATTGCCAAAACTTGTGCAGTCCTGCCGCATCAGGGCCGTTCCCATCTCCGCCCTGGCTGCAGTCACGACACAACAATAAAAGCAGCCCACATTCCTCCCGGTTGTATATACACCGTCAGAGCACGACATCATGTGCTTCGGGAGACGGAATAAAGATGAGGCCGACGCGACGCGGTCGCGCGAGCTGGACAAGATCCTCAAGGCGGACGAGAAGAGGATGCAGAAGGAGGTCAAATTACTTTTGCTCGGTATGGCTGCACCCCGTCCCTCTCCCGCCCCTCTCCCGCCCCTCCCGTCCTCCCAGCCCTTCCAGCCCTTCCATACCACACGGGACCGAGATCGGGCCAATCGAGACGACGCTAATTGACCAACGCTGTGTTTACAGGAGCTGGAGAGTCCGGAAAGTCGACCGTCTTGAAGCAGATGAAACTCATCTACGCCACGGGATTCAGCAAGAATGAGAAGCTAGAGTGGAAGCCTGTCGTCTTCAACAACATCGTCCAGTCGTTCCGCCTGATATACGATGCCATGACCGAATTGAACATCGCCTTCGAGCAGCCCGAGAGCGAGGTATGTTGTTGACACAAAAGCCCACCGGGAGATGATCAACTTCGTTCCCTTTGGGATTTTGCTGCAGCATTGGACTGTACTGACCTTCAATCCAGAAATGCATGGAGCAAGTATTGGTGGATCACGAGCTGAGCCCGAACGATCATTTCCCCACCGAATTCCTCGAGCCGATCAAAAACCTCTGGGCCGACGAGGGCGTGAAGAAGGCCATCGCCAAGGGTAACGAGTACGCGTTGCATGATAACCTGGAATAGTGAGTAGTCACCGTGCAACCCATGGAAAGGGCGTGGCTAATTTCAGAAGCTTCTGCGATGATCTCGAACGATTCTGGGACAAGAGTTATGTCCCGACTGACCAGGATCTCCTGCGGTCACGGCTACGGACGACGGGTATAACCGAGACGGTGTTTGATCTGGGCCAGCTCACATATCGCATGTTTGATGTTGGCGGCCAACGGTCAGAGCGGAAGAAGTGGATACATTGTTTCGAGAACGTCAACTGTCTGCTGTTCCTGGTTGCGATTTCCGGCTACGACCAATGTCTCGTGGAAGACAAGGATGGCGTAAGCAACCCAATCCAATCCTCGCCCGGCAGGTCGAAATGCTAACCCGTTTCAAAGAACCAAATGAACGAGGCTCTGATGCTGTGGGAGTCAATTGCGAACTCTCACTGGTTCCTCAAGTCGGCGCTGATTCTGTTCCTCAACAAGATGGATCTCTTCAAGGAGAAGCTAGCGAAAAGTCCAATCACACAGCACGGATTCACGGACTACCACGGACAACCCGACGATTGGAAGCAGGCGAGCAAGTACTTCATGGACAAGTTCCGCGCACTCAACCGAAATCCCGAGAAGGAAATTTACGGCCACTTTACGAATGCCACCGACACGAACCTCCTCAAGATCACGATGGGATCTGTCCAGGACATGATCATACAAAGGAATCTGAAACAGCTGATCCTTTGAAATTGAGCGCGGTCCGACGAGCTTGGGAGTCATAGGGCTCTCGCCAGTTTCCTTTTGCGGGACTCAATCTCCCTCCAGGAATCTGCAGATCCCGAAGCACTCAAGCGCGCGAGTCTCCACACGAATCGCAGTCGATTAGCGCCGCTGTTTTATGATAGGTCGCCTAGCGGCCTCACGAAGTACACATGACGACGTTGACGGTTTTCACGAGCTTCCCGCCATTATCACTCTCTGGCCTGGGAGTACGGTGATTTGGGCCCAACGTCGCATCGCCTCACCAACACTAGGATACTTGATGCAACGACCAGCTGCAGCTACATAATGCTACGCGAGCGGGGCAAATCACCTCTAGTTCCCGACGGAACCGGGCAGAAAGACGTCTACTTCTGTTGTCGCCCCAACTTTACATGCCCAGCATCGATGGTCAGAAATTCGACGAAAGTTTTGGGGGCCGTTTTCATCTGGGGAGGGAGGGGTCTTGAGTGGCAAGATCCTTTGAAACGAAGCATTGAAATGGGATAAGACCCGGCACTTGGCCGTTCGGAGCCGAGCGGTGAGACAGACGTTTAGGAATTGAAATGGGTGCACGAACGGCATTTTTGGATATCAAGCCCGGCCGTGAGCAGCTGAGGTTGGACATTAGTCACTGCCGAGCCAGGGACAAGGGCCTGGACACATATATAATACGTTACTTGAATTTTTCAGATACCCGACACTATACATATTTTGTATCTTCGTCCGATCGGCCTTCCCTTCGTCGGCATCCCAGAGCCAGTGGCGAACTGCATCAGAATCACTTGACCACGAAGCTGGGGATGAGAGACTGATGCCACAGCAGCTGGTGGCCGACATGTGCAGACGAGGTCGGTGGTGGCATTGGCAGTGATCAGCCTGAACATCACGCCGACTCAACCCGGGCTCCAATCGTGACTGGAGCCCGCATGCAGTAGGCTGCATCCTTCGAGATGTACGTTGCTGGCGCTATCGGCAGCCGTGGCTCAGCGTTTCTCGTTCGCGAACGCCCCTCCACTCCCTTGAGCTACAACTACAACCCCCCGAGGCTGAATGCTCGGGCATTCTGTCATCCCACACCGACGTTCTATTTTTATATGAACACTTGTGATCTGTCAGGCGGGACGGCATGCGAGGCTTCCCGTCTTGGTTTGGCTTCTTTTCCGTGCCTCTCCCGCGCCTTGCCTCGTGTGTACCGAGGACATCGACCTCCTCTCACCTATCGCTGCATAGCTTGGCATTGCAACCCTCACAGGCGCATTTTGTGATTTTTTATTGTCTGAACTCTGTTGCCTGCATGGCAGTGGCTGGTAGATGCCCCGTCGGGACTAGGCGGCTCATGTACTTGGACATGAGCTTACCCGTCCAGTGCCTGATCAGAACACAGCAGGTACTGTGCACCTGCTGCGGATGCCACGCCCCCTGGACACCCTCTTCTCTCTTTTTCTGCCCTTCTGGAATCGGGGCTGTGAGACTTCTCTCATGACTTGTTTGTACAGTCTACATGGCCATGTCTGGTAGCGAGATGTTCTATCAGGACTTCTACGCGGATATCCACCCGGCTTTCCCCCAAGGCCGCTGATACGAGGCTGCTCTGACTGCAGCTCTGGAAGGTGTTGGCGGGCTTGGCGGAAATGGAGGAGCGAGTGCTGACCAAAGTTACGCTTACCGAGGGAAGGCTGTGAGTCAAAGTGACAGGTCTTTATGTTCTGGGTATGCCAGGGCTCTTGGAGCGAGGCAGGGCAGAGACCGGATGAACGGGATGGGAGCCTCGTGACAAAATCGCATCGGGTCTGAATTTTCGCTGGGACTGACCAGTCCTATCGGTACACCTCCAACTGGAATCTTGTGAATGCGTCCGCCCCTTGAGCGAGACAGTCATTGTCTTTCGATGCCATGTGCGTGAAAATTCCCATCTTAGTAGACATTACTCCGGGGGGGAGCAACCATGGAACAAGTTCGGAAACACCGCAGAGGACCCATGAGAGCCTGCAAGGGCACGTTTATGAGACACTTGGTCACTCACGTAGAGATTCCAGTTTTCAAATGCCACCATCTCCTGGACCGCTACCATCGAGACGGCAAGCTTCGAAGTAACCGACTCGCTCAGCTGGTTTGAAGTGGTGCTGCGTACTCCTTCATCTCTAGATGAGATCTGAGAAATGGTTAACGATTTACACATTCACATTTACTCAATGTTCCCGTTCCAGTTTCATTTTGCGTTTCGTCAGTGAGAATACTCAACCTCCCTGAGGTCGTGACTTCCAAATCTCTCTCAATGTATATGCCAAAGATTGCGACCTCTGCACCATAACAATTTTCGTTCTTGTCACTTGTAATATCTCACTGGAAACCTTTCAATGGGATTGATTCATCGGTCATCTCCACCTCCGTAAGATGGGAAACGTGGCTGTATCGACCGAAGAGTCTCTGTGTGGTGCCTGCAGACGCAATGCGGCACCCTTTGAGCAGAGTCGAACCTGCTGGATGACTTGGCATACATGAGGCCCGTAATAGGGCTGCATGCGATGATATCGACTTTCCTGGTATTTCCTTGTTCGTTTCCATCCCGGTGTTCTGGAAGCCACCCGCAAGGCACGGGCTGGTGCAGTGGCAGGGTCGGAGATGATGCCCGAGTTCTGCTCCTCGTGGTACGAATCCAGCCACACCATCCCAGGCCGGATGTTCGCATGAACGAGTGTCGAGTCCCATCCAACGTGGTGCTGTGGTCTGTTCTCCAGAGGAGTCCGACGTCGCGCTGCATCCTTGGTACCTTGCATTTGCCCGTCAGTGGGACGGTGGTTGTGTGCGACACGTCGAGCCTGGGGCATCCACAATCCTTGCACGTGGAAAGCACGTGTTTGGTTGATGATGTCAGTGTTTCCATGATCAATTTGCATTGCTGCATTCCTCCAGGTTCACAGGCGATAAAGAGGACGACAAAGCTGAATTGTCCGAGTATTACTGGAGCGCTCGTCCAACCCATATTTAAGCTCATGGGGCCGTTGCGGAGACAAGTGGGAGGAACAGGGGTTCTCCAGGTGATTACACCAATGGCCAGGGAGCTTCAGAAGTCGGGGGTGGGCCTGGCAGGGAACGCGGGTACTGCACTGGCAGGTCTGAGTAGCGCCCTGTCGATCGTGTGGTAGTGCCGTAGCAACAAGGGAGCAACCCTTCTCGAACTTTGAACCTCGTGTTGATGTTAACAACGGCGCGAGTTTCATTTCCCAGTCTCCTCCTGCCTCATCTTCTTGATGATCCATCGAGTACGCAGACCCTCCACGAAGTTCAACCACCAAGTTTCGCGATATCCATTACAATATTTTCGTGTCGGGGAGCACCGAGCTCGCCTTGGGTTTTGTTTACCTACATTCCTATCCTGGCGTCATCAGAGACGGCCGCGACAGAGCAGGTTCGCAGTCGGAATATGAGACCGCCTCCCAACCCCGCACTTGACGTCGACGGCCATACCTGAGGAATTGCGAGTGCCAACAACTCAACTGCCTCAGCATGTCCGAATCTACATCTTATCAGCCCGTCGTGGCGGACTCCGTAGCCAAAGAAGGCGCGACAGCGACTGCGGCCTCTTCCAGTCGCCCTGGACTTTGGTCCAGGATCACCAACCGCTTCCCGTTCCTGCAAGGCAAGCGAGGCATTGCCATTGTGGTGATAGCAATCCTGGTCATCATCGGTGGAGGACTCGCTGGCCTGGCCGCCTTGCCCAACCGCTCAGGATCGTCCTCTGGCAGCGCAGGGTCTGGCAATGGGGCTGGAAATAATCCCAACGCTATCCAGAGCGACACGCACTTCTATGGACAATCCCCAGCTGTACAACCTTCACGTAGGTGTCTCTCATTAATGAAAGGGTACTACCGATCATCGTGGTGCCCGAGTTGCGTGCCGCTGACATTTCATGTGTGTCTAGCCAACATCACTGGGCTTGGATCTTGGGCCAATTCTCTTTCACAGGCACAGGCCATGGTTTCGAACATGACCCTTGATGAGAAGGTGAGTACCTAGGTATCATTCCTCCTCTGGCATATCTGCGCACCTACTTACGCCTTCTCCCATGTACAGATCAGCTTGACAGCAGGCTCGACGAGTGACACAGGATGTGTTGGTTACTTGAACCCAATCGAGCGCCTGCAGTTTCCTGGAATGTGTTTCCAGGATGCAGGGCAGGGAGTTCGGGCGACTGACTTTGTCTCGGCGTGGCCTGCGGGGATCCATATGGGCGCAAGGTACGCTGTACCCTTTCCAGGACAGCAAAGATACTTCCCATTCTCTCTGTATTCTGGTCAATCTTTGCGTCCCTTTCATGGCAAACGAAGCTAAAAAAAAAAAAAAAAAAGTTGGAACCGGAACCTGTCGCGAGCTCGAGCTCTCGGTATGGGCGGCGAGTTCCGAACCAAAGGAGCCAACGTCTTTCTAGGTCCTGTTGTGAGCCCTTTGGGACGAACAGTAACGAGTGGTCGAAACTGGGAAGGTACTTGAGATGTGCCGACCTCTATTTATCACCCGTCTTGCTAACTTTTGCACGTCAATAGGCATCTCAGCAGACCCTTACCTTTCCGGTGCCTTGGTATTCGAGACAGTCCAGGGAGTTCAAACAGCCGGTGTTATTACATCTACAAAGGTATTTCGACACTTTCCAGCTTCATTATACTGTCTCTAATGGTCTTCATAGCATTTCATCGCCAACGAACAAGAGGCACATCGAATGCCTAACGGAGGTGTCCAATCAGTTTCTTCCAATATTGATGACCAGACGATGCAGTAAGCAGCTTCCGGATACAATTTTTACCCCATCTGGAAAATCGATTTTCTATGTGTAGCCTGTACCTCAAAGGTATTTTTAGGCTGCAGGTTTTGAAACAAACCATGGCCATACCGTGACCTGGTTCTCCCCATATCCAGACGAAGCTTCTTCCTCAGTTCTTTGTTAGCTAACTCCTTTTGCTGTAGTGAGCTTTACCTGTGGTAAGCAGCATCTTCCCAACCTAGAGAGCATTTACTAAGTTCAGCAGGCCATTCCAAGACGCTATTCACGCTGGCAGTGCGAACATTGTAAGCAGCTTCTGGATACAATTGTAGCCCTCTTGAGAACAAGCAAACCCTAGGCCTACCAGGCGGCAGATTTTGAAACAGGCTTTGAGCACACTGTGACCTGTTCCTCCCTTTTTTTTCCCCGAATGAAATCTTCATTGGTACTTTGATAGCTGACTCCTATTTCTCTAGATGTGTTCTTATCAGCGGATCAACAACTCCTACGGTTGTGCCAACAGCTACACCCTGAACGGGCTTTTGAAGACAGAACTTGGCTTCCAAGGCTTCGTTGTTTCGGATTGGAACGCACAGTATACCGGGGTCGCAACGTCTCTGGCTGGGCTGGACGTTACAATGCCAAATGCCGGCGTCTACTGGGGGCCGAAATTGAAGCAAGCCGTCACGAACGGAAGCGTGGCTGAGTCCAGATTGGACGATCAAGTTACGCGGTAAGTTGATCGTGACCTGCCTGTACGACAGACTCGCTGACCGAGCCAAGTCTCCTAGCATCGTGGTACCAGCTGGGTCAAGACAAGGGGTTTCCTACCCCTGGAATAGGATTACCGCGGAACCTCGCAGAGCCGCATACTATTGTCGATGCTCGGAACTCCTCTTTCAAGTCGACCCTCTTTGATGGGGCAGTAGAGGGACACGTACTCGCGAAGAACACAAGGAACGCTCTCCCGCTGAACAGGCCAAAGATGCTCTCTGTTTTTGGCTATTCTGCCACTCCACCTGGCCAATACAACATCGAGCCTCCGGGCGGAACCATATGGACTTTCGGGGCTGAGGCTGCCGACCCCTCTAGTGTTCTCCAGGGCTTTCTCGGCAACCTAACGTACCCTTACGATCAGATCGCTCCTAATGGGACATTGTTCTGTGGTGGAGGGTCAGGAGCGAACTCCGCGGCATTGGGCCATTCGCCAATGGACGCCCTACAACAGCAGGCTGCTAACGACAACACTGCCCTTTTCTGGGATTTCAGATCCGCCACGCCCAACGTGAACGGAGCCTCGGATGCCTGTTTGGTCTTTGGAAACGCGTGGGCGAGCGAGGGTTCAGATCGGCCGGGCCTTTATGATAATTACACGGACGGTCTGATCAAGCACGTCGCCTCCACATGCAACAATACGATCGTCATATTCCACAATGCGGGTGTGAGGCTCGTCGATCAATTTGTGGACAATGAGAACGTAACCGCTCTCATATTTGCACACCTTCCAGGACAGGAATCCGGACGTGCCCTAGTATCCCTTCTGTACGGGCAGTCAAACTCGTGGGGTAAACTGCCGTACACAGTGGCGCGGAATGAATCTGACTACGGCGAGCTTCTGGATCCAGCTAGGGCGGAGGGCGACTTCGAGCTGTTCCCACAGGCAAACTTCACCGAGGGGGTCTACATTGATTATCGGCACTTCGACGCCAACAATATCGAGCCCCGATACGAGTTCGGCTATGGTTTATCATATACGACCTTCGCATACGCGAACCTCGAAATAAACCAGAACTCCACCTCGGATATGTCCGAGTACCCAAGTGGTCCTATTGAGGTCGGCGGCCAGTCCGATCTCTGGGACAATCTGGTGTCTGTCGCAGCTGAAGTCCAGAATACTGGAACTGTGAACGGTACTGAGGTCGCTCAGCTCTATGTCCAGACGCCAGGAACGAACAGACCACGAGTTCTGCGAGGTTTCGACAAGCCATTGCTCAACCCGTCACAGACCTCCACGATCTCGTTTGACCTTACGCGTCGAGACCTGAGTGTGTGGGACACCACGGCCCAGAAGTGGCTGCTCCAGAGAGGCCAATACACTGTCCACGTGGGCTCGAGTAGCCGAGACCTGCCGCTGAACGGAACGTTCAACTTCTGAAAGGTCCAGCAGAGGAAATGTGCTTGAACATTCGTGCACATAGATGATTCAACTTGGCGTCTGGCGTACAGGAACACCCCCAGGGAGGAGGAACTTTGAGGACTTCAAGCCAACTTTGGATGCACTTTTGATAGCTGACCCAATCGCCCACGGCGAGGGCCCTGGTGGTGATTCCGAATGCTCTTTGACGAGTTAGGCTGTAAAAAGGCCATCAGGACTGTGTTGTGCATAGAATGTCTAAGCCGTTCATGGTACAAAAATGAAATCAACGTAGCAATGCTCACACCGCTCAGCACGTCTCGAGCATTCTCGAAGACAAAGTCCGAAATGGAGGCATTGAAAGAAAGGGTTCAAGGGCATCGGGCCCCCTGTTCGGCTGCGACCCTGTGACAGGGGCCACCACAGCGGGAAGCGTGCGGGCTGCCCATGACACGTGAAGTGCAATTTCCCGCTACTCGACGGGTATGACGAGGTGCCCCAGGCCCAAAGGAGGATGGGCACTTCGCGGTCATGCAGCCCGGTGCAGCCCAGTGAGGTGCGTCCAGTCGCGTTATGCTCCCCTCTTGCAGGGAAATTTGTTGATCAACGAAAACGCCCCGTTTTTCCCACTGTCGCTTGGAGATCTGGGGGGCATTCCCCAAGTTAACCCGACAACCTGTCCGTCCACCACCAGAAACCACCAGAAACCCACCCGCCCGTGCACCTTCTCGGCCGTCGACGCAGCCGTCCCCCTCCATGACCCCTAGCCCAGGCGACCGAGCAGCACCCAACACACCGGCCGACCGCTTCTCTTGTCAACCGGGAAACCGTCCTACCAAACATCGAACCTGAGGCCTGCCGGCCAGGGTCCTTCGCTACCCTCGTGCTCGCGAGGCGAACGACTCATCCTTACCGCAAGGCGTTGCAGCACTGCTCTCAGTCACGCGTACTCGCTCCCACCCATCGACACGGTCCTGGTCCTGCAGCCCTGACCGACCGCCTCCGACCGCGACCCGAGCCGATTTCTTTTTTGGGTTAGAGAATGAGCTTGGGTATCGCGTCGAGGTGTCGGGATCACATGCTGGGACTACAGAGAGTCTTCCACTAAGATTCCAGGTCAGATTAGCAGCCAGGCCGCGGGCAACGACTGAGACCTGCCGCTCAACCCTGCTGTCGCTAGTCGTGCCGAGGGTCTGCGAACCTTGAATCTCTCGTCGTCGACCTATATCGAACCCTCTTCCTACCTTTTCCTGTGCGCGAGGCCTTCACGAGGCTCGCGCGCACACAAGATTCAGCAGCCATGGCTGGAGGCAACATCAAGGTGGTGGTGAGGGTGCGGCCTTTTAACAGTAGAGGTGAGTTCTCCTCTGGGCAGTCTAGCCTTGGCTTCCCAACAACGGATTCCGCTGTAGAGTCATCCAGGGCTGACAGTTGTCTATCGCAGAAATCGACCGCGGCGCAAAATGTATCGTGGAGATGAAAGATACCCAGACCGTCCTCACCCCTCCTCCAGATGCTCCTCAGGGGAAGAATTCCAAGGATAGCGGCCAGAAAGTGTTCGCCTTCGATCGGTCGTATTGGTCCTTCAACAAGGCCGACTCGCATTATGCCGGACAACATCACTTACACGAGGACTTGGGAAAGCCGCTGTTGGACAACGCGTTCCAAGGCTACAATAACTGTATTTTTGCATATGGTCAGACTGGTTCTGGAAAGTCCTACTCGATGATGGGCTATGGCAAAGAACATGGTATCATCCCTATGATTTGTCAAGACATGTTTGAACGAATAGGTGGCATTACGCAGGGGGACCCCAACACGCGATGCACCGTCGAAGTGTCGTACCTGGAGATCTACAACGAGAGAGTAAAGGACTTGTTGAACCCGGGCACCAAGGGGAACCTGAAAGTCCGAGAGCATCCTTCCACTGGTCCCTACGTCGAAGATCTTGCAAAGCTCGTCGTCGGTAGCTTTCAGGAAATCGAGAATCTCATGGACGAGGGTAACAAGGCCAGAACCGTCGCCGCCACGAACATGAACGCGACATCCAGCCGAAGTCATGCTGTATTTACACTGATGCTTACTCAGAAGACGGTCGACACCGACACCAAGATGGAAATGGAGAAGGTCGCCAAAATCAGTCTGGTCGATCTCGCGGGTTCCGAACGAGCGACATCGACGGGAGCCACAGGAGCGCGTCTCAAAGAAGGTGCCGAGATCAACAGATCGCTGTCCACGCTCGGTCGTGTCATTGCTGCTCTCGCGGATCTCTCCACTGGCAAGAAGAAGAAGGGCGCCGCCTCACAGGTACCTTATCGAGATTCGGTCCTCACATGGTTGCTGAAGGATTCCTTGGGTGGTAACAGTATGACTGCAATGATAGCAGCTATCAGCCCTGCTGATATCAACTACGATGAGACCCTGAGTACGCTACGATATGCCGATTCCGCCAAACGAATCAAGAACCACGCTGTTGTCAACGAGGATGCCAATGCCCGCATGATCAGAGAGCTGAAGGAAGAGCTGGCTCAACTCAGAAGCAAGCTTGGGGGCGGCGGAGCCGGTGCTGTGGGCGGAGTTGCCGTGCCTGCAGATGAAGTCTACGCGGAAGGCACGCCCCTCGAAAAACAGCTGGTCACGATTACTGCGGCGGACGGCTCCACCAAGAAAGTTTCGAAAGCTGAAATCGCGGAGCAGCTGAGCCAAAGCGAGAAGCTGTTGTCAGACCTTAACCAGACCTGGGAGCAGAAGATGGCCAAGACCGAGGAGATTCATCAAGAACGGGAGGCTGCCCTGGAAGAACTCGGTATCAGCATCGAGAAGGGATTCATTGGGCTGAGCACCCCCAAGAGGATGCCACATTTGGTCAACCTGTCAGATGATCCTCTCCTGGCAGAATGTCTCGTCTACAACCTGAAACCTGGTATCACAACCGTTGGTAACGTCGAATCCGAGACCAATAGCCACCTAGGAATCAGGTTGAAAGGAACCAGAATTCAAGCTGAGCATTGCTCGTTTGAAAACGCTGCAGACGGCACTGTCACACTCAGTCCCAGGGAAGGTGCGGCTGTCATGATCAACGGCAAGCGCATCACCGAGCCCCAACAGCTGCACTCGGGATACCGCGTCATTCTTGGGGATTTCCACATCTTCAGATTCAACCACCCTATGGAAGCTCAGGCTGAGCGAGCAGAGAGGACGGAAACGCAACGGCATAGTCTTTTGCGCCAGTCGATCACAGCCAGCCAACTGCAGTCGCTCGAACGAACATCGCCAACGCCTAGTCCGAGACTTCCACATGAGCGGAGCTGGAGTAAAGCAGGATCCGAGATTGGTAGTGACAGCCGTTCAGACTCGCCCGCGCCACGCGGCCGTGATACGGACTGGTCCTTTGCAAGACGAGAAGCTGCAGGCGCCATCCTCGGGTCTGACCAGAACCTTTCAAACCTGACAGACGAGGAACTCAATGCCCTTTTCGAGGACGTACAGAAAGCCAGGGCTGAACGTGTCACTGGGAAGGAAGGAGAGGACGATATGGAATCCTTGGCATCATATCCCGTCAGGGAAAAGTACATGTCGACTGGTACGATCGACAACTTCTCACTTGACACCGCTCTGACCATACCGTCGACACCGAAACAAGGCGATTCAGACGACAAGATGCGCGATGCTCGTGATGAGATGCAGACTCAACTGGACAAGCAGAAGGAGGAGTTCCATGAGCAGTTGAGGGCCGCGCAAATAGCGAACGTCGAGGTTGAAGAAATCAAGAAAGAGAAAGCGCACATGGAGGAGACCTTGAAGAAGATGAAAGAAGACATGCAGAAACAGCTCGAGGTACAAAAGCGCGACTTCGAGGCTAAAATCGAGAAGCTCGATCCCCTGAAAGGCCGAAAGCAAACCCAAAGCTTTCGGACGATGAGATCGAGCTGGCCAAGAAAGTCGTAAAGCATTGGAGAGGTCGCCGTTACGTCCAGATGGCCGAATCAGTGCTCCAGCATGCCGCGACCTTGAAAGAGGCACAGATCATGAGCCAAGAACTGGACGAGAGTGTGGTATTCCAGTTTTGTGTCGTTGACTCTGGGCATGATCTCTGTTCGTCTTACGACATGATCCTCAATGGCGGAGAGTCCGATGACTTCGCGCTCGAGCAAGCAATCAAGCCTTGTATCGGCGTTCGCGTGGTGGATTACAAGCACAGTTTGGTTCATCTCTGGAGCTTGCACAAGTTGCACGATCGCGTCCGGCAAATGCGACAGATGCACCAATACCTGGATCAACCGGAATACGCTCAGCATCTAAGTCTCGACAACCCTTTCATTGAGACTTGCATGCCTCAGTACACGCTCGTTGGTGAGGCAGACGTTCCACTGAAGGCTGTCTTCGAGAGCCGGGTCCAAGACTTCCATCTCGATGTCCTCTCGCCGCACACGTCTCATGCTATCGGAATCATCAAGTTGTCGCTTGAACCATCGTCGGCGCGGGCACCTACAAACTCGCTAAAGTTCAACGTCGTAATGCACGAGATGGTGGGTTTTGCTGAGCGCGAGGGCACTGAAGTGCATGCCCAGCTTTTTATTCCTGGCATTTCCGAAGAAGACGGCATTACAACCACGCAGATGGTCAAGGATTTCGACGAAGATCCCATCCGATTTGAGAGCGTTCATAGTATGAACGTTCCTCTATTTGCTCCTCCTGAGGTGGTATTGCGCGTTGCCATCTTTGCGAAGGTGTCCTCTATGCACCTCGACAAGCTCCTTAGCTGGGATGACATGCGAGATGCTGTGCCCAGCTCGCGAGGCAAGCCCAAGTCGGCCAGGATCAACGAGTCTCACTTCTATACCGAAGAGAAGCACGACCTGCTTTCTCGCATCCAGGTGCTGGAAATGGATGAGAACGGCGAATATGTCCCGGTCGAGGTTGCCCAAACCGGCGAGCTGGACAGTGGAACCTTCCAATTGCACCAGGGGCTGCAAAGACGCATAACTATCAACCTGAATCACAGCTCTGGCGATATCCTGCCCTGGGATGACGTGGTTTCCGTTCGTGTCGGCAAAATCCAGCTGGTGGATGCTGCTGGGAAGAATCCAGATTTGGGCGTCGCCTCACCCGATGTTGCTCTCAAATTAGCATCAAAACCCGTCTTCCGACAAAACGCCAATGGCACGCGCAGCGTCACCATCACTGGCCAGTGGGACTCCAGCTTGCACAATTCACTTCTGCTGGATCGCACTACAGGAGAGAAATATCGAGTGCAGATGACCATCAGCTGGGACATCAGCTCTCCAAAACTTGCTGAGCCGATGCGTTTCTCGAAGAACGTCTTCTGTCAAATCCTGTCGCGCTCTTTCGTGCGGCAAACATCTATGCTCTCAGCCCTCTGGCAGAGTGTCCGCTTCGTACACTCCAGCACCGCCATCTTCACGTTGAAAATGCGGCCGGCGCCCATCAAACGAGTGGGAGACCTCTGGAGGATGAACAGCCAGCATGACTATGTAAAGGGCGAGGAGAATTTGACAACCTGGACACCACGAGGCGTTTCTCTGATCAGCGACTACATCAGCGCGCGAAAGAAGCGCAGGCGCATCGCTGAAATTGGCGCAATGCAGAACTTCCTGAAAAAGGTAGGGCTACCGGAGCCGAGAATAGCGCCAGATGGAGACAGCCGGGGACTGGACCCTAACTTCCTAATGCCAAATCTGAGGGAAGATGACGTTGACTCGATCGACGAGTTGCTACAAGACACCCCGGACGTGTCGCAGGTTTTGGATCCCGTGGAGCCTCCAGAGCCAAGTGGCGAAGCATCGGGTGAGGTGTCAGGTGAATCGTCGGGTGAGGCGTCGGTTGAGCCGTCGAATGAGCCATCGGGTGAATCGCCGGGTGAATCGCCGGGTGAATCGCCGAGTGAGTCAGTGGGTGAACGAGAGGGTGGGAAAGAGGAAGAGCAGCAAACCGGAGACGAGCAACCAAAACAGTATGATGAGACGACGGAGGAAGTCTCGAAACCGGCTCTTCTCAAGTCGGAATACTCTGAGCGTGAGACATTCATTTTGGAGCGATGTTTTAAGCTGTGGAGGAGCTACCCCGATCCTCTCAACCAGATCCTGAGCGAAGTAAACACCAAGCCACCTGTGAACGGCAACCCTGTGTCTCCTGCAGAACCGGAGCTCGTGGCCAGCGTCATCCGTGTGTCCAAGAACCCGACGGTGCTCAAGGGCGGCTACCTCCTGGTGCCGAGCAGTGACGCCACCCGATGGATCAAGCGGCTCGTGGAGTTGCGCCGACCATATCTCCATATTCACAACGTCACAGATGGGGAAGAGGTTGCCATCGTCAGCTTGCGCAACTCCCGAGTCGACAGCCAGCCGACCATGGATCTGCTGAATGGGGCTGACGATGAGGACGGCGGCATGGATATGAACGCCGCCCTGACCGCATCGCCTGAACAAATTCGTTCGCAACAGAATGCCGGCAGGTCAACGCACCACCGCAGAGGCTCTTCAGGTCGGGTCATCACGAGCATCGTTGGTAATATCAACGGCGACGGGACCGCCTCGTCACATGCCAGGAGCAAGAGCGTCAGCTCCGGACTCGCCAAGCTGTCCACCAGGCTGCAAGCCGGAGTCTTTGCCATCTACGGGACGGACAATACTTGGCTCTTTGCGGCGCGGAGCGAGCGCGACAAGCTCGACTGGATCTTCAAGATTGATCAGAGCTATTTCTCGTCAAGTAGTGGCAGTCCTGAAGGGAACGGCGCTGAGAGCCCGAGCATGAGCTACTGAACCAGCTCATCTGAGAAGTCGTGGCCTACCTCATGATAACGATTTGGATGAGGCATTCATGCGGAGGTGGCTGGCTCTCGACAGCCCAGATCACACCTCCCCATGAAGCTATGAAATGCTACGGTCGTTTTAGGCCGCAACCTAGAATCGGCTGCAGGTTTCCGTTAGGAGTCCAGCAGCACCCCTATATTTCCTTTGTCTTGTGCTTGTCCTGGTCACTGTGTGTTATAGACTATACCCATACCCCCCATTCGCGAAATTGGCCACACAAAAGAATGTACATGCCGCGATGGCGCGGGAAGAACTATTTCGGGGAAAAGGCGAGAGAGAAAGTGCAGGATATCCAGGCGACCTTGTGCGTTTGGTGGGTGGCGGGCGGCAGGCCTTGTTTATTTGGGTTAATAGGGCTCGGACCGGGTAGCTAGAAGAGATAGGTTTCTGGATGACTGAATGGAATGATCGGAATCATCATGCCTCTGAGATTGCCATGTCCTTGCTCCATCCGTTAGAGCCTGAGCAACTCGACTTTTAGATGACCTTGCCGCATGTGTTGCCCCTGAAGTGATACGGCACAAAGACCAAATCTATTACTATGCCTTTACCCTCGTCTTGAGCACTCCCTCCTGCCCCCTCCCTTGGGCTTACGCTCCTCGTCCAGCCTCTTGCCCGAAGCACGGCGTAACTCTCGCCGCTAACCTACCGCCCCCCCCCCCGGGTCATACGCAGTGCCTTTTCGTCAACTGCCACTTTTTGAGATTTCATGGGCCTTTTTCAGGTTTCTAAGAGAAGACTTTCATGACGATAATTCGAGATCTCGCGCATGGACCGGTGGCACGTGATAGGGGACTTATACTTACAGCAAGACTTAGAGCGGCGAGATATCACTGCTACCACAGGGTCATGAGCAGCCAAAGTCGACGCAGTTGAACGATTCTGACTTCATTCGACTTCAGCAGCCAACGTGACAAGCCGCGCAGAAATTGGAAGAGCTTCCACCGGTATCGACTGCGGGACTAAAGCCTATCTCTGGCTGCTGTGAATCGACATACGCCTGTTTATAGGCTATAATTGGAAAATGCAGCAAGCTGTGGGCGTTACCAACACACCGGTCATTAGATGGGCCAACGGGAAAATGTGTATGCCCCTGGAAGCCTGACGTCCAATACATCGAGCAGGTGATGGCAACCGCCGCCCAGCCTGCGGGCGTTGGAGCATAACTAGCCAATTACGTGTCGGATATTTTGAAAGAAATTCAGGCATTGTACGAAAAGCATGTGGATGTTGGCGTCTAATCGATATCAGATAGTTACAAAGTAATTGAATCACATCACTCCCACACTTCAATGTAGTGAGTCTGGTGAGATCTTTGAATTCTAGATTGCCTGTCTACCCAGGTAAGGGAAGAATCTACTTATGTACCCAGTATCTACTGTGATTCTTGTGGAAGTTCTGAAATCTCCGCTTAAACTGTATCATCACAGGTTGGTGGCCTTTGACCTGATAGGCCAATGTTTGGGCTATTGTATCGTGGTATTGCCGCCGATGGTTGGATGACCTGCAGTTCAGCTGTGTCAAGTTAAAATAACACACAGCTGCGCCCCTCTTTGCAATAACCAACAGCGTGACCTGTTGACTAAAATTCATATTGCTCCCTGAAGAGCCCGAGTTTACACCGAGACCACCAAAACTTTGGTTGGCGGCCATACCTACGCTCTTATTCTCTTCTCGCCAACCTCTCACAGCGTCAAATCACCATGGCGCAAATCACTCTGGACTCCACTGCTCTTGATGAGCTGAATAGTGTTGAAACCAGGACTCTCTTTGATACCGCTCATAAATTGTCTTCCCTAGGCGTCGGAAGAATCGTCGACTTACCTCAGATCATCGTCGTTGGAGACCAGTCTTCCGGAAAGTCGTCTGTCCCAGAAGCCATCTCACATGTTCACTTTCCAGTTCACCAGGGTGTCTGCACCCGATTTGCGACTGAGCTGGTTCTCCGTCCAGGCAGTCGTCGATGTGTGACTGCGAGTGTTCAGTTCGCAGACAGCACCAGGCCGGCCCATTCATTACAGGTTGCGGACTTCAAACAAGACGACGTTGACAAGATCAGCAGTAGTGCAAAAGATGAAATGGAGCTCTCCGACACCGGCCACGGTTTCTCTAAGGACATTCTGCGTCTAGAGATCCAAGGCCCCGACATGTACCCCCTGACGCTGGTCAACCTTCCGTGCATTTTCCACACCGCGACATCGAAACAATCGCCTGAAGATATGGCGACCGTCATGGAGCTGGTGGAAAGCTACATGAAGAAACCAAATAGCATCATTCTCTCGATCACCTGGCGCCAACAATCAGCTGGCTAACCAGGTCGTCTTGCAAGAGGCAGCAAAACACGATCCTACTAAGATGCGGACTCTTGGTGTCATAACTAAGCCAGATCTTCTCCATTCGGGGTCCACAAGTGAGCATGACTACTTGCAGGTCATCCGAGGTCGCGAGGCCGTCCACAACTTGGGGCTTGGTTGGCATGTGTTGCGCAACCGAGCGGACTATGAAAAGAATCTCGATCCCCGCGACACGATTGAAGAGCATTTCTTCAGTTCAGGGGCTTGGCGTTCAATTCCTAGAGCAAATCGTGGGATTGCTGCTCTGCGAGCGAAGTTGAGCCACATACTTCATGAACATATTAAAAAAAGCCTGCCGGGAGTTCTTCAAGACATTCAAGAGAAGCTGCTTCATCAGGAAGTTGAGCTAGGCCGGTTGGGGCAGCCCAGAAACACACCAGAAGATATGAGAGCCTACGTTATTGATATCTCCAGTGACTTTCAGAGATTGGTCCACGACGGCATCCGGGGGCATTACAACGACCCGTTCTTCAGCGGCTTCGATGGAACGCACCGGAAACTTAGATCTAAGCTCCGGAATTTTAATCGGGCTATTCGACACGTCTTGCTTGCTGTTGGGTCCGTCCGCCCAGGACGGTGGCTGGCAGTCATCACGGTCCTCCAAAAGAGCTTTCGACACCTGTATATCTTGCAGAGCCTCTCGAAACATACACCAATGGTCTCCCTTGCCCTGAAGTTGTTACCTGGGAAGAACTGTCTGCCCAGTTGGAAGGTCAGGCGGGGGCGAATCAGGGCACGGATTTCCCGGGATACGCCAATATGGACATTGTGATCCAACTCTTCCAAAAGCAGGCACAGCCGTGGAGTTCCATTGCTGAATTTCACCTTGAAGACGTTATCAACGTTGTGTGTGAAGGTCTTTGTCGACGAAGTCTTCGAGCACATTATCGGACCGCCCAGCTCAAGTAGCACGACAGTTGCTGTTTTGTCCACTTTGGTGGACAGTTTCTTCGATGAGAAGGAAGAGCTGCTTTCATCCAAGCTGAAAGAGCTCCTCCGACCATTTAAAGAGGGATACGCACTGCCTCTTGATGCTGACTTCCAACAGACCATGGAAAAGACAGCAGCTGAGCGCGCCGCAACCCAAGCAGAAGGCGATAGTGATTCGGAACAGCAAAAAGGCATCACTACATTTTCTCACCGCAGAAATGATTTTGGAATCGAGAATATTATTCACACGATGCAAAAGTTCTACGACGTAAGCCTGGATTTTCGAAATCGGCAAACAAGTGAACAAACTAACTAACTTGATCCATCCAGATGGCGCTACGAACGTTCACGGACAACTTGATTAACCTCGCAATCGAGAGTTGTCTGGTTCAGGATCTTCTTGGCCTCTTTACTCCAAGACTTGTGAACAGTATGGATGACAGAAAGTTGGCGGAGTTGGCGGCCGAGCCCGAAGGGGTCCGCAATTACCGATCCCAGCTCCGGGAGGATATCAAGCTTCTCAAGTAAGGGCTTGAGCAATGCCGTCGATACAAGCCAAGAGCGACAGAAAAGGGGTGAGTCTCATATCCAATCGCTACTGCTATTCTGGGGGGGAAAAGAATTCAATCAGTGCCCACGCATTAACAGTTCCCACTTCCGTGAAAACAGTACCGAATACGCCGCAGAAAAACGCTCTCACACAGGAAGGTTCAAAGGCTGCCAGTAAGCGAACAAACTACCGCCCCCGCGGTTTCCATCTTGATTGAACGCTAATGCAATTGGACAGGTGCATCTGATTACCTGGGAAAGCCTGGCAGTGATGATGCCCAAGCAGCGTCGAAGGCACCCGCAAGGAAGACCACTGAACATCACGGTAGTGGCAATATTGGTACCGGCGGACCGAGAAGGACTCCCCCCTCTTCCGTGTGCCAAACTCCTAGCAGCACCAATAGTTCTTCTCAAGCTGCTTCCATACTACCTATACAATCACGGACTGTACCAGTCACCATGCCGTCAAGGCTAGGAGCACAAGATACTATGCTGGCTGCTTCGAATGCCCCGCAGGGTACCGGGTTGTTTGGGAGTTCATTAGTCGGACCCAGCCTCTCAGAAGCAGCAGCTGGGTCTCCGAATCTGTTCGCCAAGTGGGTGTTCAATACCCCAACCACAAGCACTGGTGATGGAAAGACGACTAGCTCAGCCCCATCTCCTTTTGCGAGTCCGGCAACATCACTGAAAGGCGGATTTGCCGGCTCTGGAGTAATTCCTCCATCGGGTACTGCGACTAGACCACTTTCTGGGGAACCCTTCGGCGGTCACACTAAGGGCTCAACGCCGGTATATGCACCTCCAAGAGGACTATTCGCTCTCCCTGTGCCGAATTCACTAAGTACGTCAGGATTTTCTACCACAGGGGGGGGGCGTTTTTGGAGTCCCATCCAAACCGCCTTCTTAGGGTTCTCTAAGCTTTTCCTCAGGACCACCAACCTTAGAGTGTGATACAGTCTCAGTGTGATAGAAATCTTTAGGGAAAGGCCCAAGCCGCCATGGGCTAAGAATAAGTAATAGATGCAGAGATCAACTGGGACCAGCTTATGTTTGATGTCCAGAGTGGTCCCACATCTATCAACGGAAATTATTGGTCCCACCAGGAGCGTGATCGTGGGCGCTTCCAGTACTATACAGATGACAGAGTGAGGCTCCCTCATATATGTGCTTCAACAGCCTTTCAAAACTTTTCCCAGGAGGAGATTAGACTAAAAGACTATTCTCTTACGTCGTTGGCGCGAAGGTCCTGACTGCGGGGGATTTATAACGGCAATCGAGGTTTGGTCATGACGACAGGCGACTCTGGGGAGTACCCGGGAGGTGAGGGGTCCAACCGTGAAAGCTGTGAGGTGGCCTGGAACAGCAAAAAGGTGCACATCTGTTCATGATGTACTGTAATTTTGCACAAAAAAAGAAAAGAAGAAAGAACGACTCTTGACAAGTACATGTGCCAGTGGTTCCAAGCACCGAAGAGCTGATTTGCACACAGAATTTACCTCTTTTTGAAATGTAGACCAACAACACGAAAAATGGCAAGACCAGAAGTATGCCACACGAAGCAGTTGACTACCAACGCCGATCGTACAAGAATTCGTAATCTCTTTTCCGACGAGGGCCTTACTGGAGGACAATTTCATCAGCGTACCTCTTTCACGACTAAATACGGGATTCATCCTCTCCGCCACGCAAAGCCACGTTTTCAAAACCGTGCGAGTTTACAACGAGCAGACCGGTGACTTTGTAGACTAAGTTGCCAAATCCAAACAAGGCCGACGTGAATTGTGGTTTCTCTTTTCCCCTCGTGTTTGGAATTCAAGTCTGCCAGAATGCTATAGGAAACGCCTTTTGACGGCAGGGCTTCCAAGAATATGACGCTAGGATGATAAAAAAAAAAAAAAAAAAAAAAAAAAAAAAAAAAACCCACTAGGGTGTGCTACGCAACAATATAAGTCAGGGGGTCCACATATGGTCCACCCCCCCATATAAACCACTCCACACCCACGTACGCGTTAGGTCCACCCTCTTGCATCTAACGCGATATCTTTATAATGGAATTTTTTCTTCTCTTTAAACCTTAAATATATCATTATTTATCATTAATAAAGCTATATATTAAAGAAGATATTAATATAGCGCTTAAAGCAATCTTAATTAACATTAATTAATAAAAAGCCTCCTTATATTAAGGTATTTTAAGAACTATACTTTATAATTATCTTTATAATTATTAAAGCCATTTTAATGCTTTAAAATTTTAATAAAGATTATTATAAACTTAAGAAATATATTTAATTAATTAATTAATTAAGTAAGTAATATTAAGGCTGTTAATAACTTATTTTAAAATAAAATCTTTTATAAGTTATATAGCTATTTTTTAACTTTACCTTCCCTTATATAACCATTATTAACTAAGGGGTTTTTTAATTAAAAATCTTAAAATTTAAAGCATATAAAGCTATTAAATAAATATAAATTAAGTAAATAAGGCCTTAATAAATATAATTAAAAAGTAATTTAACCTTTTTTAATTATTAATAATTATAAGCATTAAAGTAATTAATAAGCATAATGTTAATAAAGAGGGTATTGTTAAAAATAAGGGAAAAAATAAAATAATCCTTAAGCTTAAGGGAAAGAAGGTTATTACTTAAAAAAGCTATAAATTATGCACTTAAACTTCCTTTCTTAAATATATCTTTACAATAAGTAAATTATATCCTCTTTTTATTATTTTTAAGGAGAAATTAATTTAATAGCAATAATTTAAAACCCTTAAGGGTTATGAAAATTAAAAGTTTATAATAACGCTAAATAATTAAATAAATAACATTATAATACTTAAATAGCTATAAAAAATCTTTATCCCTTAAATTAAGCTAAATAACCTTAAAAAATAACATTTATTAATAATAAATAAGCATAAAATTTATTATTTTTATTTACTTTTATATATATTATATATATTATAACCTTTTAATTTAAATATATTTTTTAGCTTTAAAGCAGTTTATAAAAAAGAAGCAAATCTTTTAAACCTTTATATTAACAATACTTATATTAAAAAGTAATTATTTTTTTATTATTATTAATAAATAAAATTAATAATATTAAAGGAAAAGTATATATAATTTAAGTAATAAGAAATTAATTTATAGTTAATTAATATAGTTAAACCCTTAATAAGTATAATTATACTTAAAAACTTTAATAAAGTAATATTTATACTTATTTTTAATAATATTATAAAAATTAAAAGGGTTAAATTAATTACTTTAATATTTATTATATTATAAAAAAGGGCTTTTTTAACTTTTAAAATATCTTATGAAATATAAATTGCTTTTATTAATTATAATTCATAAAAATATTTACTTATAACTTAATAATTATTCTTTAAGAAAGTATAAAAAAAGTATAATAAAAAAAACTAAAAAATAATAATGCTTTTATAAAAAAATTAAGTTCTTAAAAATAAATTAATAGCCATAATACCTTAAAAGAAAAAAAAGGTTAAAATAAGCTTAAACTTTATATTTATTAAAATTAAGTATATATATAGGGCGTAAATTAAAGCTGGCATAATTAAGGATAACTTAATAAAAATAAACGCTTTTAAAAATACTATAAATGCAAAGAAATACATCATTATAAGTAGTAATAATAATTTAAAGTAACTTTAATTAAAGGGGTAATATAGCGAAGAGGACTTTTTTAGTGATCCATATGGGGGGGTAGACCATATGTGGACCCCCTAACTTATTCACTTTGGTACTCATAGCGCAGTGGTTTAAATCGTGATAAATGCTCGACCGAAAACTCCCAGTTCCGAGACAAACCGATAGCAACGGCTTGACTGGGCTTAGATCACGCACGCTAAACTACTGGAAATTGGGAAAACACCTTCTGGACCGATGAGACCTGGTTAATGGGAGATCCGTCACCTCCATAAATGAATTATTTGATGATCCGGAGACGTTTATGAGCATTCGTCCCCGCCCAAGCATGTCCTTTCTATCGGCTGTAACGGAGCCCTGGTAAATGATCACTGCTGTATACAGCTGACCAGTTTTGAGGAACGATGATTTGGTTATGGAAAGCAGCCGGGATAAGGGGGGCTTAGAGGCGACCTAGACTGTGTCACCGGGTGTGGTTGAGGCGTGTGTAAATCTGAGACAGGTTGCTGACTAACCCATTTACTACTGTCTGTGGAAAACAAAGTGCAGCCCCCCCCTGTCATTTTAACTCGTGTTCCCCCCTCCGCGGCAAAATCTTAAATTTAAAATCCAGCTTTATTTTATTATATTCTTATTAAAAAATTATTAAATATAATATGAAATATGTTTTTATAATCTTTATTAAATATATTATTTAATAATATATAACGTGGTTTACTAGGTGATAGCCGATATTAGATAATGGCCAATTTTTTCAACTTCAACCAACTTTTATTAACCCTAGCACCCGCTTAATGCAAAAGAATTAATTAAATTTAGCATTAATTAATGCCAACTGCTTTTAATTGCTTATTTTTAATTAATTTTATTAATTTAAAGAGGTTAATATAATTATAATATAATTAAGAGTTATTAAGGTTTATATAAAATAACTCCTTTTTAATATTAATTGCATCTTAGTTTTTTATATTAATCTTGCTTTAATTTACTTACTTAAACCTTTAATGCATTATAAATTAATATTATATTATATATTCTTTATTAAAAGAAAATAAAATCCTTTTAGCTATTTAAGTAATTAATAAGTTTAAAAAACCTTATTAAAAACCCTTAAATATTTCTTAAGCAGCATAAATCTTTTATATCTTAAAATAAACTTTATATTATAAGATAAAGTAATAATTATTTTATAAGGAATTATATATTAATAAGCATAAACTTAATTAAATTAAAGAGTAAATACTTATTTAATATATTATTAAGCAAGATGCTTAAGAATTCCCCTTATAACTTTTTAAGGTA